GGGGGGGGGGCGCAAGCGCTGCTGATTTACAACACCGTGGGGAACCTGGGAACTGTGACGATGCAAATCATGGATATTGTTGTAAACTCCGATTCCTTTCCTTTCCCTCTTCTCACCACGCACGCACACCGACCGCATCGCTACCACCCTACCTACTTAGCCGGGTAAAGAAAAAGCGCATGATAAAGAAAGAGAAGAAAAAATGGCGAGACCCCTCCCTGCTGCCTGCTACAAACAGATACGCCAGAGCAGTAGTGTAGTGATGATGATGAGAATGACGATGATATATGCATGCACGCAAAGCTGACTTAGTTCGAGCACGATGGACGTGAGGACGAAAGTGGTGGACGGGGGTTGAAAATCTGTGATATGCGAGTTGCGCTTAACAGTCGGTTCGACTCTCAAGGCAAAAGAGAGAGAGAGAGAGAGGATGAGAAAGGGAAGAGTCAAAAAAAAAAAAGAACCAGAAGGAAAAAGAGATAAGCTCCTAACTCCGCCTACATGAATGAACCTCGAGCGAGCTAGCGATAGCTAATAGCAAAAAAGGTTTGCAAGTACTTCGCCCCCGTCATCATCTGTTCCTTAACCCGCGCAGGCCCATTTCTTTCGCCCACCCCGGGTATATCATGCAAGAGTATTGTTGTCATGCCAGCCAGCCAGTCATTTGTTCCGTAGCCCGCCGGCCCGCATAAGTCTGTTCGACCCTCCAGCCATCGTACCCATCCCATCGCGTTGGCTGACGCCTCTCCCCATTTACCTAAAGAAAGAAAAGCCCCCACCGCAATAAAAAGGAAAAGTGAACGTGTCTCGGACCCATGATCGCCTCGTCATAAAGACGTATACCACCATCATCTCAAATCATCAAAGCAATCCCGCCCCTGTAATCCAAGAAACCGACCGCTTTGCCGGTCTGCCCGCGAGCCAGCTCAATCGCTCGCACCCAGCCAGCCAGCCAAAAACCCACCGCCGCTCCCCTGGCTCCTCCACTGCCAAACCGCCACCACCACCGCGCCCAGCACGCCCACGCCGCCGAGAACCTGCACGACGATCAAGCCTCCCCTCTTCATGTCGTCGCTCCAATCGCACAGGCCCAGAGGATCGCGTGGATCCAACTTCACACCACCTCCTCCCTTGGCCGACGACCATCGCGACTCCCGTTGCAAGCGCTCGTGCAGATCCGTCTGGCGCGTCAGCGACCAAAGAGCCGGGTCGTGTTGCGTGGGCTGGAGGTCCTCGGCTGGGATGATGCGGCCGTCCAGGACCTCTCTGCCCACCTGGTCGAGGAGCCAGCGCGTCCGCTTCTCCTGCTCCAGTTCTTCGAAGCGACGGCGCTCGTTCTGGAGGCTGCGCTGGAGGTCTGCGGCCCACTTGGCGAGCCGGGCCTGTGCCATCCGCTCTTCGCGATAGTTTTGCTCGTTGAGGCGGGTGATGGCGAAGTTGTTGCCGCCGGGCGTGCTGCTGGGAGAAGCGGGTGATATGTGGGTGTATGATGCGAGCGGCGAGAATGGCGTGTTCGCGGTGCTGCCGGTTCCTGGTCGCGGGATGAGGACCTGGCTGGGCGGTGGAGATGACAGGATAGAGGAAGCAGCAGATGGTTGATACGAGAAGGACCTGCCAGTGTAGTGTGCAGCATTGGATATCAATTGCGGTGCAGCGCCAGTGTTTAGTCCGAACCCATGCATGGTAAGGCTTTCACCGTGTATGCGCTCATTACGCCAACGCAGGAATTTCTTAGCTGCGGAATGCCGCAGCCACGATATTGTGTCTTGATTGAACACTTGGTTGACGAGAGCGGCAAGCTCTGAAGGAACAAGTGGTTGGATGTAATCCGGAGACATGAGCAGTGAAGCATCCATGATCTCGTTATCGGATGCTGAGGCGGAGGTGATTGCGAAGGGACCAGGAGTGAAGACCACTTTTGGTGTTTCAAAGAAAGGGTTCGAGTCTGGGAAAGCAGTGTTGTCGAAAGAGGTTCGGGCGACATTGATAGCCTCTTCCATACTCTTGCCGAAGAGGAATGGACGCACGCCCTCCGCTTGGAGGCGCTGAAGTACAGTAGTCTTTAGGGATGAGATCTTTTCTTCATCGCGGGTATCTGAGTGAGAAATGAGAGGTATAACGTTCGTCAAAGAAGAAAGGCGGCGGATGTGTTCAATGCTTCGCGAAAGTCCAGCATCTGCGGGAGTCAGCATGTTGTGCATATATTATTCTTGATGTCGGCTCACCATCGGAAGGCTTCAGCATATAAAATACGACATCGACATGAACTCCACCGTTGCCGCTAAGCATGCCGAGGAGGTCACTATCGCTCATAGCCGTAAGCGATGCGTTGCGTTGAAGCAATGATTCGATGTACTGAACAATCGGATCCACTCGCAAGTTGCTGGTCGAATCGATGCCTGGAGTGTCGATAAAGCACAGATTGCGCTCAAGCACCGAGTCACCCATGCTCTTCCGCCTCCGTAACGTGCGATTGTCTTCGATATCTAACTTATCCGACCACCATGTTGGATAGGTACGCGTGCTGGCGTAAACCTCCGTGATGCTCGTTGTGCCCGATGCGCGCTGCTTCTTGCGCCTTGACTTGCCCTTCTGGAAGTCTGAAGATTGAAAGATTGAAGGACTAGCAGCAAGAGGATCGACATGTACGATATCTTCGCAGAGCTGCACTATCGATCTGATGAGGGAGGTCTTACCCACGCCTGAGATCAGTTAGCCAAGCCTCAAATGATCAGCGCCGCAAAGGACTCGCCTGGCTCTCCAGCAATCAGCACCTTCAACCTCCCCATGGTCTTTCCTTTCTCTGTGAAGGGTCGCCTCTTTGGCATTTGAATGCTGGGCATGACCAGCTGTGGCACAGTGTCTCCGACCTGCTCCTTTTCTGCAAGACCGTCGTCCTCTTCATCGCTCGTCACAATGGCTTGACTGACGGCCTCATCAGCCTGGCTCTCCTCGTCCGACAGCCTGAAGCTCTTCAAGCTGACGCTCTTGGGGGTGCTCGGGAGATCGGAGGCGGGACCGGAGCTAAGCTCGAATTGCACCGGGGTAAGAGGCAGGGGCGGGGGCTGTGACGAGAGCGTGCCCGCGGACAGGTTGCGAACGGGGGCTTGAGGCCGCGACGCGCCACTCATGACGTCCTGCAACTCCTTCTGGACCTGCGCGACCTCTTTGGACCACCTCTTGGCCTGGTCGGCTCTGCAGCGCGGCTTTGGGGAAGTGCTCTTGTCTGCCTGGTCGCGGGATCCCTTATCGCCGAAAGCAGCGCCGAGAGCATCATCGAGGCTTTGGACGCCATAGGTGCTTTCCCTGCTGCTATCGTATTTGCTGGCCGCGTGCACGCTCTGCTGCACCTCGTCCTCGCTGCACAGGAAGAAGCTCGTGGGGCCGGTCGGGCCCGTGGCGACTGGAGGCGCAGGGTTGGAGGCGTGATCGGCGCCACTGCTCGACTTGCGGGCGAGGCGGGACGAGGAGTGCGGTGGTGCGGCAGCGTCGCCGCCGGCTGGAGGCCTCATGATGGTAATGTCGCTAGTTCGCTGGGGACGCGCTGTGGTATCATCCGCGGCGGAGAGGCGTGGACTATATAGCAGGTCGCAGGTGGTGGTCGGGCATTCGTCGAGGGGGAGCACAATGGGCTGGCCGAATGGAGATGACGATCTCGCGGTACCCCGCCGCTGCGCAGGGGCCACGAGGGAGCTATAGCTGGGTGGCGGTGGGTAGATAACGACGCCGAAACTCGTAATCCTGCACGGAAAAGGAGATGGCGCGGCGGGAGGCTGCAGGCGGGCTGCGACAAGGTGAAAGGGGAGGTGGTTTGCAGATAGTCTGATCTGGAGTGAGCGGCGCGAGGTGAAGCGTGTCAGGTGCGCCGGCGACTGCCTAACGCGCTAGCGATACCCCCAGCCGGGATCCCGCTCGCGCGACACGGCTGTGATCAGACCCGTCTGCGTCGTCTGTTTGAAACGTGCCGCGAGTAGGAGCAAGGCTTTTGGTACTTTTGTGTCGCTATTCGCTGAGCAGCTATACATACAAATTGCTCCCGAATCTAACCTACATCGCCGCCCTGCCAGTTCAAGAAGCCGTACATCGCTTCCAGCACGTCTATCAACCACCACTGGGACCCAATACAGCCATTACCTCCCCCACACCGCATGAGCGGTGACGCACGAAGCGGGAGGCCTTCTAAGCCAAGTCGCGCTTTTCCCAAAGGAAACGAAGGAAAGGAGATGTGAAAAGCAAAATCGCTATGCTAGGTAGAAAAAAGCAACGACTCGTGCATGAAACCCATACTTTTCCGTTACCCGAATCAGATCAGCTTTTCCGCGAAGAGCCCTAGAATACAAGAGAGAAGCCTGAGGCATAATTCGTGACCACCGAGGATTCGTCGAGTCAAAAGAACAGGAAATTGATACACTCAAAAAGAAAAAAATCACGTGAGAGAATTCGAGTCCGGGAAATGAATGCTTTAGGCAGCCGCGTTGCCGCCGCGACGGGGGCCCGAAGCACCGCCCCTTCCACGGGGAGCGAAGCCGCCACGACCGCCCTCCTTGCTAAAGCCACCACGGCCCTGGCCGGGGCGATCGGCGCCACCGCGCCCGCGGCTGATGGACCCGCCGCGCGAAGGGTAGCGCTGGAACTGCCCGCCCGGCTGGCGGCGCTCCTCGACGAAGATGGTCTGGCCGTTGATGGTGTGGGGGTTGGCAGCGACGGCAGCGTTGAAGCCGTCCTGGGTCGCGAACTCAACGAACGCAGCATTCTGTCCATTTCATTAGCAGTGGAGCCCTAGCCTAGGCTTCGGAATCAAACTTACCTTGGGCCTGCTGATGTCGAAGTAGGTGATCTTGTCGAACTTGGAGAGAGTAGCCTTCAGCACATCGGCGTCCATGTTCTCATAGACGTTCTTGATGTAGGCACGGACAGAGGTGGGCTCGGTGGGCTGGCTCTGGATGCGAGACTGGCGCTTGGTGTGCTCAGCAGTCTGCCAGCCATCCTGCTGCGTATCCGCAGGAGCATCGGCGGAGCTAGCGGCAGCAGGCGCGGCAGCGGCGGGGGCGGCAGGCGCGGCAGCAGGCTTGCCCTGAGAAGAGGCGGCTTTAGGGGCGGCGGCCTGGGCGGGGACAGCCGGAACAGCGGGGACAGCAGGAGCAACAGACTTGTTGGCAGATGCAGCCTTCATAGCCCAGCTCATCGGCTTGGACGGAGCAGCGGGAGCGGGGGCGGGGGCGGCCTTGGCAGGTTCGGGAGCAGGAGTAGGAGCGGGATCCTCAGGCTTCTCGGGCTGAGCAGCCTCCTCCTCAGCAACCTCGGCGGCAGCCTGCTCGGTGGTGGGGACCTCGGGGGCACTGACGGCGGCGACGGGGGCTTCCTCAGCCTCGACGACCTCAGCAGCCTCGGGAACAGGAGTGCCATTGGCCTGAGCGGGGGGCGGGGAAACGGGGCGTTGGGTCTCCTCCTTCTGAATCTCCTCGAGCTTGTTGTCGACCTCAGCGGCCTCCTCCTCGTTGGCAACAATCTCGTGCGCGGGAGCCTCGGCAACGGGCTCCTGAACGCTCGGGGAGGGCTCTTCGTAGCCAGTAGGGGCAGCAGTGGTGTCCTGAGCAGCCTCCTCCTCAACGACCTCCTCCTCCTCTTCCTTGACGTACCTGAAGATGTCGTTCAGGACGAAGTAGCCGTTGGTCTGACCAGCAAGGACGAAGGTCTGAGCGAACTTGCGGTGGGGCTGGTTCTTGTTGGAGATCTCGCCGATGACTTGGATGACAATGTTGGCGTCGGAACCCTGAGAGTCGACATTGGTAACGCGGACCTTGCAGTCCTTGAAGTCCAGCTCCTTTATGCGGTCGTTGATCGCCTATTCATCGTCAGCACCCCGTATAACCTTCCTTTCAAGCAGCTCTGATGCATACCTTCTGTCCAACGGAAACGTCGACCTTCTCCTCCTCAACGCCGGAAACGAATTGCGAACGCTTGTTGTAGAAGAGCTATTGCTGTCAGCGCCAATGTTCGTGGGGGGAGGAGCAAACACATACGAAGAGCTTCTCAGGCGTCCGGCTAAGAGTAGTGTAGTACTGCTCAACAAAGTACCAGCCAACCTCATCCTTGGGGATCTCGGCAGCGCTGTTAGAGCTGGTGGACTGGGGGGTGGAGGTGTTTTGGTGGCCGGCGCTGTAGGCGGCGGCGTTGGCACTGTGCGCGGCATAATTTTGGTCGTATGCCTGGCCCTGGTGGGCGGCATAGACGCCGTTAATGGACATTGGTGCCTGCTCAGTTGCCATTTTGCCGATTGGTAATGTAGCAGAATGGGAGTGTCGCGAGAGTGGAGGGCAGCAGTTGTGGATGTTTTAAGTGTTCAAGTGAGGCGATGACTTGTAAAATCTGCCAAAAGTCAGCGGCACGTCGTCACCGAGAGCTGCGCGCGCGATGCAGCGGGCGTGTTGGCGAACCTATCAATCGCGCGTGCGGTGGCTAATTTGGATGGAGATGCGCAGCGACGCTCAAGCGGGAGAGGGAGAGGGTGTGGGGGTGGAGCGCGCGAGAAGAGGGCTTGCAAGTGGCGGCAAGGCAGCGCTGAGATGAAGGCGGGCGCGGAAAGTCGCGGGTTTGGAGGTTGGTGTGGTTGTGCGGGTGTGTTGGAGATGGAAGGCGTGCGGGTGGCAGTAGACGAATTTCAGCAGAAGCAAAGATTCCGCCGGCCGGCGCGCGGGCCAACCCGTCATCGAGTCCGAGCGCGCCAGCCAGCCGCTGCGCTGCTCGCCCACGTCCGCTTTCCCATCCCTGCGCCGCTCATGGCAGCTCCTGCGAATCCTGAGACGATAGGCTGTGTTTCGGGCCACTTTGTTAGCCACACGGGCCTTCCGTTTGCCTTTCAACGGGCGGGAGAAGTCGTCATGCAAATTTCACCTGCACGGACGCCGATCGCCTGCCGTCTGGACTTTTCTTCGTATTCCTCAAACATCCACTCCACGACCACACCATGGACATCAAGAGATGCATCACATGTACGAGTGCTGCGCGGACCGCTTGCAGCTTCGCAAGTTTACTTCGAGAGCATTGTGGCATTGCAGCTGCAGTGCGTTTGCAGCTGGTCTGCTTTCATGGAGATCTAGGCAAGAGCTGGGGATGATCCCGCGTATCATTCTCGATCTGCATGCTAAGGGATGGCGAATATACAGCCCTTCGCGTCGAAATAACCAGCATCCTCGGCCAGGGCTTCAGCCAGATCGCTTCCACTGCGCCAGCATTCGCCATAGCTCGGACGCTTCCTCCGTCCAGATCGTTCAAATTGCCAAGAGATCATTATCCTCTCTACCAGAGAACAGAAAACCAACACGGCTGCTCAATCAAAGCCTCGACCTCGTTCCTACCTCCTGAAGTTGACTCAAGTTCCCAGACCGTGCCAATATCCAGCTGGCAACGTCATTTGCAAACGTGTGTTTGTCATTGCCCGGTTCCGCGTGCACTGCACCATTAGCAACACGAAGAGAAGACGCAGGGAACCCGTAACTCACACTTGTGGAACCATCCTTCGTAGGCCTTGAACTCCTTATCCTGCACCTTCCACTCGTCAAATATCTTTTTCACCGGACCAAACTCTGTCACCCCGTCTGCTGTGCCGTGACCGACCCATACCCTTGTCTTTCCACCCTCGCCGGCTCCTTCCAATATCCGCACCTCTCCTCGTTCTAGCGTCCCTGCGCGATCCAGCATTCCGGCGAGACCTTCCAGTGTTCCAGTGTCATGGCAAAGCTGGTCTTCGACATATTCCTTTTGGACTTCCGGGTCTCTGCTCAGCAACTTCTCGTCCAGCTTGTTCACCATCTGCTTATGCGGCGCGACCTTGGCTGCCATTTGGCCCAGCAACACCGTGATCTTGTACGGTCGGGAGGCCGGCGCAAGCGCAATGAAGGGGGATTCAGCGAGGAAGCCACGGATTGTACGTAGTACTGCGGGAGGGCCAGTTGCTGCGAAGTGCAAGACTTCAGCCCCACCCATGGAATGGCCCATGAGGAAGAGCGGCGCCGGATGCTTTGGAAGCGCGGTAATGAACGAGGCGATGTCTCCGAGCACGACGGGGGTTTGGCCGGTGAGACCGCGCTGGGCCAGATTCTTCACAGACATTCCCCAACCGCGCTGGTCAAAGGTATGGACGATTATGCCCTTGGAAGCCAGGGTGGGGAAAAGAGCGCCGTAAGCGTTGCCTGCGCGAGGTCAGTGCGCGGTTGACCGTAAACGGGGGAGGCGCCGGAGCTCACAGTGGTCGCTGAAGCCATGAACGAAGACAAGACGTGCCTTCACGTCGCCTGTGGGCTTACAGAAGCAAGTGTCAGCTGCGACCTGTTACAGCTAGCGGCATCCATACCTTCCAGGTCTTTGTGTATAGCTTAGCGGCATCTTCTGTGGTGTGCGTACCCTCTTCGGTGGTAAACGAAGCCATGGTGAGCAAACTTTGGAGAGAACAGGGATAGGTGACTGCGGGGCGGGTGAGTTGGAAAGCTAAGTTGGTGGAGCGATGACGAAGCTGTGTTGTTCAGTTTCATGTGAACGCGCGACCCTCGGTTATCGATAAGCACAGTACAACGTTATGGGCTAGCCTCCGTGCCCCCGCCCACCATCGTCCGCGATCCTGTCAACGCCATCTTTGAACGTCGTGACCCTAGGCAAAATGCAAACGGCCCGCTTCCGTCAGCCTCTACCGTCTGATTCGTTGGATGCCTCAGTAGCGCGGCGGGGCTTTCAACAAATGGGTTTCGGCAGCAAACTTATTACAAAGTTCTGCAATTCGCTGTTGCTCTGAACCACGTATGAGTGCGGGTGATTTGCTGGGACATGTGCTTCTTCACTATACCAGGTAGAAGGCTGTATTACTTCTCCTAAAGGATGCATACTTGCTCATGGTTGTAGGATGTTGTTGCACTGTGAAGTACCCAATGTCCTTTCAAGAGCCGATACCTATCGCAGCTATCGGATCTAAAGTCAAGAAGCCAGCTCGCACTCATGTAGGTTTTACATGTTAGCATGCCTAGACATAACTGATGAGCGACATACTTACACACTAGACAGGGCCGTGTAGATGTGGGAGTTGAATGGATACCTTTAAGCTCACCAGACCTACCGGTGCTCCTTCGCTGTAGTGCCTGAGGAATCGTCCAGTTGATAATGCCTGAGGCATCATTTCTTTATCGATAGCCTGCGTCCCCGCACTCCCGGCCTGTCTTCAACACCACGTTTCGCCATCATTCCACAAGAAAGTGTTGCGTCTGCTGTGTCCCTGCAGGCCGCCCTCCTGAAGACGAAATCCGGACGATGCACCCAATCCAGCTTCTCTACGCCCTCGATTGACATTGTTATGCTTAATTCTAGATCTCTCTTTGGTCGCCACAGCCTTGTCCTTCTCTCACGACCTTCTACACTTGAGCTGCCTGCGCGTCAGCACGCCTCAAACACCAGAGCTGTTCCCCGAGCGTCATTTTCATCGGCATCCAAGATGACGAGAGAAGTTAACAGCATTCCACACGTCAATCGTACCGCCAACGAGCCTCGTGACCCGAATCTGCATTCTCTCCGCCTTGCTAAAATCGACGAAATAAATGCCACCACCCGGCTGTTCAAGCTACGTGCCTCAGGTAACGGAGTCAAGGTGAGCGGTCCCTGCGCGTGCAGCATGAATGCCTCATAGGCATAGTGCCTTGCAATATTGTCAGATACAAAACGCCCCAAGAGGCATCGAATCGCTCTCAAGCACGTGCTAATGCGAATCGTGCCAGATAGTTCCTCCCCGGTCAATGGCTTGATGTCTATCTACCGGGAGTTGAGCAAGCCGGAGGATTCACTATTACCTCATCACCGGTACATGCTACTCCACCAGCCACCGCCTCCGATTCAGCTCTGAATATCGATCCAAGTCCGGTTGAGCAGGAGAATGCGACGGTCCGTCCTTATCTGGAGCTGGCAGTCCAGAAAAGCCCAAACGCACCGGCAGCGTGGCTCTGGCGGCCCGAGTCCGAGATTCTTGGTTCGGCCATTGAGGTTCGAGTGGGTGGTAGCTTCGTATGGCCTCCGCCGCCCTTTGCAAAATCTGGTCAAGATATCCAGAAGGCTGTTTTCATCGCCGGAGGCGTGGGAATCAAGTAGGTCGCCCGTTCTTGCTTTCGAAGGCCCCAGAAGCTGACAGTGATGGACAGCCCTTTGATTTCCATTATATCGCACCTGCACCACACGCACAGCATGCCCCGGTCGGTGGAGTTCATCTACACCACCAAAGTTACGGATGGCAAAGTGCTTTTCGCTGATCGGTTAATGCACATGGCCTCAAACAGACGGGATCGTTTGAAGTTGAGATTCTTTTTGACAGGCGGAGCAGGTGGAAGCGGGCACAGCTTTCCGGAGGCGCGATTGGAAGACGCAACAGTCTCATTGAATTACCGACGTCTGACTCCGAAAGACATACTTGAGGCCCTGGGAGATGCACAGGGAGGACAAACGGTATGTTACGTATGTGGTCCACCGCAGATGACGGATGAGTTGGTAGGTTTTTTGCGTGGACAGCAGGGGCTAGGCGCCGATCGAGTGCTCTGTGAGAAGTGGTGGTAAAAGACGATGTTACTGGGCAGTCGGCCGGAGAAACAGAGCGCTAGGGTAACCAAAATTGGGAAGATTAGGACGGGAGCACGCGCAGGCTTATTAAGAGAGAGGTGCATTAGTCGGGCGCCAGCAAGAAACTCGCTTAGGCGTGGTGATCTGGTGCTTGTGAGCAATTGGGCGCGTCTGGAGCCTTTCTCCGAAGTTGCGGGGCACGGCAGGCGGCTGAGCGGCAAGTGCTGAGAATGCTGACGCGGGCATGGGCAGATCGCCGGGTGATGGTCGCGAGCAGCGCAGGCTCGAATCGGCGGGATCGGGGGCGCAAGCTTCACGATGCACAGCTTGAGCGGGTGGTGCAAAGCTTCTCGCGTGCGTGTAGCCGCCGAACCCAGGCGTTGAAGCGGCTAGCCGGATCACAGCGGGGCGTGTGCTCCGGGGCGGCCGCGTCTCCCATTGGCAGGCCCGTAAGCGCCATCATCACCGCGCATCCCCGCCGCAGCCAACGAGGGCGCAAATGCACGTTCTTGCCTCGCCCGCGTTGCACGCCGCGCTCTCACAGGCCGCGCCTCGGCAGTGATTGCGCAAGGCCCCGACAGCCTGCGCGCTGGCCGCCGCCTGACCTGCAGATGATATCCGCCAAAAGCCCTGCGCCGCCCGAGTCGCTCCAACTGACTGAGCTCTCTTCCCTCGGCCTCTCCCACGCACATCGCGCTGTGCCCTCCAGCTCCAGCGCTCGTCTCTCCGCCGCCGGCTGGCTCTCGGCGACGCAACCTCCATCTCGAAACAGCTCGGCGCAGACTGCGTTCCTGCGGCAGATCCTCCGCCCCCGACAGCTGTTCCTGCAGCTTATCGACAGGAGTCCGTTTCAGTTTCCTCCAGAACCCCTCGACGGCGGCAAAGTGCAGCATCCACAGCCAACGACACCATGGGCGGCTTCTTCATCTCGCGCACGTGGCGCACCCGCAAGCTCATGCTGGGCCTGCTCCTTCTCGAATTCGCCTTGACCGTTCCCGTGCTCACCCTCTTCGGTATCGCGAATCCAAACCTGTACCGCGAGAAGCTATGGCAGGAGGGCGGCGACTTGGGCTACAACAGCGCCCCGAACACGATCCTATACGCCATGGCGAACTACAAACCTGTGAAAACACCGCTCATTTGGAGCCAATTGTTCGTATTCCCCGCTCCCTAGCTTCAGACAGCCATGCCGTCAGCGTCCCTTTATTTAGTACGCAAGCTGACAGTGCTTGGTGATAGCATTACCTCATGGAACCTCGTTATTTCGGTGCTTTCCATGTTCATCATGCTCACCAAAATCCCCATGTTCATCATGCATGTGTTCTATCCTATCATTTCACTTCTCATACATGCGCTCGAGATCGCCCTGTATGCGTACAGTGCATATGGCCAGTCCGGCAAGGACACCATTGACCCGAGACGCCCCTCGACCGGCCTTCCCTGGTACATCGGCAGGAGCTGCAGTGTGGCTACCTCGTCGAAACTGAAGGGGTACTGTCTGCAAGCAAAGAGCGTTTTCGTGCTCACCTGCCTGATGATGTAAGCCATTACCCTCCTTCTTGCCATCTACTGCACCTGCTAACGCAGCAACGCCAACAGTGTCCTGTTCAGCATCTTCTTCATCCTTGCCATCCATTCGATGATTCCCACCAAAGCCCAACGAGAGCAACACGCCGAAAGAGTTCAAGTCAAGGCCGAGCGCAAGTCCAAGTTCGAGGCGATGAAAGCCGAGCTCGCCGCTGAAGCTGCATCCATCCACCAGCAACAACTTCAGATGACCAATGAGCAATACTGGGCCCAACAGGGACATGCGTTGTCACCAGGCTTCGCGCCTACCTCGCCGTACGCCGCCCAGCCTACGCCCGCCCAGCCTACGCCCTACGGCCCGCCCAGCGCAACGTATCCGCCGCGCTCTCCATTTACCCCCGGTGGAGCATACGCGCAGTGGCAGCAGAACTATGGCGGTCCGTCAAGCCCGCAACCGATCCAACCGGTACCATCTGCGCCAACGACGCACTATGGGCCGGACGGTCAGGTTGACTGGAGCAGGCAACAATGGGAGATGCAGAACTACCCTCAGTCCCCCGTGTCGCCGGTCCACACGACCTCCCCCAGTCCTCCCTTGCCGGCACCGGCACCGTATCCGGTACCGTCGAGGACAAGGTCGTACAGCTCTCGGAATGGAAGCGGTGATTTGCCGTTGAGGCAATCGTAAATAATTTCAGAGGGCCCTGGAGGCTCTCTTTCCATGTCAATAATTTCCGCCTTTTTCGTTTGTGGTAGTGGTGGTGGTATACCCGGATTTCCAGTCCTCGTGATGAGGGCATTGGCGTTTTGATCTCGGCCTGAAAATGAGACTCCACGACGCTCTTCGAAGAGAGACGAGGCAGATCTACTCTCCTTCACAATTTAATGTTGAATACATGCTTAAGCAAGGCGGTCAATATCGCGTGAAGCGTCTATCAGCGCGACATGTCTGTGAACAGAACCATCCCAGCAAGAGAGTGAACTACCTACATCCAATACTAGGAGAACAGAGCTCGTACGCGATTGATCTTAAGCCTGTTCCTGACGGTTAAGTGGGTATGCGTTACCGATCTACGGCATGCGGGGCTTACATGCAGGTGGAGACATCTGGGAAGTGGGACCAGCATGTACTGTGTACCTGACTACGAGTCAAGGCAGTTGAAAGGTTATCTGAGGCTTCTACTGCCTACACACCGAAGTTCTTGGGCTACTAGAGTTGGGTGGAGAAGGTGCAAGTTACCCGATAGGGCATATGCCCTTGCTTATTTTTGCTGCAACTGGGCCCGGATGTGGGGCTTTGTATCACCTTCTAAGGATGCTAGTGCTTGTCTTCCCTATCCAGTGGTTTCAATACACGTCCGCCGGCGGTCATGCATTGAGCGACAACAAGGGGTTGCGTGTTTTTCGTAAGCTGCTTGTGGCTTTCCATTGGTCTATTCAATGAGGATCCGCAGAGCACGATGTGATTGTGATGTTACTCTTCCTGCGCCTAGAAGCCTGACGTACACAGTGTACGTGACAGGTAGAAAGCGACGGACACACGCGGAACACGGTCGAGGGACGATCACGCCGCGCCAGCCAATAGCCGAGTGTGGAGCCCACGATGTGAAGGTCCCGGCGGGCGGATGGAGCAGGCGGTGGATGCCGCTGACGCGGGCCAGGACCGCTGCAGGGCGCGGCAATGACTTTACACCGCCACTCTGTTGCGTGGCGGCTCTCAACACCACAGCCTAGGCCACGATAGGAGGGAGTTTTGCAGGCTCCTGAACCAGGAACTCGGTTTGGCCCTGCCGCCGGATAAAACGCAGAGTCGGCAGAGCATGCTATTGGGGAGGCGGTCGTTATTCTGGGGCCGGCTAAAGGGCCAGGCACGGACAGGGCTGATAAGCGAGAGCAGCAGCTCTGAACCCCGGCCGCTGCCCCACGCCTGACTGGCTGCGAGCTTGCACGTCACTCCCGTGTCACAGCTATCGTGTCCGCCCACCGGGTACTTTTTTTGACCGCAGCCTGCGCACCTGACGCCCAAAGCCTCTTCGTCCCCGCTTCCGTCTCCGTCCTCGTCGTCCAATTGTCCCACCATCATATCCTGACTTGATGTCTGACATTTTGTTTCTGCTACTCAACCACTTCCTCGCCGTCACATAAAACCCGCCGCTGAGCTCCCAAGGTCTATCCCGGCGCCCACCCCCACGGATCCTCCCTGCTGTGGCCACAGTGTTGCCCCAGAGCCCCCCACTACAGCTATGGCAGACACAGCGAGCGGCGACCTGTACATGGGCTTCGACCTGTCGACCCAGCAATGCAAATGTACCTCCCCCTCACCTTGGCCCCATTCCGGCACCCCGCGCATTGGTCGCCACTCATACTCTCGTCCCCGCACCACGGCCGAATCACGCCTTGTAACACTCCAACCGCTCCATCCCAACTCCCCTGTGAAGGCAATCCTCCGCTAGAACCGGGCCACTGACGCGTGCTACCATTCTCCAGGCCTCGTCGTATCCTCGGACCTCAAGCTCGCCTACTCGGCCCTCGTCGACTTCGATGCCGACCTCGCCCACCACGGCATCAAGAAAGGCGTGCTCACCAACCCGGCCGAAAATGAAATCTTCGCACCCGTCGCCATGTGGCTCGAGGCCTTGGACCTGGTGCTCTCGCGCCTGCAGTCCCAGGGTCTGGATTTCGGCCGCGTCAAGGGCCTCGCCGGCGCCGGCATGCAGCATGGGACAGTCTTCTGGGGCCCCAATGCCGAGAAGGCCATGGGAAGCATGGACAGCGGGAGAGGGATGGCCGAGCAGTTGATCGGAAAGAGTGCGGATGGCAAGTGGAAGGACGTGCAGGAGCTTGGTGTGCTTGCGCATGAGCACAGCCCGAACTGGCAGGATGCAAGTACGCAGAAGCAGTGCGACGAGTTCGACAAGTGTTTGGGGAGTCCGGAGAAGCTGGCGGACGTGACGGGGAGCAAGGCTCACCACGTGAGTGCTGCGAATTGCATTCCTCCATCTCGATTCGCGCCGGCATGCTGACTGTTTGGAAAGCGATTCAGCGGTCCGCAGATCATGCGGTATCGCCAGAAATACCCGGATCACTACGCCAAGACATCCCGGGTTTCGCTCGTGTCGTCCTTCATCTCCTCCGTTTTCTTGGGCAAGGTTGCCCCCATCGATATCAGCGACGTTACCGGAATGAATTTGTGGGATATCCACGCGGGTAAGTGGCACGAAGGCCTCCTCACCCTCTGCGCTGGTGGAGCTTCTGGTGTTGCTGCTTTGAGGGAAAAGCTCGGCCCTGTGTTCGAGGACGGTGGCGCGACGTTCGGTGTTGTCAGCTCGTACTTCGTCTCCCGCTATGGCTTCAGCAAAGACTGCAAAGTCATTCCAGCCACGGGCGATAACCCAGCCACAATCCTGGCTCTCCCTCTCCGAGAGGGTGACGCCATCGTCAGTCTTGGAACGAGCACCACCTTCTTGATGAGCACGCCTGTATACAGGCCCGACCCGGCGTACCACTTCATGAACCACCCGACAACAGCCGGCCTGTACATGTTCATGCTCTGCTACAAGAACGGCGGCCTCGCCCGCGAACAAGTCCGCGACGCGGTCAACGCGCTCGACAGCGAGCCCGACAAGTCCTGGGAAAAGTACAACTCCACGGCGCTCTCCGAGGCCGTCCTGGGCCAGCCGGCATCGAGTCCCGACGCCCCCATGAAGCTCGGCCTCTACTTCCCCCGCCCGGAGATCGTCCCCAACGTCAAAGCCGGCATCTGGCGCTTCCTCTACGACCCGTCGTCGAAACACTCCCCCGCGAACCAGCAGCTCCAGGCGCGCCTCACGCCCCTCCCTTCGGACCGCGACCCCCGCTGGGGCGGCCCCGCCGCCGACGCCCGCGCAATCGTCGAGTCGCAGTTCCTGTCGCTCCGGCTGCGCAGCGCCAGCCTCGTGCACCCGCAGCCGTCGGCCGCGACCGCCGGAAAGACGCTCCCCGCGCAGCCGCGCCGCGTCTACCTCGTCGGCGGCGGCTCGCAGAACCCGGCCATCGCCGACCTGTGCGGCCAGGTCCTCGGCGGCGCCGAGGGCGTCTTCCGCCTCGACATCGGCGGCAACGCGTGCGCCTTGGGCGCCGCGTACAAGGCCGTCTGGGGCGTCGAGCGCAAGGTGCATCAGCGGAACCACCAGGAGGCGGAGGAGAAGGAGAAGAAGGAGCAGAAGCAGATCGTCGCCAACTACAAGCAGAAGGACGGAGAGGGCATCGAGACGTTCGAAGAGTTCATCGAGGCGCGGTGGGACGAGGAGAATTTTGTCAAGAAGATTGCTGAGGGCTACCGTGAGGGTGTTTTTGAACGGTATGCCGAGGCGGTCAAGGGGTTCGAGGCTGTGGAGAAGTGGGTGTTGAAGAGGTTTGGGGAGGATAAGTAAGAAAGAAGTAGGAGTGAGATGAGATTGTTGGCTATATATTCTCAAGAGAAGAGGAAGAAGAAGGAGGAGGGGAGGGGGGGAAAAGAAAAATTGTTTCCTTTCTTTGAAAGATTGATATAGACTTAGCTCGATTTTTATTTGAGCGACGGCTCTACTGGCTGGTAAAGCAACTTGGAAATGTAATGACTACTATCTACTTACCTACGACACAATCTCGGTTGCTTAGTAGACATCGTATATACTTATATATACGACGCAAGCGCTCCCTCTTTTAGGTATAGGAATGCTTACATTCTACATTCTTCTCCTTTTCTTCTAGGTGATAACGAGAATGATGAAAAGTTATACTCCGCGTAAACAAAACGCCTACCCACCACCCAGTTGCCCCCCCGCACGTAGGTCGGTCCGCCGTCTAAACAAGCACTGGAAAGGGGAAGAAAAAAACCATCGATGATATTTTTCTTCTTTCGCCAACCGATTGAGAACGGGCGCGCGCTATTCAAGAAATGATGACGACGACGATGATGATACATCTCTACAGTGATGATAGACGACAAGCAATGCAAAAAATGAAAAGCACAGGGTATTTTTCTTTAAATCATTCTCTCTTCTTTCTCCCTCTCTCTTTCTTTTTCTCCTTTTTTCAGTCCAAAACAATGGAAGCAAGAACCAAGACCAATGATTGCGCATACATCTCCATCTCTTCTCCTTCATCCCTTCTCCTCCCCCTCCTCACCTCCTCTTCGTAACGCCACCATTCGACTTGCTCTCATGCTTATGCTCGTGAATGTGCTCATGGTCATGGTCATGGTCATGGTCGTGGCCATGCTCGTCGCCACCAGGGCTACTCCTCGCGCTGACATCACTCGGGATGAACTCGTCCAAGAAGTCGGGGCCGTCGCGCTCCTTGTCGGCGGCGACGAAGCGGATCTTGACGCGCTTGGCGCCGCGCACCTTTGCGCCGACGCGGGCGCGGACGAGGTCCTCGACGCCGGCGAGGCGCTCGACGCTCCAGGCGGCCGGCACCGCGAGCTCGAGCTCGAGCAGGTAGTTGGGGCCGGACTTGAGGCCGCCGACGCTGCGGATGTCGACGTCGTTGGCCGACGAGGCCGACGAGGCCATGCCGGCGTCGGCGAGGGCCTTGGACGTCGCGCGGCGGACCGACGACTTGATGTCGTCGTCGATGGAGACGTCGATGAGCTCGCTGAGGGCCTGGAAGAGGTTCTCGTACCCGGCCTTGACGACCATGCCCGTGATGATGAGCGAGCCGACGGGGTCGAGCCAGGCGGCGTTGGTCGCGAAGTTGGACGCCATGATGATGCAGGCCGTCAGGATGGCCGTGAAGGAGTCGATGCGGTGGTGCATCGCGTTGGAGAAGAGCACGCTCGACTTCCTTTCGCGGGCGACCTTGCGTGCTGTTCGGCTTTGCGTTAGCGACTGTTCCATAGGTAGTCTTCGCATGCATGCTGGACAGAGTCCCACTGCAACGAGAGCTGCTGCGAGAGGAATTGAGGGGTGTCAAAACGTACTCGCATAAACCAACCACTCCTTCAAACCCGCCGAGGCAAAGAGCAGCCACGCAGCGTTCAGATGCGGCACGGCCGCCGCCATGTCGACGGCGCTGTGGCTGTGTCCGTGCCCGTGATCGCCGTGATCGTGGCCATGATCGTGGCCGAGGCCGAGGAAATCGAAGTGGGCCAGGGCTTCGGCCAGCTCGGGCGCGAACTGCTGGCTGAGGGAGAGCACGGCGCTCCAGCCGATGCCCAAGCCGCCCAGCAGCAGGATCGACGACACGCCCAAGCTCCCCAGGCACTCAATCTTGCCGAAGCCCGTCGGGTAGCGCTCCGACGGCGGCTGCAGCGCCCATTTGACCGTCAGTAGCGTCATCAGGTCCGAGACCATGTCCGAAAGCGAGTGGAAGGCGTCGCCGATGAGCACTGTGTTGTCCATAACGCCTGGTCAGCTAACTTTTTCCTGGTCCGCAAATGAAAGATTCCAATGTAAAGGTCTAGGGACGCTGGCAAATTCGTGCGCTCACGACACCCCCGCGGCGGCCGCAGGCAGTTGTAGGAAGAAGGGGGAGCTCCGCGGGAGAGTAGGGGGAAAACGCACTCTTGCTGTTCCAGTAGTAGCCGGCGAAGCCCTTGCCCACAGCAAGCACTACGTTGAGCAGCAGGCCGAGTCGTGTGATGCGCACGGCAGCATCGTTCTTGTCGCTGCTCAGCAGCAAGGCAGGATCGGTGCCGTGGTGGTGGTGGCCGTGGCCATGGCCGTGGCTGTGGCCCATGTGCTCGCGGGTCTGGGTCGCGCTCATGGCGGGATTCAGCCTCCGGAGGCGGCGCACGCTGGAGGGGCTGGCGGCGGCGGCGGCGGCGGTGGTGACGAGCGAGGAGTAGCAGCGCGGGCAACTGAGGGCTGTTGGCGGCGGCGGCGGCGGCGACGAGGCGAGGGTAGCGGAAAGGACGGGATAGGCGGCGCGAGCGGGAGAGGAGGCGGCGGCTGGTGTCGAGGGGCAGAATCGGCGGCGGACCAGCTGCTTAAACAGCCTCGCGGTGGTGGTCGAGAGTCGGGAGGTCGAGGCGCAAGACGAACGTGGCCCTCCGCCGGCCATCACTCGCGGCCGGTCCCACGGCCGCGCGACGCGTAACACGGACAGGGACGCGCCGCCATTGCTGCGGGCGGCGCGCGCGAGCATAAGGGCGAGACTCACTGCTAACGACAAGGAAACGGAAGTCCAGCGATAACCCCGCGCTTGGCCTGCGTTCGGTTGCTGCTCTGAGGTTCACAGCTGCGGTTTGCGGACAAGATTCTGCCGGGAAACAGGCCGCCGCAGTGGTGTGCACCCGGAGCATTCGTCATCGCTGCCCTTTACGGCCGGCCTTCGCTCGGCGACCCTCCTATTTCTCGACCACCCCACCCCCGCCGTCGAATGGGAGGCGGGTTGAAGTAAGCGCGAAACCGCTATATTGCGACGCTGCCGGGGGCGCAGTGCTTGGCGCGCCCGGCCAAGCTCCAGGAACGCAGCGGCGAAGCAATGCCGCGCTGCGGGAGGGGCCCGCAATGGCGCGTCTGGTCTACGCAAGCTGCCAGTCTGGCCGCTCCCTGCTCATCTCCCGCTGCACGCTCGGCCACAGAGGTCGCAAGTCAAATCGTCCTTTCCTGCCGTCTATCGAGTATGCAGTATGTATGTAGTGCGCGACAAAACACAACCCAGCCAATGATCGTCGTCCAAATCAGCAAAGCCGCCTCCGCCAAACGTAACGCCCAAGTCAGAAGGCCGTCCGCCAGTCCACCCGTGGTATATGAGGCAATAGTACAAAGCATGTGCAGCTCAGCGAACCAAACGCAAAGGAAAGAACAGGAAAGACACAGTGTACAAAAAAGACTCGTTTCCGCCGCCAGCCCGGGGTCGTCACGGGCCCGTTCCGCCAGGCAGCACCTCGCGCCACGCCCCTCCTCCCCCACTGCACAGCCACTTCAGCTCTGTGGCGCGTGGTAGCCTGGATGTGGCTCAGGAGAGAGCATTGACTGGATCGAGGGTCCGCCCCTCTGGTTCGTGTGGAAGCCTCCACCAGTCGGGCTGGGTTGCGGCTGTTGATGACCTGCTCCGCCATGGCTCGGGCCAGCCTCCGACGAGTAGTCCTCTACCTCGTTCTCAGCATCCGAGTATCCGATGCCGCTGTCGCCTTCGTAGTAGTTACCTCGTCCGCTATCGCCATCGTAATTGTCTCGCTCCTTGCGCTGCCCGGCACGGTACGCTGCCTGGAGGTTCTTCAGTCCGCGTTCCATGCACTGCCAGACACCGTGTTAGTCAACTGATGCTCGCCACCTGCCATTGATGCTCGCCAGAGAGAGAGTAGGGATCAACAACGTACCTTGGCTTCGACAGTGGCCCACTTTTCACCCACACGCTCGGCCAGGATGCTCCACATCTCCTTCCTGACGTTCATGTATTCACGCGCCAGCACCTCGAGCCTGACGCCATCCAGATCCTGGGCGTTCTGCCGCTCCATGAGGCGTTCGTGGCGTTTGCGGCACGCGTTCGGTGTCTTGTTTGGGAAGTGCCTTGCCGCAATAGGCTGCCAGTTGAGGCCCGATTTCCGTGCCTCCATGAGGCGCTCGTCGTCCGAAGGCAACCATTGCGCCGCTCCCCGTGATTCCTTGCTAGACGCCGACGATTGCGTTGGGAGGGTGACTGGCTGGACCCGGTGAGGATGAGACGGGGCTCTGACTTCTTTCGGCATTGGAAGATGGAGAGGGTATGTTTGGTTTTGTGTGGTCTGAGGTCTCGGAGGTTGATGGTGAGGGGCGGTGTCCAAGATGTGATGGGGACGGTGGCCAGGAGATGATGGGAAGCAGCGAGGATTAGGATTATGAGGACTCTCGAGGACGAGGCGTATCCAAGACCGTGATGGAGTGAGACCAAGGTAAGGCCGGCACAATAAAGGAAACCGCAAGGGGACCAAGGAAAAGAAAAGTGAAGTGGAGCTGTGGGTGCTGCTGGAGAAGCATCTGGTGAACAAGCAAAACAGAGTTGGCGCAGAGCTCGCGCCCCGCCATTCATATAGCAGCATCTGCGGCACAGCTGGAGGCATCGACAGCCGCAATGACTGCTTGGCCAGCCGGTGGCTGCGCAGCATTCCAATGACCTAGCGTCGACGGGGCGCGTGAAACGCTTTCTGGGTCGATTAGTCGCCAATGCGGCTCAGAAAGACCCCGATTGGGAATTTAATCGCCATTTGGGCGTCTGAAACTCGACACCGGCTGCGGCGTACATAGGCGCTTCGTCGAAAAAGCGGGATTCCTCTGAGATGCGGCCCTGTGAGTGGCCGGCCGCGTGGTGCGGCCGTCGTCGAGGTCGCCAGAACGGCCCAAGTTGGGGTGGCGGGGCCTGGGCAGCAGGGGCCCGGGGCGGACAGGACGACTGCTGTTTTTAGAGAGAGCGCGTATGGGGGTCTGGCAGCCGAAGCGGGATTGCGGTTCGGCGGCTATCTTGGGCGGGCGGCTAAGGCTGGACGCTGGCTTGTGAGTGGTCTTGCGGGCGGCGGCCCATTGTTTCCCGTCCTTCTGCAAGGGACCAGATCCTCGATGGCCATTGCTTGCTGGATAGGGCTGAGACGTGCGGGCAGAGCGGCGGACGCGGGCGTGGTTTCGGGCGTGCGGCGGCGGTGGTGTTGTCCGCGCTGCAGCGGCCGGGCCAGTGGCGTGCGCTGTCGAAGCGCGACGGGCTAGCGTGGAAGCATTTCTGCAGCTCCTGAAACGCAAATTTGGCGCTGGACGGCGGCTCGAGACGGGTGTGCGTTTGCGCCAGTTGCGGGAGATGATTCAGGCGGCGCGCGTCCACAGCGAGCGGCCGGAAGCGGAAGTGCAAGCGAACGGCAGCCGTCTCCGCGCCTTCCAGCCGCCCCACGCCTCCCTCCCGCTCCCGCCCATTGCCGCGACGCACCCACGCACCCACCCGCCGGCCTCGCAGCCTTCTTCAGCAGGCGGCTCCGAAAATACTCTGCACTGCTCGCGGCACCCTGCTGCCACTTCCACGCGAGATGATGGCATCGTGCCGCCGCGCGCTCGAGACGGCCTCAGCCCAAGTGGGGCTGCCAAAGACGCCGCGCTCGACCACACAGAAAATAGCGGCAGCGCCGTGTCAATCGCGCGCTTGATCCTCTCTGACGATTCATGATCACATCCAGCGCTTTGATCAGTTGCGAGTCCGCCTGCCCTCGAGCCGCCCCGTCCGTGGGCCGACCCGCGAACCGATGGCCTGAGAGTCCGTGGCAGCGCCACTTGCCGTGCCTCCGCAGCAGAAGAGATTCACGCTTTCCTGCTCGCCATAGGCCATCGTCGATTGAGTTTCTCCGGATCTTCTTGGACAACGGTGCCAGTGACCGGTCTGCACGGTTCCTCCGTCACCAGTGCGGGAAGCTGGCCGCGACTATCACCGGACCCGCTCCAAAAAAGAAATGCCATTCTGAAGGCTAAAGGCTAGAATCACAACTACCGCCCCCAGCGCCTTGCAGGCGCCTCGGCGGGAAAATTTCGCCTCATCGACACCATTTTTGCCATTGGACAGGCCTCTCCGGCACACTGGTTCTTCACAGCCTTTTTCACAGACAATTACGGCGGCTCGGTAAATCCGGGTCCGGACTCGTTCGACTACACCCTCTTCATCATTTTGCCGTGAGCCTTCACGCGCTATGATGATTTGTACGCGCCTTCACCCTGCTCATGTGCTCACATCGTCAGTGCACTGTAGCTGCGAAGGCCCGTTCTCCCAGGCGCTACGGTCGATACAACGTCCGACACGGGAAACTGATCGAAGCCGTTGACACAGTCTGTGCCGAAATCGGGCCATGTTTGCTTCTGTTCGCGACCTCACACCCTTCAGTGCACGGATCAGTAACCAGACCACGGTTCCCCACCCCGCGAGAGCTTGTAAACTGTAGGAGCTGCGTTATTGCGATACGATGGAGACTGATGTCGCACAACGCGAAAACGCGCAGCGCGCATCTGCCGAGTCATGTTTCGCAGCGCATGTAACTTCATTCCGCATGGGTGTCGGATATCTCGAGTGTATCATGGCCAGAGTGAGCACGAAGCATCGATCAGCACCGTTCATTGCACCCTTTCTCACCAAAGATGTTGCTGCAGCGGAAGCGTCCATCTATCGCTAAATCGGAGATATTTGCCTTACGGCAGAATCATCATCCGGCTCTACTTATTTTACTGCTCAACTGGTCAATGCTTCTTCGGACTTTCCTGCTAGAGAGCTAGCCTGCCAAGCATGTGCGGCGCTTAGATTTTTCGACTCTCGAGGAGCTCCCGCTAATGTGTCATAGAGTCGAGTGATACGAACAGTAAGTAACCAAGAGAAGAATGATCAAGTAGGCCAAGTCCAGCGTTTGGCTCTGGGACATCAATGCTACTACGTGGGTGGTGACTTAACCTTCACAGCTTGAAATGCATCAGAATTGCCAACTTTCAGGGTCCTCTCGATAGCGTTGCTTAGGAGGGGCAAAGTACCAGAACGATATGTTGTAACACGAATGAATTGATCCTCGGGACAGAAGCCACGCTACAAAGTATCGTACGATGAAATATGTCCAAGACCAATCCCGTCATTCTGCATTGAGAAGGCATGTGGGTATCCGAACCTCAACAAAATGAAAATTAATGAACCCTCTAGAAAAACGCAATGCCGAACGACGTGTAAAAGCCCAAAAAAAAAATCAAAGCCAAGTGATACAAACCATTACGCGGATTTTCTGAGCAAATAAAGAAGAAAGTTTAAACAAGTCCATGACCACTCCAACAGATGCCGCTCATCCCACACATGCAATCCATTCAGTACGTCAAAGAGACGCACTTCCCGGCCCAAGTCTCCCGCCTCATAACCGCCTCCTCCCAGATCCAAGCAGCGACATCGTCCCTGGCAACGGTATACCCGACCGCAGGGCCCGGCGCACCCTCCCCCTTCCCACCCGCGCCCTCCCACCCCACCCGCACCGCTCCTTTCCCCTTCGCCCCACCATCCAGCAACAGCGACGGCCGCACGACAACAAAGCCCCCCAGCGACCCCTCCGCCTCCGCCGCGACGACGCAGTCCTCCATGTCGCGCTTGTCCTCGTGCGGCACGCGCAGGAGGTAGTGATACAGCGGCACGAACAGCAGCGGCACGTCCCTCTGCACCCTGCTGACGCCCGTCGTGCTGATGGCCACCATCCCCGGCCCGCCCCCCGCCTGCGTGCGGCACCCCTCCGCGAGCAAGCCGCGCAACGCGTCCACGACGTTGCGCGTCGCCGCGCCGCACAGCCCCGGCTGCTGCAGCGTGACGGGGCTGCGCAGGCTCCATTGGAGCGCCGGCAGCGAGCCGATGCCGCTGACGATGGTGTCGACGAGGGTGTTGCTGGGCTGGCCGTCGTTGGGGACGGTGAGTAGGGCGCGCAGGGAGGCGGCTGCGGCGGCGTCGGAGTCGGAGGCGGACCCGGAGATGATGGTGAGGTTGCGGTCGATGAGGTCGGCGGGGACGCCGCGGGTGGTGCTGAGGAGCGTGCGGAGCTTGGCTGGGTTGCGGACGAGCGCTGTGGCGTGGTGGCCCGCTTTGAGGGCGCGCTCGAGGACGGGGAGGGTGCAGCCGCCTGTGGCGCCGAGGAAGGCGATGGTTTGGACTGGGGCGGTGCTGGTGCTGGTGCTGGTGCTGGCGCTCATGGTGTTGGTTTTGGTTGAAAGTGGCGAGGTGTGGTGAATTTTGTCGTAGTTGGCGGTTGGTGGTTCCTTTGTTGGAAATTTCAAAGACTTGTGGTTGCTCGAGTCGAAGACTGGTTGGTGGTGTTGATATCGGTGGCCATCATTGTTCTCAGCCCAGCTCTTTTATAGTCCCAATAGATATAGCCATCCGTGCTGCGCCCTCTGCTGCCAAATATGCCGCCGTTCTCTGAGGTTGCTCCATGATTGCGATTGTGAGGTCGACGTGCGGTCAAACGGGGCATGTTGGGGCTTAAAGCGGGAGAACATGCAGTCGGTCGGCTAGATTATTGCTCCGTCGGGGGTCCGGAATAGGCTAGTCGGGCAAGGCGCAGCGGACATTATTAGCCGTTCGAGGACTAGCGTCTGCTGCTTGTGATCCTTCCACGGGAGGCATCTTCCCATGACCCTTCAGCCGTGGCTTGAAACGTTGCAGGATGGTAAGCACACATTATTATTGCTCACAGAAGGCAACGACCAACTTCTTTTGAAAGGGTGCATCCATTGATTCTCGGCATGCCAAAGGTGCCGACGATGCCAAAATTTCATACCTACGTTGTTGTTGAGAGACCGCAGTGGGCGCAGAGTGCTTGCATCAGTTTGAGTACGTACGCGGCTGTGCCCAACACAAGTCTTCGATATTGATCGTAAAATCCCACTTCTTGGGATTCGAGCCTTGTAGTCAGAATGCTGGCACCGATACGCAGAGATGGAATCCGCATCTTGGTTCAGTGGTAGGGAACGTTCCAAAACGACGTGTAGATTACATCGCTTCCATACTTTGCGGTGCAAAAGCACACTGCTACCTAGCGTTTAGCATGCGAGCACAGATCGCCTAGCCCGACGTTGGTGTATTTCACAAGACATGAGTAGTGCTTAGGGGGGAAAAGGTTCACCTGGTGATTGGAGGTTTCAATATTTGATTCAGAGCCTTGTTTCAAGCGCCATCCTGGTGCTGATCCCGGAGCTGCACAAAATGTGACCGCATCTCCTCCGCTAACCTTCCAGTAGCCCCTTCCAAGATTGTCCCAACAAGGCTGTAATTGTTGAACAGAAAGCGGTCTTTCTTCCGCTGTTCCGCAATGCCCTTGCTCCGCTTCTGCAGGTACGCCTCAAATTCAATGCGCAAGCGCCACAAGCTATTCGAAACAGGTTCATCGTCCGCAGCCTCAGAGCTCAATGTCAGAACGCCGTGGAGGAAGTTGGCAAAGCGTTGAGTCAAGGCGACCGGCGCCGTGCTTTGAGCTTCTGAGGCTGCTGTAGACGATGACGCCAGTATGCTAGTAGATGCTGCCGGGCGACCCGGCAACGAAGCTGTCAGTGCTTGTATAGACTTGCAATGAGTGTCCATAATCTGCTGAAAGCGCGGCCAAAGTAGCATGTTGGTCCCATTGATGTAGCTTTCAGCGGCTGGGACCTTGCGACGTTGCATCTCAAAAGCAAAGTGTTGGTTGAGACGCACGCATAGTAGTATGCCAAGTGCATCCATGGTTGTGTCGATGAGTGACTTTGTAAGAGCCTGGCCAAGAGCGAAAGTCGGCTCAAAGATTTGTGAGAATGTGCGGCCAATGGCATGATAGGATTGAGATGAAGAGAAGTAGGATGTTAGGAACGTATACTCAAACGCTGCGTTATCAACAATGGCGAGATTGAAGGTATGGAAGGACAACTCCAAATAATGCGTTGCCTTGTCTTCCTCGAGGACGTGCAGAGTTAGGGCGTTGTGATTGGACCCTCTCAGCAGATCCAGCCGTCTGCCAATAGAGAAGGCATCATGCGGCGCTGCAGGCACTTTCGCATTGCTCAGCATAGCACCGCGCCTTTGGCTTTCTGAGCCCATGGCATCGTGCTGATCGATTACATGTAATTTGAGTTTCTGAAGAGCCTGGTGGTAGCGCGTGAAATGGTTGAGATAGTACCAACGCATCGTGTTAACATATGCCTGGCAGAGCTCGTCGGCGAGCTTCTTCTGATGACGAGACAGAAAGGCGTAGAGGTCCTTGAATTTGAGGAAGCCTTGCTGCTGGATGACTTGGGCGTTGATGCTCGGCGATCTAAGCGCTTTGATCTGCGCAACTATGTAGTCGCGGACGCGCTCAACAGCCTTGTTCATGGAGAGCCATGTCAGCTTGTGCAGGGAAGAGTGGCGGAGATACAAATCACCTTGTTCGTCAGGTCCACAAGAAGCGGTTTCAGGTCGTTGAGAGCCTTGACCTTGCTGTCGTCGTTTGACTTTGCATTGACAGCCTTTGATCGTTTTTCGAGCTCCTGCAGAGCCTTTGAGAATCCCTCATCTACCGGCCCTTCCACTATGCGACGCACAACGGCGGGAGATATGCTGTTCTCTTCCACCGCAGGACCCAATAGCTTTTCCACCACTTTCCGGTTTTCCAATTTCGTGGTGAGGCTGAGCGAGCGGTTTTGCAACGTTTCAATCTCCGCGGACACGGCCCCCAGATCCGCCTGGAAACCTGTAAGGTACGTTTCGACAGACTTGAGCACATCATCACAGGCCTGTACGCAATCAGCTAGATGGCACGGCGAGCACATCACGGCTACGTAAGGTAGCATTTTCACGCAGAAAGCAGACGTACCGTCACGGAGCGGTGTAAGTCCTCAAGTTTGTCACTAGCCTGAGCATCTGAGGACGTGTACGCGTAAGCATGGCATGGAAAAGACGAGCCAGGGCGAACATACATTCTTCGACCGATTCGGCGCTGTGGGCCTGCAAATCAGCAGGTCGCCGCGGCGATTCGCATTCTGCGGTCACAAACGCAGCCAGACTCAAACCGCCAAAATCTACATCCTCGGCGATGTCCGGTGGGCGTTCGACGGCAGCTCGAGCCGACTCGTCGCTCTGCTCGGGGTTCTGTCTTTTGGGTGGGCCGCCTAGGATGTCCTCGAGCACCTTCTGCGGGTCTGGAACGTCGGCGGGAGGCGAACTGTTGATCTGAACGCGCAGGCCGGAGCCATTGGGGAGACGGGCCTGAGCAGGCAGGCTCGAAGTCGACGAGGTGGGCGACAGCAGCGACAATGACGACGAGCGCGGGTTGACGCCGGGGCGCTGGGGGGGCGGGGCCAGGTATGGGCGGCGGTTAGGGGCAGGCGAGTACGAGCGGGCGGGCGAGGGCGAGGGCGCGGGCGAGTGCTGCGCCGAGTGCGATGCAAACCACATCACGGTAGCGTGGGCGCGCGGGTCATGGTGTCGCGGGGTGCGGGAGTAGGCGTCACGGTGGACGGCCGGGGGAGCTGGGCCTGGAGCGGGCTCCCGTGCCTGCGCAGAAGCGCCGGCTGCGGCTTGGGGGGCAACCTGGCACGGACGCCGGAGCTGGCCCAATGGGTCGACGGCGATTTGGTTCTTCCGGACGACTAGTCTTTTCCCCTCCTCGTCCAAACAGAAATCGCACAACCAACTCTCCATCCTCCTCAACCCCTCCCATCACCTGCCACTTCTTCTCCGCCCGTTCTTCCCTCCCCCGCAAGCCTCGTCGCACCACCAACTTTCCTCACGACACAATGGCCGACGACGCCCAGGTACGTGCCACGCCCAGCCGCGGTTTTTTTCTCGCCTGCCCCACCTTTTATCGATTGTTGTTGCGCCCGGCTGCGTACTCGAGATTCGGCTCGCCATCGTGGCTTTTCAACGCCTGCTGACACGCGCTTGCAGCATGAGCACACCTTCGAGAGCGCCGATGCCGGTGCTTCTCTCACCTACCCCATGCAGTGCTCTGCTCTGAGGAAGAACGGCTTCGTCGTCATCAAGAGCCGTCCCTGCAAGATCGTCGAAATGTCCACTTCGAAGACGGGCAAGCACGGCCACGCCAAGGTCCACCTTGTCGCCATCGACATCTTCACCGGCAAGAAGCTCGAGGATCTTTCCCCGTCCACCCACAACATGGACGTCCCCAACGTCAGGCGCAGCGAATACCAGCTCGTAAGTCGCGGCCCGCCAAAATGCGCCAGCTCCATGCTGACATGATCTGCAGCTTGATGTCACCGACGACGGTTTCCTCTCCCTCATGTCCGACGACGGATCCCTCAAGGACGACGTCAAGCTCCCCGATGGCGAGGTTGGCGAGAAGATCAACAAGCTCTTCACCGAGGACGGCAAGGACACCAGTAAGTAGCCTTGGGCAGCGCAGACGACGCGCTCTGCAAAGTCATAGCTAACGCCTCTGTAGACGTTGTTGTCCTTACCTCCATGGGCGAGGAGGCCTGCATTGACGCTAAGGAGGCTCCTAAGGGCGCTTAAGCATTTTTTTCCTTGGAAAGTTAAGCAGAAGAGGCCTGGATTGGAGCAAGCATGGCGCCTTGCTCGGGCGCTACTTAATAACAACTCATGCTCTTTGAAAGCGGAGCACGTGCACGTCATGTTGTAGCCCCGAAGTTGTGGCAGTTTCAGTTTTGATCCTTGAACGGCCACCTGAAGCAAATAGTGGTGCGGATTTGGTTCTTTTTGCGCGGATTACATTAGCTGGGGCAGCGCTGCGATGTGAAAAACATGCCGGCTCCAAAAATCATCACGATGTCACGGAAAATGACGTCTTCGTTTTTCGCTCGAGTGATGTGTGCACTTTTTCGACTTCATCTCTAATGCCTCGAAGGAAGCGACACCTGCAATTGGCTATCGGACTAAACATTGAATAGGCCGTTTGCTGGGTGCGAGCTTGAATCATGTACGACGGTCTTTTGACATACATTTCTTGCCGCATTGGGTTACAAACATGCTATCTCGCGGTTGCCTTAGAACAAAGCACTTGTTCTCGGTCCAAGTCAACCTCTGCACATCTATCGGCGAGCAGGCAAATCGGCTATTCACATCGAAAATGCGTGATTCATCACGCGGTTCTAGGGATGATTAAATATCCTGGGAGTCGTCGCGCATCTTGAATTTCAAGAGGCGTTATGGCTATGAGTAGCCGATCTCATTCGTACATTCAGCCTAGCAATTTGTGTACCTCTGATGGCGCCTGCAGAATGCGGTTGCCAAACGTTATCGATTATCGGCAAGGAAAACGGAAGCGGCAACGTAAAGGTAATCCGTAGATGTGGACGAAATTCAAGAAGACTATCCAGCAGACTCGGAGGGCCAGCTAACATCTTCTCCACCTTCACTGCACCACCAATTATTTACCCAGAGTTCTCTACCGGAGCTTCCTCATGACAGCAGAGGGTTGGTTATAGATGATCGCACTTCGAACATTACCGGTCGCAGGCTCCGAGGAACCAAGCACATGCTTCGTACAATCGCGACGATCGAAGAAGGGAAACCGGTAGGCACGTGAGGTCAGAATAATGCGACCATGAGAACGAATTTCCTGCTGATGGCGCACCCAGTGTAAAGAAAGTTGAGCTCTCGACAAGAATGTCAGCGATTTGAGCAATAAATTTGCCCAAAAAAAAAAAAAGTTCGAAGGTTCGACAAGGAGTCCATGTTCCTTGTAGGAGGTGACGCACGCAGTGTTGGTGAGGCATCGGCACTCTCGCTTAATGCGCACTAAGCCCAGCCAGCCGAAACTCCCCCACGCAGGTTTTGACCTCTCGCCCGACGACACTTTGTCCGCATCACCAGGTCACTAACGGAACAGCAAAGAGTGAGTCGCCCCAACCGCCTCCATGCCGAGATTCTGAGCACCCCGCTGACCCTGATTCGCGATCTAGTGCAGATGTGAGCCTCCATCATGCCCGCGACGGGTTGCGCCGCTTTGCAGCACCGAACGAGAACTAACGCTTGTATCGCGTAGCTTCGTCAAGACCCTCACGGGCAAGACCATCACCCTTGAGGTCGAGTCCTCGGACACCATCGACAATGTCAAGAGCAAGATCCAGGACAAGGAGGGCATTCCCCCGGACCAACAGCGCCTGATCTTCGCCGGCAAGCAGCTCGAGGATGGCCGCACCCTGTCCGACTACAACATCCAGAAGGTACGGTGTCCCGGACGCAGAGGTCGCTGGACAGTCTGAAGGCTGCACGTGCAACTTTAGCCGAACATGCGTTATGTGCCAATCGATCGCTAACGCGCATCGCTGTATAGGAGTCCACTCTGCACCTGGTCCTCCGTCTCCGTGGTGGTATCATTGAGCCCTCGCTCAAGGCCCTTGCCTCCAAGTACAACTGCGAGAAGATGATTTGCCGCAAGTGCTACGTACGTCCATCCAAGGCTGATCGAACCGAGTTTGAGCTGCAAGCACTCAGATTTAGGGCCACAAATTTCGGTATGTGACACGGCTGACCAACTTGCAGGCCCGCCTGCCCCCGCGTGCCACCAACTGCCGCAAGAAGAAGTGCGGTCACACCAACCAGCTCCGCCCCAAGAAGAAGCTCAAATAAGCGACTCGTTTCGTTGCGGTGGTGGCAAGGTTGTGGAGTGGGATTTTACGGCGCTCACGGGTCTGGGCGTGGGGCTACTTTGGCAGAGCTGTTACATACACTCCGGAACTTTCTTAACGAAGCAAAAAAGCATACCCAACGACCGCCCAAGGCTCGAATCGACCACCGTGAGCGCCGTAGCGACGGAAGAGATTACTGGTGAATAGGTTCGCTAGCAGGTGGCGTCGTTCCTGGGGAAGACACAATTGAGCCTTGACCGTTACAACACTCCCAAAACAGCGCTTCAATTTCCGAACTTCTGACATGTAGGCTCGAAGACTCTTTGTTCCTTGGCTTTTGGCGGCATCCCTAGCTCTGGCTGCCCTGCAGGCTACTGCGCCAAATAGCCGCCATCGACGGGCAGTCCGATTCCAGTCACCCACGCCGCGTCATCCGAGGCTAGGAAAACGGCACCTTTAGCCACATCCGTCACATTCCCCCATTCGCGCCACGGTGTAGTGTTGATCATGGCGGCATTGATTTCGGGATCAGTAAAATTCCCCTTTGTCATCGAGGTTTTTGTGACTTGCGCTTGTGAGAGAAGTCGGGCAGTGATAGGGCAGGCAACTTACAGCCGGGGCACAACGCGTTGCAATGGACTCGATCAGCTGCGTAGTCAACGGCGATCTGTCTGGTCATGTTAAGAACGGCACCTTTGCTTGCACAGTAAGCGGCTGCCCAGGGCATTTTGTCAGCTGGAAGCGGTTGGAAATTACGTCGCGGACGTGACGTGACCCACCAGCGCCGTTTGTGATTCCCACGTAGCCCAACATGCTGGCAACATTCACGATCCAGCCTCGTCTCCCACTGGGGTCCGGGCCTTGCTTGAGAAACTGAGCGCAGGCATACTTGCAGCCGAGATAGACTCCGCGAACGTTGACTCTCCTAGCCGACATCTTAACATCTTTTCGCCTTGAATGGTGGGCATCCGCCGACACACTCACATCATTCTGTCGAACTCGTCGTCTTCTTCCTCGTGCACACGTATGGATGGGTCCTTGATCCCAAGCCCCGCGTTATTGACAATGCTAGAATTTGCGCGATGAAGCCTGTGTCAGTTCCTTGCATTCCTTGCCGCTTCACGCGACGCTCTTCATAGAGTGATTCGGATCTGCTTCTGTAGCTCCCTTCGGCCATCAATATAAATCTACTCACATGTCCATGCGTCCGTCGCCCTTGTCAACAGCCAGATCAACAGCCTGCTTGACGTCTGTTGGAATACCGACATCGCACTTGGCAAAGACGGCCTTGCCGTTGCCGAATGCCTTGTTGATGAGTTCATGTGTCGGGACTACTGCATCCTCGCCATCTTCCACTCCCAGCGACGGAGCGGGGCGCAAATCTGCACAGACAATCAACTTGGCGCCGTGCGAAGCGTAAGCCAGTGCAATCGCACGGCCAAGGCCGGAGGAGGCCCCAGTGATGACGGCGACCTTTCCTTGGAGGCGAGGGAGGTGGCCGCCGGCGGATGCCGTCGTAGGATAGGGCGATGCAGTCGACGGGGGCAGGGATGCGGCGGCGTCCCTGGTGCTGGTGCTTTGTTCAGGAAAGCTACGGCCTTGCTCGTTACGGCGCTCGAAACGGCTGGGGGTGATGGAAAGATGACGGGCTGTGTTAGGACGAAAGGAGGAATTGGCAAAGCGCAGTGCAGCGCAAAGCGTTTGCCTATTGAGCGGACGAAGATTCATATTGCACAGCGACAGATTGATTGGTACGCGGTGGTGCCAGGATGAAGCTGCTGCGAAACAACTGGCTACCAGTTCTCATAAATCGGATCCCAAGCCAGTCGGCACGGCCAAATGGTGGTGACAAGCAAGTTGACGTGAGCGTGGCCGCTCGCGCTCGATTCGGCACACCTTCCCCACACTGCTACCCCTCCTCCCCAGAACGGAAATACCTAGCGCCCCGCCTTCCCAGGTCCACAACTCCACGCGACTCAACCTTCCTCCGGCCGCCGGCTTTTGCGCGCTATGACAGCTGGCTGGGGCGACAGACGCCCGTGCCTATAGCCACGCCACGGCCAACAGCGCGCCGGACACAACCGCTGCACTATTCTCAGCCATCCGCACCGCCAGCTCAGAACCGACACCGGCCTGTTCGTTCCACACCCTAGCTACCGTCGTCACTCGCTCTCCCGTCTCTACTTTGCAACCACCATCCGGACCGACCCATGGCATCTCAAACTCTCCTCAGCATCCTGCGCTCGCGCAGCGCGGTTGACTGTGACACGCTCGACGCCTCTGTCGCTGCAGAGCTGGGCCCTTTTGTCGACTGCACCTGCAACCAGGCAATTGCCTGCTTTGAGCTACAGGAGCACCGACACAAGGATCTCCTCAACAAGGCGGCTGCGATTGCGCAAGACGCGAGCCCAAGATATCCAGATGTGAAAATCGAAACACTGGCAGTCGAGATCGGCGTGAGTCCTCTTCATCGCGCAAAGGCGGCTCGATACATTTGCGGCGCCCTGACTAACGTGAGCTTCTTCGGGACTTCAGACGATACTGCTTGCACTCCAAGTCTATCCCAACCTCACAGGCTTCGTACACATTCAAACCAACCCGTTCGACGCCCATAGCACCACCAAAACTGTGGCCGGCGCCCGACGCCTCGTGTCTCTTTTCCAAGAAATCGACTCAGACTTTGACCCAACACGTATCTGTATCAAGATCGCTAGCACATGGGAGGGCTTGCTCGCGTGCCGGGAGCTTGAAAACCAGCACAACATCCGAACCCTTGCTACAACGCTGTTCACCCTCGAGCAGGCAGCGCTGGCAGCAGAAGTTGGGTGCCGGTACATCGCCCCATACGTCAACCACCTCCGCGTGCACTTCGATAAGTCGTACGTCTCAGCACCCCCCGCCTCCAGTGGATGACTCCATGAGCTGACATATCGAGCACATAGGTACACCGATCCGTCCCCAAACCTTGCGCTCTGCGTCGCATCTCAGCGTTACTTCCTCGCACATTCCTACTCCACGCAGGTCTTGCCCGCGAGCCTCACGAGCGCCGCCGAATGCATGAAGCTGGCCGGAGTCCAGCACATCACCATCGCACCCGCTTTGCTTCGCGAGCTTGCCGCCACGCAGGCTGGCGCGACATCTCCCGCTGCGCAGGCTCACTCGCTGTTTGACGATCCGTCGCTCGCTCATGCGCCCGTGCCGCCCAAGTTGAGTTACCTGAACGACGAGGCAGGGTACAGGGCCGCGATTACGCAGGCGAATAAGGGGAAGGAGGAAGAAAAGCTGACCTACGTAAGTTTCTGTGCTGTTATGGGCCCCACTTGGCTCTGCTGATTGGTCTACTTACACTGCCTAACAGGCAATCAATACCTTCTGCGACATGCAGCTCGCACTAGAGAAGGCGATGAAGGCAGTACTGTCCGCGGCGACGTAAAATGTGGAAGACAGGGTAGCATCATTGTAGCATTTTGAGATGTTTAGAAAAGAAAAAGAAAAAGCATGGTCTGGCCACAAAAAAGTAGATGGAGGCAATCGGAGGCCCTTGAAAATGACAAGAAATTTAGACTTGGGATTTATTACGCCGTAATATTAACTCTGCCTTTGCATTTGAGTTGTACATCATCAAGGTCTACATTTTGTGCTGATAGTTACTGCATGTAGAAGTCGAGCCAGCAAAAAAGAAAGGAACCTGGACTCAACCTAACTGTGGTCACTCACCTCCGAACTCCTGATGATTGGAATTACGGCCGAGTCTAAACTGGGCAACAGCAGCAGCAGAAGCAGCAGCAGCAGCATACACCGAAGATCGCCGTAGGTCGATCTCTTTCGTCTGCACCCCACCATGCGGCAGCAACAGCAGCTAGCGCCGAGACGGCCCGGGAAGAAGGAAAAAAAAAAATCGAGACTCCCAAAAGGTAGGTATGCCTAGTATTCTCATCAAGCCAATGAACGCCGTCCCAGTCACGTTCCCCACAATCAAATCAGTCGACAATAATGGGCCCGGTCCGGTGGTCGGTGCGGAGCATGCTCGTCACACCAGTGGGGGAAACCAAGGAAACAAGGAAACCTGCAGCCGCTGCTGTACGTACTTACTCGTGTGAAGCGAGCTCGCAATGACGACGAGCACATGAGTTTTGCAAAAAGAGTCACAGAAGAATAAGACGTTAAAGGATACGGATGCCTTGAGAGAGAGAGGGTAAAGAGCAGAGTCCAAGGCGCTGTTCTGACGTTGTCTCTAAGCACGTGGGGATCTAATGTGCAGCTAGCCAATGTTCCGAGTCACGTAACTTTTTTTCTTCTCTCCATTCATTGCATCATAGGTAGGGAGTGGGCGAGCAAAATTCATGGCAGCGGTAATAAGGAAATAATTCCGCTGTTAAACATGTTCCAGATTTTATTCTCCAGCCACCCGAAACATGCGCCCCCCTAGCTGCGGCTGCTGTTCAGCCAGCATCATTAACGGCTTCCCAGCAACCTCTGTTTTCGCATCTAAGATGAACGCAGATAAGAAAGGCATTAGTGAGCACCTGCCCGCTTGCGCTTCATCTTGAAAACCGCATGGTTCCTTACACCCATGAGGACCACATCAAGGTCTCGAGACGCTCAGCAAGCACCCACTGCTTGGATCTTGTCTGTTGCCGTGTTCCCAATGACAACCACCCGCCTTCTTACGACCCATCACGTGGCCATATATCGTTTTCCCCCTGTTTTGTTTTTTCATTCAGATTCCATTTGCAGGTCATTGAGAATGGGGTCGGGCAAGAAGCAGAAACAAGTGGTTGACAAAACGTGATGTGGAATTGGAAGAGTAGACGAACAGGGGTAGGCAAAAACCTCGACCATATCCAAACCGGCTTAAATTTTTAGTGTGAAGGGAAAGCGAAACCAGGGGATAATACACGGCATGCACTCATGAAAAAGTCGGAAAAGAGAAGATCCTAGCCCTTCGCCCAACGAAGCGGATAACAATAAAATCGATGGGCCCGAGAGGATGTAGGGCTGTTCCTCTAGCTTATGATAGGAAAATGGATTCAAGGAAATAACGCCTCGTAGCAAATGTCGGTCGACGTGAAGATGGCCGGATCGAACGCGATTAAGCCATCCAGGAGCGGGAGATGGTATTGTCGAGTCGAACAATCCTTCATGCGTTTGAGTACGAACTCAACAGCAGAATCCACTCGCACAAAGCGAAGAGCCAAACTCGCAATTCTTCAAGTAAGGACGCCTCAGTTTCAGTAGCGAGGGCGCTTCCAGTAGTATTGCTGGGGAGACAATGTCAGCAAAACGGGACCGAGAAAACAATGCCAGCAGCCAAACACCTCGAAGGCGGATTCTTACCTTGTGGGCCTTCCTCACCGAACGCAAACCGGTGCCACCGACGCCGCCCATGACCGCATCACGGCGCATGTGGTTCTCATCCATCTCGGGAACGTAGTAGTACTCGTTCTCTAGCTGGTGGCCGGACGCATCCTTGCCGACGCGGGTGATCTCACCAATGCAAGCGATAGCGTCAAGCATCTGCTGAAGATCGCTGCCGGTCAACCTTGCCGACGACTCAGCAGCCTGCTCTTCCAACATGGCCCCCTTGGCTACGCGACGAGAGCGTGCACCGTCCGCGGATCCACCACGCAACTCCGCTGGAAGGTTGCCGAGGATCGTCGACAGGGGCATCGAGTGGAGGCGGGAGAAGGCAAGCTGGTTGATGACGTGGTTCTTGATCGGCGACTCATTGATCCTGGGGGTCGACTCGGGATTGGTGCGCGGGGCATCAGAACTGCTCTGTGCACCGTCGGGAGACTCAGGGTGGGACCTCGGCTCCTTAAGAGGACGGCGCCGCCTGCTCTGGGACGCGGCAGTTCCGCCGTGCACGTTGGACATGGATTGCATGCGCGAGAGAATGTTTGCACCAAAGGGCCCAAACGAGTGGACCACAGGATCATTTTCTTCGTCTCGATCAGAGAAGTCGTCAGACTCAAAAGACGAAGCACTGGTCTGAGGTGTCTTACCCTCGTGGGCAGAGATACAGGCAGTACGCGACGATTGAGACTCGGCGAGAGCTGCCCGCGCCTTGTCATCGCCCGACTCGCCGTCCTCGTACACCTGGACAGCTGGGGGCTCGAGGTCAGCAGGGTCAGAAGCTAGGAAGGTGTCGTCATTGGAATTGGAGGCCTTGGGGCCGAGCGATTCTGGTGACTGCGGGGCGAAGGGCGGGGGGCTCGAATTGAAGCCAGCGGTGGATCCGGCCCTTCTCCTGGTAGGACTGCCCTCTTCCCAAGTTGTATCCGAGGCTACTGACATGCTCCGCTTCCTGTCGCGGATGAAGGGCCAGGCGAGAAGGACACGCGTATCCTGAACATCCAGCATGATGTCGGCAGAGGGCTGGTCGGACGAAAAGGTGTCACCCTTGGCTAGATCGTAAATCTGTCCGCGGCAGTGCACCTTTACACCATTCCAGCCAAGACATTCGATGAAGACGCGACCGGACGTGTGCTCGTCGGTGGGAGCGTGGTAGATGGCACGGACATGGACGCGTGAAATCAGGCGATTGGCAGACAGCTGGTGATGAGAAGAGTTGCTCGAGCGGCCCATGAGGAGGGGCTCTCCGCTCGCGGGCACCTCGATGGAGGGCACGGCGCAGAGGGGGTTCCGTTCGGACAGAGTAGAAAGAGTGCGTTGCAGGGGCTGGCGGTACTGGCGCGTCGGCGACGAGGGCAGAACGCCAGTGGACGAGGTGGGCATTGGCGTGGGATAGTACTTCAGCTGGGCCTTGGGCAGCGCGTTGTTATCGTCATACTTGCGCTTGGGGGCGCGCGGCAGGGGCGACGACTGAGGCTCAAAGGCGGGCAGCAGCTTCGGGGGGCTGGACGGGACAGGCCGGCATGGCGACGAGTCGTCAATGGCGGAGTAGAAGTACTGGCGGCGGATGGGCGAGTCCATGGCGTCGAGGGCGAGCGTCGACGCGGCGGATGACGGTGGCTGGTCGGCGACGTGAAGACAGGGCCGGCAGCACGGCAGGCGGCGGACGGGGCCGCAGCTGCGAGGAGGGCAGGGGCGGCGGCAGCGAGAGGCAACGTGTGCTTCCGGGGCGGGCTCAGAGCGAAGCGGCCATGACGGTCAGGGCGGAGGGAGAAGAAGACGAGAGGAGGGCTGGGAGCGGCCGGCAGCGAATTTGAACGAGCCTGACGCGGTGCGGCGCGCCGGTGGTGGATGCTACGCTCAGACTTGCTCCACCTCCGTGCCGATGGCAGCCAAACGCCAACATAAAACGCCAACATAACACGCGCTTCCCACGGGCGCGCTCCGCCGTCTGACGTCGCGCTCCCACGCGTTTTGGCCGCCGCCCCAGCGCACGCGTGCACTGCTCACGAGCTCCCGCCCGGCCTCGCCATGACATCGCGGTGCGTCTAGTGCACGCAGCACTGCAGATCGCGGCCCCCAGAGCCTGCAAAATCCAGACCCGGCACATGGCGGCGGCGGCGCTTCTGCCCGCTTGCAGCCGCCCGCAGCTGTCCAGCCCGGCCAACAAGCTACCGTCTACGGAGCATCTGCCAGGACGTCCGCTTGCTTACCGCAGCCCGCATCACGGCCAACCCTCTGCATCGGGTAGGTCGACTCGCAGACGCGCGAGCGTACCAGAGCCGTGACGTCCGGCCGTGTCGCAACACACGGGGAGCGAAAGTTGAGAATCGCCCGGCGCAAACAAGCACGCGAGCCTCTGTGACAAACCGTTCTGTCCTTCGTCCGCTGTTCTGTCTCACCGACACTGCCGCATTGGGGCTCGTGATCAAGCGCTTAGTCGGGGAGCCTGACTGCGGCAGTGAGTCGTGACAGTATCGCGGTCTCGGCGGTGACCAGGGCGGCAAACCCCGGCAGAAAGAAAGCCGCCGACATTTTTGGCCCAGAATTTCTGCGACACCCTCCCCCAGCATCTACAAGGCACCCGTTCGCCGCACCCCGCCCCTGCAGTTCTAGCAACAATGGCAAAGTCTTCAGATGCTGTGGCGCCCAAATCCGAGTCGGCGTCGCCCTACCAGCTCGATTCCGCCCAGGCTTTGCGCGCCGCAAAGGCCTTGACTGCACACATCAAGTCCTCCGAGAGCACCAAGACGGCCGCGTCCACCAAGAAAAACCTCCTTGAGGACGAGTCTTCCGAAGACGGCGATGTCGCCGCCGACGGCCAGGTCCCAGTGTGGCTGATTGTAACCACCAAGAAACACATTGTCGACAAGAAGCGCCTGAAGCCAACCAAGATTGCGCTGCCGCACCCTTTGCCTGCGCCTGGCCAGAGAATATGTCTGATGTAAGAGCAAGCCCCCACGCCTCTGTAGCTCGGGGAGCCTCGTTTTTAATTCGACCTCCAGCACCGCGGACCCCCAGCGCTCGTACAAAGACCTGATCGAAGAATCGGCCTTCCCTCAAGAATTGCGCGAGCGCATTGGCCGCGTCATCGGCATTTCCAAGCTCAAGGCGAAGTACAAGACCTACGAGGCCAAGCGACAGCTTTACGCCGAGTATGACATTTTCCTGGCCGACGATCGCATCATCACTTTCCTTCCTTCTGCTCTCGGCAAGGTTTTCTACAAGACCACGGCGAAGCGCCCCGTGCCCGTCCACCTGATGGGAAACGAGAAGGTCCAGAAGGACGCCGAGGGCAAAAAGGCCAAGAAGTCCGGCGAGGACAAGAGCTCCAGCATCGTTGGCGCGCCGGCTGCCGTTGCGAAGGACATGCAAAAGGCTCTGGATTCAGCCCTCGTGCACCTGAGCCCGTCCGCAACTACTGCCATCCGCATTGCAAACGCAAGTTTCGAGCCCAAGCAGATCACAGAGAACCTGAAGGCCGTCGTTCAAGCGCTCACAACGCAGGAGAAGCTGATTCCGAAGGGCTGGAGGAACATCCGCTCGCTCCACATAAAGGGGCCGGAGACGACTGCTCTGCCGGTCTGGTTGGCGGATGAACTGTGGGTGGAGGAGCAGGACGTCCTGGACGAGAAGCACAAGCCGGTTGATAAGTCGGAGAGGCTGAAGATCAAGGAGGACGAACAGAACAAGAAGCGGAAGCCGCTTGAGGATGCGAAGGAAGAAAGCACCGAGAAGCCGGCGAAGAAGTCCAAGAAGGAGAAGGTGCAGGGTGCTGACCTGAGCAAGGAAATCGCGCAGCGCAAGGAAACGTTGCGGAAACAGAAGAAGGCAGCTAAAGCCGACGCATAGTTCTTACTTCGTAGGATGCTATTGGATCAACAGGGCAAACCGAGGCGTTTGGGCGTCAAGTAGATCAAAAAGAGCGATGGTAGCATTTGGAACCAACATTCAGTTCACGCACCCCAAAAGGAGCAGGTTTCAGAAGTAGTGAATAATGGATTTCTCGAGGACCCATACATGCTGCGATGCGAGACGCTGTGTCGGTTAATGTTGGTAGTAGCTTCCTCGCTACGGTTTTGGCAGGTAGAGAGGAGAGTAGTAGGATTAGCACGAGACGCTGCATCGCTCTTGGCCTCGGCACCCTTCCCGGCTCCTGCAGTTTCAGTGACAAATGGACCAGCCTGCGACTGAGTATTTATTGTTGTTCAGCGCAGCGTGACCTCAGCGGCAGATCCCCGCCAAACCAAGACACGGCTCAGCATCGACGCGCATTCATACGCCCGCCGCATTCCACATTACCGCCTCGCGGACGCGCCCCGAAGTGCGACGGCCCTAGCGCGAAGGTCGGCATCCCGGCCGGCGCGTGAGTTGGTCTTGAGACTAATGAAAAAAAAAAATAAGGCCCAAAAGGAGACATAGATAGGAGATCAGTCTGCAACATCCAGTCCGCTCGTGAAGAACAGCACGCCGAGAAGCAAGCAGCTAGCCTACCGCAGGGCCCTGCCACCACGCCATGTCCTCTCATTCCCGCAGCCCTTCGCAGGCGCGCTCCACCCGCCAGCATGCGCCGAACACGCCCAGCCAACTGCGCGAATCGCATTATCCCTCCGATTCGCCAGAACAATCGACACACACCGACTTTGGCATCCCAGGCGCCAAGAGTGGGGCTGCACCTCGCAACAGCTCTAAGCTTCCAACATCTCCCCGCCATGGCTCTCAGGCTTCCGTCCGCTCTTCAGCACCCACCGAAGGCTCCTACAACCAGCCCGAGTCGAGCGCGCAAGCCCAGTTGCGGAGCCAACGCGACAGCGAGAGCAGCTCTTCCTTTTCGCACGACATGTCGCCTGGGAAGTCGCCGCGGCCCGAGACGGCGAGAAGTTATGGGAGCTTCAACTCGGAAATCCTGCGCGATGGCTTTGGCGGTCGCTATCCCGGCGACGACACCGCCAACACGCCAGGCGCCGCTACCCCGCTGCTGGGCGACGCGGTGGCGGATGGCCTGCTGAGCGGGCAAGGAAAGCACAACACAACTTCGTGGCTGGCAGAGATGCATGGCATCAGGAACAGGAAGATGATGTACGCAATGCTCCCGTACACTTTGGTCTCGGCTCTGCTAACGCGCTCTGGACAGGTACCTGGCTTACTACGTGCCCATATTCAACTGGATCCCGCAGTACAAGCTGAGCTACCTGCGCGGCGATTTGATAGCGGCCGTTACCATGGCCTCGTTCTACATCCCCATGTCTCTGTCCTACGCATCCAACCTCGGCCACATCCCGCCCATAAACGGTCTTTACAGCTTCTTCATCAATCCCTTGATCTATTCCATCCTGGGCACTGCGCCGATGATGGTGGTGGGCCCCGAGGCCCCAGGCTCGCTCCTCACCGGCGAAGTGGTCAGAGAGAACATCCGGAGGGGAGCATCTGGCGACGATGATGCCGAACTGAATGCTCAAATTGCCGGTATTACGACGTCGATTGCCGGTCTCGTCATTCTTCTGGGTGGTCTATTCCGACTTGGCTTCTTGGACAACGTCCTCAGCAGACCATTCTTGCGAGGCTTCATCAGTGCCATTGGCGTCGTCATCTTCATCGACCAGCTTATTCCGCAATTGGGGATTGCTCGTCTCGCAGACGGACCGCAGGGTGTTCAGCACGGCAGTGCCGTTGAGAAACTAATCTTCATTGTCAGGCATGTCGGGCAGGCGCACGGCCTTACGAGCGCCATTTCCCTCGGCGCATTTGTTATCATCATGTTCTTTAGGTTCGTCGGACACGCGCCTTTCCCCACACGACGAGTGCTGACATAGAACAGGGAAATGAAAAGACGCCTCCAGCCCCGGTACCCCGGTGTTGCATTCATTCCGGACCGGTTTGCCGTCGTCGTTCTGTCCGTCGTCCTTACGTGGTGGTACCGCTGGGACCAACACGGGCTGGCCATTCTTGGAAACGTCAACGCAGCGGGCGGCGGCCTGTTCAAAGTCCACTTTCCCTTCGATTTCTCGCATCTGAAGTACGCTTCGAGCGCTTTCGAGACGGCCTTTACCATTGCGTTGCTGGGCTTTTTCGAGTCTTCTGTAGCCGCAAAGAGCTTGCCTCCGGCCAAGGACGGACTTCAAAGAGTCAATACCAGCACAAACAGGGAGCTCGTCGCGTTGGGCATTGCCAATGTGACTGGGGGGCTCTTCATGGCCCTGCCCGCATTTGGCGGATATGGTAGGAGCAAGGTAAACGCGTCCACTGGTGGCAGGACCCCGATGAGTAGCGTTTTCTTGAGTTTGATCACTCTCTTGTGTCTACTTTTCCTCCTGCCGTATTTCTACTATCTTCCGGTAAGTCTGCATTCCATACTAGGCCAACCCAAGCCTCTCCTAACAAGCACACAGAAAGGCGTCCTTTCGGCCATGGTCGGGGTGGTCGCATTTTCCCTGGTGGAAGAGGCACCGCACGACATTCATTTCTTCTACAAGATCCGCGGCTGGTCCGAGCTCAGCCTGATGCTCATCATCTTCCTGGTGACGATATTCTGGGACCTGAAGAAGGGCATCGCGGTGGGCATCGGCCTCTCGCTGCTGCGCGTCATCAAGCACGCGACGCGGCCGCGCATCCAGATCCTCGGCCGCGTGCCGGGCACGACGGAGCGGTTCGAGAACGCCGAGATGGACCCCGGCCGGCTCGAGTTCGTCGAGGGCTGCCTGATCGTCAAGATCCCGGAGCCGCTCACCTTCGCCAACACGGGCAGCCTGCGCAGCCGGCTCAAGCGGCTCGAGGAGCACGGCACCAACGCCGCGCACCCGGCCCTGCCGCGCGTCCGCCCCGACGATCACAACAGGAACGTCATCTTCGACTTTCACGGCGTGACGTCGCTCGACGGCGCCGGCGCGCAGGTGCTGCTGGAGATCGTGCAGAACTACGTCGACCGCGGCGTCAGGGTGTTTTTCTGCCGCGTGAGCGGCGAGGGGAGCGAGGTGTGGAGGCTGTTCGAGCAGAGCGGCATCGTCGAGACGGCTGGCGGGCAGAGGCATTTCGTCGGCAGCGTCGACCAAGCCCTCCGCATGACGGAGCTGGAAAGCCTGACGGAAGCGCTCGAAACGGCGGGCGATAGAGAGGAAGGTCCTTCGTAGACATTGCGGAGAGTCGGTTGCTGGGCGCAAGAATACCGTCAAAATCATCGCATCGGGGAGTATAGATAGAAGAGGGGGGGGAGGTTTTTTTTATATTGTTACTAGAGCATGAAGGCGGCGCAGGGCGCTCGCTCTCCATTGCAGCGCGAGCCGGGCCCGGTTAGACCATTATCGTTTAGCGCATTCGTTTGGGAAGGCAGCAATGCAGCGAGTTCAGGTGCGAGATAGGCTCCCGTTACTCTTTCACGGTGTTTATAATCGTATGTGCTCCTCCGACCTCTCAGTGCACAAGGAGGTCGGAGCGTTCGGCGCCAAGGTCCGTGTGTAGGGCGGCCCCATGGGGATTGAAGAAGAGGGTGTGGAGACGACGACTCTCGCACGGCGCAGCAGGCGGCCTACCCTACCCTACCCTACCCTACCCTACCCTACCCCCGCCCTCGGACGGTGCGATATCAACCGCGCGCGATCGGCTGGAGCAGTAGGTAGTCCGTAGTCTCCCCTTCTGAACGACGTGCATGACCTTGGGCACGGCCTCCGTAAGCCGCCGGCAACCTGGCACGCGGAGCCGACGTTAGGTAAGCGCCGGCGAGGTGACAGGAACGCCATCATGGTCGCCGTACTGACGGTTGGCGGCCAGTCAGATCAGCTGACGGCGACGCCCGCCCAAGGAGAAGCTCAGACGGGGTTGCATGATTCCTGGGCACGGCTGGGCCGACATCATCTCCATGGCTCGACGAGCACATGAGGCTGACACAGTCAGTCGCATATAAAAGCCTTCCCGCTGCCGCTCTCCTGCAACCAACCTAGCTCGGCGCTTTCCGGCGGCGGCGGCAGAGTGGGTAGGTATAACAATAAAGCCAGCGGCTGCTTGGCTGTACTGGCCTGTTTGCTGCGACCTGTCCTCGGCGGGTACGCTTGGTTCTGCTTGGCGACGCAATCCACAAAAGCTTCGCTTCGCCTCGCGCGAGAAAAAAAAAACCGCTGATCTGATCCGTCCTCCGCCCACACCATGCAGTCGACCGAAAAGTATGGCGTGTTGAGGGTATGGAGAACCTCGTAGTACATACCTAGCCCGTGTGCCTGCGAGCGGCGCTGCGGATTTCGATAGGTATATAAGTGTCCGCCGCTATATCGCTACGCGTATCTGTTGGGGGTTTTAGCCAATAGATAAGCTGCGATAACGATTTAGTCACGTGTAGGCGGACGTGCCGGTGGACGTGCCGGTGGATCGCGCCCGCGTAGGAGGTAATACTAGCATATTAACTACCGCGCTACTAACTATCTACGGTATGTAGGGTTAAGAATCTCGCCGAGTAGTTTAATAATAAGAGTAAGAAGGTATGTCGTGTGCTTATCTATTTCCGTTTTTTTTTTTTGTAGCAGCCAGCATCTCTCCGGAGTACCACTCCGACCCGGCAGCCGACTTCTAAATAACGCATGCATGTATCTCGTGCATTGTCTGCACCCCACAACTGGATCCTTGTCCCTCGATACTTTTTTTTCCCTCACTGTCTTAATGTTTCTCTTATAGCGGGGGCCTTAAAGTTGTCGGAACTAAGCAATCGCTTGTTTCGTTCCGTCTGTGTCGTCATATGCTACTTGAATCACGCGATGGGTGCATTTTCCGACGACCACGGTGTTGCGTCTGGAAAGAACCGGAACTGCGCCGCTTCCCATACGTAACGTTATCTGTAGTGGAACTTGCCGTGTGGGCTTGTGTACGTCATTTTTTATAATGGTTGTGCTCGAAATAGAGTCGGGATCGGGTCAGTTGCCGCCATTGTGAGAGTCGATGCAAGAGAAGCGCAACTGCACAATGAACATGCATGTGCTCCCCTCGCGACAGAAGTCACCATTGGACTCATGGAACATGTAAGAATTTCGTTTGGGCACCGACTGGAAAGAAAGGCATTAAATGCGAAATCTATTGTTTTTTCTTCTTCCTCTCCTTGCGCTGCAATAAGAACCAACATGAATCTACTGTGTCTGGTACTGGATATCAAAAGTGATGCAAAGCAAAACAGACTCGCCCTATGTATCTCGCGCCGTGTCCAGATATGGCGGCCTTGTGCTTTCTTCAATGAGCAAAGCGGAAATCGATGCGGCGACTGCCCCGGTCGGTTGAGTTCTTGGTGTAGTCGACTCGTTGCTGCAAGCACGTAAGTATGAGAACAAGGCCATCTGCAAGATTTGCAGCAAGGGACGTTGGGGAGAAGGGGGTGGGGAGTATGGCAGAGCTTCTCGTACCTCTGGGGTCATGTTGCTCCAGACACGCTCACGGCGTTTGTTCTTCCAAACGTAGTAGCATTTGGTGAACAGGAAAACACAGATAGAGAGGCAGTTGATGATGATCAAGTTCCGGTTACCGCGATGGTATAGCGGCTTGTCATCCTCGCGGTAGATTTGGTTGGCTATTACGTTGCCCACTTGGACCATCACTGAGGAGATTGTCAGCAAAGAGGAAGAAGGAAGAAGCATGCACGACTGGCGGTGTTGCGGGTGATGCTTACTATTGTAGAGCGCCGCCGACACAGTTCGAGTTCCAACATTGTTCGAGTTCGTGCTCGCCCAGGCGACGCAAATGGCGTGACAGTATGGGTAGCTGAGTGTAACGGTGACCAGAGCGTACGTCCCCCATGCGTCCGTCATGACTCCAGGCCAAACACGGAGGGCGATTATGCATGGAAGCGTCCACACGTTCTGGAGCACGGCAACTAGCGACCGCTCATTGAGCCATTCACTGAGCCTTGTGATCAAGAGCAGCGTCATGATATGGAAGGCGTTAGCCGGGATGGTGAGTAGGTTCGTGGTGAACTGGGATCAAAGTCAGCACATTCCGTCAGGCTTCGCTGCAACTTGGAAGGGTCATACTGTGCTGAAGCCTACGCTCTTGAGTGTAAGCGTGATATAGTTGTCGACTGGCGTTTCTGGAATGTAGGCCATGAGACCAATGGCATAGATCGGCCATAGGTCGTAGTCGCACATGGCTTTCCACAGTAGTTTTGGCGTGATGGCCTCGCGGTTGTGCATGTCCCCCTTGGATGGGTCATCGCGAAGCACCCGGTTCACGGCGATTTTGAGCTCATGGTCTGTGAACCATCCATTGGGACGGAACCATGTCTTGGTTTGAGCAGCTGAGGCTGGCATCATGAACCACGAAGCCAACCCAACCAGGGCCGTGATGAGGCCTTCAATCAAGAAGAGCCATTGCCACCCCGCCCACCCGGAAACGCCTCGCATGTGCAGGAGGGCGAAGGCAAGGAGAGATGTGATGATTGTCGTGCCAGAGAGTGTCGTCCAGAAATAACTCAGCCGGATGGGTAGTTCACGGCTGGTGTAGAAGTAGGAAAGCCAGAGCACAATGTCCGGGATAAAGCCACCTTCAAGAACTCCGAGCAAGGCGCGAGTGACCAGGAAGCTTGTTTTCCCTGTAATAGCAGCCTGGGACATAGCGACTATGCTCCAAAGTGTGATCTGAAGTGGGATCCAGCGGTCCGGTCCCATCTTTTTTGACACAAGCTGGGAAGGGAGTTCGGCCAGTAAGAAGGAGATCAGGAAAACAGTATTGCCAAGGTTGTAATCTAGTACCGTCAGTCAGACAAGATCAATACGAGACATGCAGTCGGTCCATGTCGGGCATAACGAAATTGTGCTCATATCAGTGTCTACAACGTGTGTGCAAGAATATGTAGCGTGTGGAAACCACATCCGACTCCAGTTCCCATCAACCGTGGAACGAGGGGAGGAAAGGGGGTAAAGGATGCTTGTGCCTAACCACTCACCATTTGTATCCATGTTCAGGTCATTCAGCATGTTGTCCGAGACAGCCTGCTTCAGGTTGCCACGGTCAACTTGCAGACCGAAGAACATTACACATGCCCATAAGCACACCCGGAAGTCGAGCTTCCGAATCAGTTTTTTCTCCTCCTCAGGCGTCCAGGTGTACGTAGGATCGAAGATGTCGCGGCATTCGTACTCGGCTTTCTCGTAGACCGCTCGCCAGTGTTCTGCCACTTTGGGATCGTGGAACGGATTGGTGGAGAGGGAGCTATTGGAATCGGTCTCGTCGGCGTCGCGTTCGTGGAAATGGAAGCCGTCCTTGGTAACAGGATCAGGATTGAACAAAGTCGCCTGTTGTGCCTCCTTGGCGGTCGAAGGAGGGGTCGTTTCGACCCGGTCCTTGGCTTCCGGAGCCACGCTCTCGGCGGATGAGTTCCGGCTCATGGCTGCAATGATGGCAATGGGGGTTTACCGGACGATCGCTGGCTGGAAGACGACTGCGGTCGAAAAAGGTTTTATAAGGCCTAAGCAACGGCCGCATGGCGTCGCAGTGTCGCCGCTCGCAATGGTGTGATTCGGAGCTGCAAAGATGCCAGCATATGCTAGAATCCTTACAGGGAGATGACCGAGCGCCGCGCATGCAGTCGATCAGATAGGACTGATACAGTGCCGGATTACCTGACGGAACGCCCGATTGGCCCGATGCTAGGTGGGCCTTGCCTTTCGTGCAGGCCATTGCAATGAAGAAACAAAGGCGTGGACTGTGGGTCGGCAAGCAGCCCAACAGCCTGGTTCTGCAGCATCCGTCGGTACGCCGTACAAGGGCTGCCCAGGTACGGACTGTTCTATCGGAGCGACTAGCCTGCCCATTCCGGCCCCATTGCGAGCCGAGAAGCGGGGCGACATCGTGGGAATCGGAAGAGCACAATGTGGTTGCGCTGAAGGCCTCAACACAAGCTTTCACGGCATCGATGCTTGAGCAGCGCTTGAAGCAAGGCTCAAGCCTGGGGCGGCGCAGACAAGAGGCAAAGCAGGCGATTGGCGCTGCCCTTGGCAAGCTTCGGGGTCTTGGGCGGAAAATTGGGCTCGGTGCAGGTGGTGGGCGAGAACAGCCAAGCTGAAGACACCATGCAATGCCTGTATGTCGCGATCGCAACGGCGCAATTTCGTGATGAGCGCCCGCCGCTGCCACCCTGATTCGCGACGCTCCTGCAAGAAAACATGCTCACTGCAGTTCACTCCCGCGTCATATCCACCGCGTGAACGAACTGCCGGGCTGGTGTTGCATTTTCCCCAAGCTCTTTCGGATGGAAGCATCCGCCGCCGTGGCCTCGTGAACGTTGCACCGGTGGCGTAGATCCTTCTGTGGTACCCACCCCGACGCCCGGCTCTTTCGCATGAGATTGCCTTCGGAGGCGCAGTATTGGACGGGCCTGAGGCATCTTCCGACGGGCCATGCTCCTCATGTGGTGTCTCTCAGCTCCTCAAAAGCGTTGTGGGCGATGCGCTGCAAGCCACCGTCAGCCACGTCGCTCGACCATCTCCAGTACAAGCGTACGACATACGGAGTCCGTCTGGCGTGCGCTGCACTGCATCCTCAGGCTTGTGTCCGTTGGCATTTCGTCTCTGCTCCGGCGAGTTGACAGGAATGGATGCGCGAGTAAGTCCGAGCGGGTAGCTTATCTTCGTTACGGCCCTTTGTAATTAGAACGGTGCGCGGCAGAGATTGTACTCATGCGTTTAGAATCCGCGCTGCACGTTGCAGCAGCTCTCGCGGAGGTAAGTGTTTTGGAGACGAATTTTGACGGTGAAGGCAGGCGGCAGGTGTGGGTTGTGATTCCCTGTTAAGCACGTTTGTATGAGTCAGAATCACCACCATACCGCGGTGTCCTGAACCGTCTGTCGGTGCCGCATCTGGTCATGCCAAGGCAGACTTTCAATTGCCTGCATGCCGAGGACTACTAGTGGCTTGGGAACACAGTTCAGCAGAGCAGCTTCTATCATCCCTCGTGAATTATCTTGAATGGCCATCGCCGTCCCACCGTATGCGAACCGCACTCCGCCATAACATCTACAGTCCACCCAGGAGCTCCGATAGAGTAATCGGCTTGCGAACCGCCTTCGAAAACCCTTCGTGAAAACTCACCCACACATCCTCGTCCGCGCCCTTCTCCTCCCTCTCCTTTCTTCTCTTCTCTATCTCCACCGGCGTCAACGGCACCGCCTCCGCAACCGTCCGCCCAAAGAAGTCCTTCTTGACCACAATCTTCTCTAATGCCGCAGCAACATTCCTAACTTCCACATCTTCACCCACCGCCGCAGCCTCCAGCTCTACAGCCCCCCCTCTCCGCTTCCGAGCCTCTGCCTCCAACCTGAGACTCTCCTTCCTGAACTCAACGTCCATAATCTGGCGCACCGCGTACCGTACCTTCTCATCCTGCCTGCCTTCGCTGCTCATCGTCTCGTACCTGCCCAGGGCGTCCAGCGGCGGCTCCATGCGGAAAATCCACCCGCCATGCCCCGCCTGTCGCGCATCCATGCCCCAGTCGATCCGGCTCTTCTCGAACCGCACCCCGACCGCCGCCATGGCATTGACGGCCCGCATGACGAGCGCCTTCTCCGACGCTTTCCGCACCGACGCCGTCGCCGACGGTTTCGACCGGTCGCCGCCCGCGGCCGCCGTCGATGTGTTGATGATGACGGGTTTGACGTCGGGCGAGAGCATGCGGAGCGTGTACGGGATGAGCTCGGTCGAGACCTCCGCGGGCGAGCGATACAGCCGAGTCAAGGGGAGCGTGAGGCTGGACTGCAGGCCCGTTAGGGATGCGAGATTGGCTCGCGTCTGCTCAATCGCTTGGTACGGCGCACTGGGGCCAGAGAATGGGGTGGGTTCAGTCTCGGGTTCCACGCCGTTTTCTGCGGCCCCACGACCTTTTCTGAATGTGGACTGGTTTCCAAGCGATGGTCTGATTGAAGATGCAAAAAGGTCGTGGAAGGCTAGAACTGGAACAGAAAGGTATTTTGCGAGTTCCCATTCTTGTCCAGTATGTACCAAGTTGGAAATGGAGTCGTGGAAGTGCAACCATTCGTATGCCCTATTAGGCTTGCTGAGTAGAGTATCATCTTGAAACGGCTGGTTCGCAAATGTGGTAAAACAGTCTGCCGGGGAAATTTAGTAAACATAATGATTTGAACACAATGATACGACGGCTTTGGAGACTTACCTGTCACGATGCGGTCGGTGTCGCCAGCAGTGCCCACCATTTCCCTCAATCGCTCCATAGCAAAACGCTTACTTGCTTCGGCAACACCAATCGGCCTATTACCTTCAATGTTAGTTGCCTCTGCTTGTGCAGCAGCAGCCGATTTAGGAAACCCGGCGCCGTCTTTGAACACCCGTTCCACAATCTCTTTGGCACCTCCTCGGCCGAGACCTCTCGACCCTCCGCCGCCCTGAGAGAGGCCGTTGAGCACGTTGTCTTCAATCCATTTTCGGGTAAGTCGCCCACCGCCGTTCGTCTCAGCCAAGAGCTTTCTAGCCACCCACTCTCCAACCACCATAACTCCTCGAACGTCACCTTCCCCAGTACCTCCGCCTCCACCATCCTTGCGGCTGCTGATACCCCAGGTTGCTTCGCACAGACGTCGAACGCCGTCGGAGTCGGCCGATATGCCTTCTTTCTCAAAAATCGAATGTAGGCGGGGTACGACCATGTTCACCGGCGGCTTACGGATGTGTACAATCTCCGCTATTGAAGCTTGACGAAGAGGACGAAGCGACGGATGATACACATCGTTGCAGATCAAAATTAGTGGCCTCAGGAGACGGAATTTATCGCCCTTCTTTCGCATCGGGCGTGTCGAGCTGTTGTCCTTCGGCGCAGTGTTTCTCTGGTCCAGGCTGACGAGATCGATAAGAGCTTTGATGAAGCCTCCCTCACCTCCCGCGCCACCACCAACCACGCCATCCACTTCATCGACCACGACACAAACCGGTTTTCCAGCCTTCCTGACCTTGGCCCCGGTCGCCGTGTGAGATTCCAGACCGCGGACATTCTCCGTGCCGACCATATCCTTAATACGGCCTCTAACAATATCCTTGCTCCTTTCATCGCTCGCGTTGATCTCCTGAACTTCATACCCTGCTTGGCGTGCGCAAACATGCGCCAATGTGGTCTTGCCGAGGCCCGGCGGTCCAGTGAGCAAAAGAATCTTGCGATGTGCATATTCGTTTTCGGTGCCTGCCTGATCAAAAGACCTGGCCGACTTTTGTCTCGGGCGGCTGGAGCCGGGAAAGACTATCGGGTCCCAAGCCTTCAGCCATTTCAACACTAACCGATGCGTTCTCTCGTCACCAACAAGATCAGTGAACTTCCTTGCACGGTATTTCTCCGACCACAAAAGGCTGCGTTTGTTACTTCTTCCCGCCAAAGGATTTTCCACTGTCTGCATGGGCACATCGAGCTCCATACCCTCGCGACGTAACTTCTCCTCCTCTGCTGCTTGGTTAGCCTCATCCATCAAAGCGTGAATATCAATTCCGTAGTAGTTTTTCCTCGCCCTTCCGGGCTCCGCATTGGATCGAGACGCAATGAGTTGCTCATACGAAATCGCTGGTGTCGGACGCCGCGTAGCGACATTAAAGCCCTCGCCGGAGCACGTCCTCACAGTAAACATTGTCTTTTCACGAGCTCGAGAGAGGATCATCGGCTGCGACAGCGGCAGCTCTGTCTCAGGGGCGGCATCTTCGTTCGGCACACTGTGCGGAGCCTGCTCGAGAGGAGATCCAGGTGCGCCGAGCGCTACGGCCTTCCGTTTGTTGTGCGCCGCATCAAATGCCGCGAAATCATCCTCGTCACCCGACTCATCCTGAAAAAGCCTAGATGTGCTTGTGTTATCCTTCCCGAGAACCGTGCCGTGTCCGTCAATTTTCCGCCTTTTCCGCGGCGAGTCTGTGGCTCCAGCGCTTGGAGGGTACGATGGTGGAGAGGACAGGAACGGCATAGCAGTGAGCGGAGGCGATGACGGCGGAGCGCACGGGCTCGAGGTTGCTGCTATGGAGAACGAAATGGGCTGCGTTGCGTGCCGTTTCCTAATGGGTGTTTCTGCACACCGTCAGACAGGACTTCCCAAGATGAGGGCTGAGAGAACGGGAAGTCGAACCAGGCTGGTGGTCTTCGTCACTCCGAAAGGCGTCGGGCACCCTCCAAGCTCTGTGTTGGATGACAATTCCCTGGCGCGTTTTGGCTGCGGTGGTTTCGTGGGCTTGTTCGTGTAGTGCTTCGAGCTCGTCGGTGTGTGAGCTGAACGGCAGCGGATCGGGAATGTCGGAGTGGAGGAAAATGGCGGGGTCGAAGGAGGAGGGGATATCTGGAGGGTCTGGCGGGCCCATTGACCGACGGGAGTAGTAGCGTTGAATCGCGCGTGGACGGTTTTGTGGAGAGGCCTACTGGGCTGGAGACGCGTCGACGCGCACAGAGGACGCGATCGCGATGGACGGGCCACCCGATGCCGTGCCGATCCACTGCCAGCACAGCCAGCAGCAGCAAGGAACGGCAGCAGCCAACCGTACGCCGTCATTCCCTGACTGACCTTCCAAGCTTGCTGTGCGAAACGCGCGCTGCATCGCCATGCGCTTGTTGCCGCCACTCTGCGCAGCCCATGCTTTGCATTCCGCGTGCGCCCTCAAGCCGATCGTATGCACTGGGCCGAGAGTCCTAACGTCGTCTTCGTCCGCGACTTCGCGTACCCGCGTCCACAGCGCCGCCGCCTGCGCACCATGACCTCCGCCGGCGACGTCGCCAACACTCCAGCCCACGCCTTCGCAGAGTACGTCCTCGCTCCGTCGCTGCCCGGCGGCTGCCCTCCTGCCCTTGCCACCCAGCTCGGCAGCGATGATGCGCCGCCACGCCCACGGCCCGCCCTGCCCTACCGCATCAATTCGCATCGACTGCGCGTGCAAGCCCATGCTAAAAACGAGCGCGCCAGGCTCCTCTCCGGCCCGCTTGTCGACGTTGTCGTCGGCGCCGGTGACGGCAAGCGTCAATGGTCCATCCATCGCAACCTGCTGTCCTACCACTCTGACTACCTCGCCTCCGAGCTACAGACCGACGACGCCACCAAGAACGAGGCCGGGAACAAGCTGGAGCTGTCCGACGACAATCCCAAGGGCTTCGAGCTCTTTGTCAAGTGGCTCTACCAGGGCAAGCTTGACGACGTGAGCGATGTGTCCGGCGCTGAGGCCAAGTACGATTACGCCGTCGCTTGCCATAGGCTGTTCATGCTCTGCGAGCGTTTCGATATGCCCCACCTGAAGAATATGGCCATGGACCAGTACCGGAAGGGCTTGCACGAGGCACGACTGGTGCCAGACGCGGATGAGATCAATGACATTTACAAGGACAGTCCGGAAGGCTCGCCATTTCGCACCTTGATGACTCGCATCGCTGCCCGACAGATCATGGACCCCGACAGCGACAGAGACGCCGAGGGATACCGCGACTGCTTTGCCGCCAGCCCCGACTTTGCTGTGGATCTTGTTAATGCCATAAAATCAGGCTCTGGCGGCTTTCTTTTCGACGATCCCACGGCTGGCGATGACTGCCAGTATCACGATCACGAGCACGGGCCCAGTTGTTACGGCAAAGGCAAAGGTAAAGAAGGTAATTATAAGCACGCTTGAATCTGCGGTTTCCTCGCGTCCGTGTTGCAACGGCTTGCATTCACACATGAAGGCTCGGACGACTCCCCCAGGATGAGTTTGGTCGATGCTCCCGCACCCACGACCTTCCTGCGGGAGTCTCCCATGCTCGTATGAGCATGGCCGTTTGCAACTCGTCGCAAACCCTACCCTCGTCGTTGGTGGATTCCCGCGCGCGGCAGAAGGTAACAGATAAATAACTACCCAGTTCAGGCGCAGATTGGGCGACCAAAAAGTCACGCTTGCGACCCGACTCGCCACCCTCGCCGCCCAGCACCCCGCCTGGAGACTCCTTCGAAAACCCTCGCAACAACCGCGCAACCTCATCGCAAAAACCCGGGTTTCCGTCTAAAGTTTCTGAATTCGGTGCCTCAAATGGTGTCAACTGGCCCAACAACGGCAGTGGAAGCCGTTTCGGTGAACGGCATGCGAGAGACCCCTCCCCGTTCTCACCCGGCAGCGCCACCAAATCAGGATTCGGCGAGTCCGCAGCCGGGCATGAGTCCGGAATCGGAGCTGAGTTTCTTGGAGGAGGAAGTCCAAAACGGCATCCACCGAAGCTTAGGCGACGGACTTCTGCCTCTTCCAGATCTTCCAGATATCCCCAATCCCCACTACCCCAATCCCCTAGGAACATATGAGTTTGACAGAGGCGGGATCGGGGTCTCATGACGATTAATGTTATCAAGCTTTTCAGTTGGACGGACGCGGGCCAATCTCCTTGGGCGGAGCCCTTACTTTTTCTTTCCGGGAGTTGAGGACAGAGAGCGTTAGCATCTACCGTGTTGACGACTTGGCTGGCATGTAAAGCACACAGTGACGGCAATTGGAATGGAATGTGCGCATGAAACAGTGGAACACCATAATGGACGACACACGGAGGACTTGGACTTAACGTATGATCGTGAATCTTCAAACGAGACCATGGCACAAATCCGTCTGAAAAATTGCTTCGATTCCTGAGAAATGTGACTTTCTCCTTCCGATATTTACAATGCCTTTCAATTTGACCCCTCATGCAGCAATACAACCGTTGCACGCTCCTACCACTTCCATCGAAACCGGCGGAAGGAGATCATGGTATTGTCGATTCTGCTGGGAACAGACCGTAGGAGTCGAAGCGAGTTGGGATACATGTGAGTGGTGGCTTGGGAAGTCGAGTGACCGCATCGAGATCTCACTGTCTGGTGAGCACGATATCGTACGGAGGATAATGCAGCTCCACGCCCCGCTCCGTCTCGACCGTCACAATCTTGCTAAGCGGCCATCCGCTCTGGTCGGTATACCTTGTCGCACGATAACAAGTCAGCATGAGTTTTCCAGACGGCCCCTCTTTTTGCCCGATCTCAGGGTCGCCAACACCACAAAGGCACCAGCAGCAGCAGCAGCAGCAGAAGCACTCACCCATCAAAATCAAACCAGTCGCACGTCTCCGACTCCGGGATGACCCTCCACACCTGCGCGACACCACCCCCGCCAAACTGCGCCGCCTCGCCCGCGCCCTCGGCCGGATGCAAGCTCACCCCCCTCGGCGTCGAAAAGTACCGCGCCTTGCTCTCGGCCGTCCACCCCAGCGCGTCCAGGCCCTCCCACGCGCTGGTGCCATTGACGACCAGCTCGCGCACGAACAGCGCCCCCGACTCCTCGACCTCCAGCCGGGCGAACGACTCCGCCCGACTCGCATTCGCGCCGCCGACTCCTCCTCCCACCTCATCCGCAATCGCGCCGCCATCCCGCGCGCCAGCGTACCTCCCCGCATACCTCCCCCGCAAGCTGCCCCCCAGCGCCTCCGCAAACGCCGGCAGCAACACCGCATGCACGGCGTCGCGCACCGCCGTCGGCACGACGCGCGCGTAGTCGCCACCGTCGGCGGCCTGGCTCTCCTGGGACAGCGCGACGATGCCGTAGCCGAGGTTGGGGACGGCGTCGAGCCAGGCGTGGGAGCCGCCGGCGTCGCCGGACTTGCCGTAGATGGCGTAGGTCTTGTTGGTGGCGCCGTCGGTGGCGGCGATGATTTCCCAGCCGAAGCCGACGAGCTGCTTGCCGTCGGGGAGGGCGAGGCGCGGCTGCAGGGAGGTGCGGCGTTGGGTGGGGGTGATGAGGGCGGGGGTGGGGGCGAGCCAGATGCGGTGGAGGTAGGTGGATAGGTCGTTGGCGGAGCTCTGGGGGGAGAGGGTGGTTCGTTAGTGTATGTGGCTTTGGTGGGGGGGTGCGAGGTGGGGGGTGCGAGGTGTTTGGGTTGGACTGCGGACTACTCACCCACATGCCTCCGGCTGGGTCGTAGCCGGGGCCGATGACCAGGTCGACCCAGTTGGGACCACCGGGGACGCCTATGTTTGGGATCAGGGCGTCCGGGATGGCACCGAAGAACGAATGCGTCATGTTTAGATGGTCTAGGATGCTGGATGTGGCGTACTCCGTCCATGTCTGGTTTGTGCCTGCCAGCTGGTTGTGGTAGTTCGCTGCAGCGTCTACCCGGTGGAAGTCAGCAGGATGAGAATCGGCATATATCTCATGTTGAACTTACAAGCGAGGATACAGGAGCCGGCATTTGAATCTATATAGAGGATGAGCTTATTTGATACGCACTTGTTACGGTGGAGTGGGTGGCTTACATGCGGCTCGCTGCCCAGGAGCGAACATCAAGTTGCGTTGCTTGACGGATTCGATGACTTGGCTGGGGCTCACTCCAGCCCACTCAGCACCAATGGTCTCGGCATCGGCTTTAGCAAGCCCTCTCACCATGTTAAAGTCTGTCACATAGCCCTCTCTAGGAATGCCCGAGCTATGGGTTGCGAGCATCGACAGAGTGATCTCGCTGCCACCGTTTTGCCAGTCTTTTTCTGGCAATCCAAATTCGGGAAGCGCATGACGGACAGGCGTGTCTAGGGTCAAGGGGGGGAAAGCGGCGTGGGCCCTGCTCTCGTTCTCCACGACCAATGCCGACAAAGCAGCGATGTTTTTCGAGATGGAGGCAACCCGAAAGATCGAGTCACTGTCGACCTGTGCTACTATAGAAGTGTCGTTGGCAGACGTCTCGTTCATTTTGAGCACCCCATGATTGAAGGCATATGCTTTTTCGGGGCTCGAGGCGTGGATCTGACGCGTGCTGTTAAGACAAGTTTTGGGATGGCTGGGCCGGATGGCCTGTGAACTCTAGAGGCGGCTCACAATAGCGAAACTGAAGCCGTCACGTGTGCTGCCAGTGAAAAGACTCGAGAGGGTGCGTTCGACCTCTTCGAATGCTGCCGTGACTGCCGGGTGTTGCAGGATGGCCGGGTCTGCCAGCAAGTTGCTCGGGGCGTCTGGAATGCAAGAAGACGAGACGACTGGGGCGAAGGTGCCGAGTGCGAGCACTAAAGAGAGTGTTGAGCGGGTTGACAGGCCCATTTTCACGGCAAACGTGGAGAGAAGGAGAAGGCGGACACGAGGGAGGCCAGCGGCGTGCGGACAAGTGGCCAAACTTATACGACGGACAGGACAGGCCCTGAATAAGTCTTGAGTTAAAAGTTACACGGGCGTGAAGCAACATATGTCGTCCAGAGCTTATCTTGATCTACGCTGGGAACACGACTGCTCCTGCCCTATAGGGTAGTCGGTACAGGACGTGTCTTAGACATCAGGACCAAAGGGCGAGTCTTAGACTTAGACCCCCAACCAGCAGCGGAGGTACGTCAACGGTAGAGCAACTGATGAGGCTCATGGCGAGTCAGGAAGCAGCGAGAAGGGGACCGCTAACGACGTTGTTGAGCCGCGACAGAACCGGGCCTAGCCTGGCGCTCTTAGCTTTGACTGCGGTGCTGCGCTGTCGTTATCAGGCGGCCGGCTAAGGGCTAAGGGCTCGGCGGCTCCCAGCGCGGCGGTCGCGCACTCGAGCTGGTAGGATGACCGACAGGATGAGCGACAGGTCGTGCAATGGGCGACGTGCAGATGCGGGGACGCCATCCATGTGCTCGGCCACGGCGAACGCCGGCACGTGAGGGGCGCGCAGCAGAGCGGGTCAGCGCAGCACCACGCGGCGTCTGCAGAGCCGCAGGGCCAAACGGGCAGACTCTCGTGATGCTGGGGCGACGGGGAGCAACGGCGCTTGGATGGATCTGCCCGGTGCGCTGAGCTAATCTCAATCTCCCAGGCACAGGCGCGTGATAGGGCCACGGGCGGCAGCCAAGCTCCAGTGCGGATGCCCGATATGCCGAGCGCCGGCCGTGGCGCCATTTGCAGGCGGATTTAACCTGCGAGCATTATTACTTCTCCCACCGCTCCGCCCTCGTCTGCGCCGTTCTGCACGCCTGGATCCTGTCGTTCCTGCGTCTGCGACCGCGTCTGCCGCTCATTGACTCCTGATCCCGCTCCCTCGCCCGCACACCACCCTCCTCACCGCCAGCGTCCCAGCGACGCGCTCCGCCCGCCATGGAAGCCGTCAATGCCAGTTTCGCGTCGCCCTCCGCCGATGCCCAGTTTACCCCGGAGCTCCGCGGCGCCCCCGCCGTCGCCGGCATCCTGGGCCGCGTCCTCGGCGGCGTGAACGCGTGGTCTGTCCTTGTCACGCTCTTTGCGATGCTGGTTGTCTATGACCAGAGTGCGTTGTCCCCCCCGGCCGCGTGGTTGCGCGCCCGCTGACGCTCGCCGACAGTCAAGTACATCTGGAGCAAGGGCTCCATCGCCGGTCCCACCTGGAAGATGCCCTTCATCGGCCCCTTTCTCCAGTCCGTCAACCCCAAGTTCGAGGAGTACCACGCAAAATGGATGAGCGGCGAGCTCAGCTGCGTTTCCGTCTTCCACAAGTACCGCTCCCGCCCGTGCAACGCTCGCGTCGCCCCTCGCGCTGACACACTGCAGGTTCGTCGTCATCGCGTCGACGCGCGACATGGCGCGCAAGGTTTTCAACTCGCCCACCTTCGTCAAGCCCTGCGTCGTCGATATCGCCTACAAGCTGCTTCGCCCGGAAAACTGGGTCTTCCTCGATGGCAAGGCCCACGTCGACTATCGTAAGGGTCTGAACGGTCTGTTCACCCGCCAGGCTCTGTCCATCTACTTGCCTGGTCAGGAGGAGATCTACGAAAAGTACTTCGCCAAGGCCCTGGAGATAACCGCCGACGCCGAGGGCAAGCCTGTGCCGTTCATGCACTACTTCCGCGAGTTCATCACCGCCGTCTCGCTCCGCACCTTCGTTGGCCACTACGTCGCCGACGCCTCGGTCAAGAAGATCGCCGATGACTACTACTACATCACCGAGGCTCTCGAGCTCGTCAACTTCCCCATCATCATCCCCTTCACCAACACCTGGCGCGGCAAGAAGGCGGCCGACATGGTTCTCGACGAGTTCGCCAAGGCCGCTGCCAAGAGCAAGGTGCGCATGGCTGCTGGCGGCGAGCCCGACTGCATTCTCGACTGCTGGGTCAAGGCCATGTACGAGTCCGAGGACTACACCAAGAAGAAGGAGAAGGGCATTGAGGCGGAGAAGCCCGCTCAGGTCATTCGCATGTTCACCGATCTTGAGATTTCCATGACCATTTTCACCTTCCTCTTCGCCTCGCAGGATGCCACCAGCAGCGCCGCCACCTGGCTGTTCCAGATCATGGCTGACAGGCCCGATTTCCTGAACAAGATTCGCGAGGAACAGCTTCGTCTGCGCGACGGCGACAAGAGCAAGCCTTTCACGATGGATCTGATGGATCAAATGACGTACACTCGCGCCGTTGTCAAGGAGGTTCTCCGCTACAGGCCCCCCGTCATCATGGTCCCGTACATGGCGAAGAAGGCGTTCAAGATTTCGGAGAACTACACGGTCCCCAAGGGTAAGTCGACATGGATATGCATGGATTCGTCCGACTGACTGGGTTGCAGGAGCCATGGTCATCCCAACTACGTACCTGGCGCTGCACGACGCTGAGGCCTACCCGAACCCTGACTCGTTCGAGCCCGAGCGCTGGATTACGGGCGACGCGGAGAAGCAGACCAAGAACTGGCTCGTGTTTGGCACTGGCCCGCACTACTGCCTTGGCCAAGTGTACGCCGTGAACAATCTCATCGCCATGGTTGGCAAGGCGTCGATGGAGTTGGATTGGACGCACAAGGTGACGCCGCTGAGCGAGGAGATCAAGGTTTTCGCGACGATTTTCCCCAAGGTACGTGCCCGCCCCAAGCACACCGCCACGAGTTGGCGCTAACGCGTTTGGCTGCAGGACGACTGCCATCTGGCCTTCACGAAGCGTGCCTAGACGGGCGGCGCACTATGACGATCAGCTTCTACGCGGGCCGGCGGTGATCCGGGTCTCTGGAGACATCCGACTGACCGGCCAGCTTCCTTTGCATTTTTGACAGACACTACAATATGGCACCACTAATATCTTTCTACCTCGCCACCATCATAATACTCGCCTCCTCCTCCATAGCCTCATATCGCAAAAGTTATTTCTTGCCTTAGAGCTCTTGGTTCTTATTCCGCATGATTGGGAAGGTGCTGCGTCCGGTTGGGGACGCAGCACGGAAGCTTGGGCCACGCGATCGGTTTGATTAAGACTGGTCGGGTGGGAATGTGCGTCAAGAGATGCGCATAGAGTAATTTAGATTAGAGAGCGTGCTCGCGATTAACGCGCTTCTTGTCTGCCTCAGGCCCGGTAGGCCTGAGTGACTTGTGTAATTGAGATGGGGTTCCGGATGTCGTCGCCGTTGCTGCTGGTCGGACTTCCCAGCCCTTTCCCCGAGTACCCAACAGTCCGTCTGTTGTCCAAAAGTCTCTTGCGCCGTGTGTTTGCGATGGGAAAAGGCGCATGCATGATCTTGCTGTATTCCGCGTATGAGCAGTCGCTTCACGCCCATACTTGATCAATCCCCATCGCTCTCTCCATCTCGGCTGGTCGCTCGGCCGACGAGGCCAATTAATATTACGTCTCTTGTTTCGACGACGACGACGATGAAATATGTTTCCATCAAATATTATCATTATTTCCCACCAAGGGGCTTCATCTCTTACAAGCTTGCTTGCTTGCTTCCCTTAATTCTGCGTCTTCCGTCGGCTAAAACCTGAAGAGAGGGAGAGACAGAAAGAAAAAAAGGATAAACGCTTGCTCCAGTCGGGAAAGGGTCTAAGCTACTCCCATCTCTTGGGGCGTGCGATTGGCGGATATGGGGGGCGGTGGGTGCGCACGCGGTGGCGCTCTGCACAGATGGAGATCAATGAGTGAGGATTCATTGACGTCCCCTCGCGCCGTCCTTTTTGCGCCCCAAGCGCGCCGGGGCGTCGCCCAGCTCGCTTCCCGTCGCCGGGTGGGTGGGTGGGTGGGTTTATCGTATTCGTGCCGGCCGCCCCCCTCCCCGCTTCAACCCTCTCCTATCCTGATGGTCAACTGTACGGGAAAACGTCCGGTCGGGTTTGATTCAGGGTTGTCTGTTCTGTGTGTGTAGGGTTGCGGTCTGCTGCTTTGGCTCTATTCTCTCTCTCTCTCTCTCTTTTCTTTTTTTTTCGCTAAATTCTCGCACGCTTCTCCTTCTCGTTGTGTATCTAATGCGGTGTGTGGTGGGGGAGGTGATTGGTTTGCGGTGTGTTGTTGTCTTCCCGCGTGTATTGGTGGCCATTGCGTCAGATAGCAGCTAGTAAAAGGAGGTTTGCGGATCGATCTAGGTTCCCCGCATATTCGTACCCGACGAACGTGGATTGGATGGGCGGTTTTTGAGGGGAGACGGTGCTGTCGGAAGAAGATGGGTCTGGTAAGTGATATGAGCCGTGGTGGTGAACGTTGTCTCATACTGCTGTTGAAATGAAAAGATAGCACCGTATCGAGGATAATCATGATTCCTCATTTCAACTGGTTCTAAGCCAGTATTACACAGCACACGAACAGGTAAATACCTAATAAGAGTTGCAAATGTACTATTGTGTTTGTGTGTGTACCTGACATAATGCCTGTTCTCTATGGAAACCATTTGCAATGCTTGGTTAGTTCTACAGTCGATTGCCCCGCCACCCCCAATTGCCATAACCCCCTTCCAATATAACTCCTTCAGAATGCTGTATGAGCTACGCATACTACGACAATGTCTGGCCAAACATCCCGCATGAGCTTCTGTCCACTCGCATCCACAACCAACAGCTAGACTGTGCCGGCTTGAAACTCCCTTAGTCCAACTATTTTCTTCCCCTCGCTCCTCTCAATTCACCTCCTTTCCAGGTTTCCCAGTGCCACCCCGCTCTTTCCGTCCAGATATAAGAGCATCGACACACGCCACGCCACACACCGAGGAATCAATCGTCCCCAGCGTACTCAACAACGCCCTTCATGAACATCCCATAAGGATCCTTTGCCTCGGGCTTCTTCCCTCCCTCCACCTCCGCCCTCTCCTCTCTCTCTTCCTCCATCACCCCCACCTGTACCACCACCTCCTCCTCCTCTTCTTCTTCTTCTTCTCCTCCTCCCCCATCACCACCGCCCCCACCATTCTCACCACCCCGCAACGACGCCGTCGTCCCCCCTCCAACCAAACCGTCCACATCGCCTCCACCATCACCCTCCCTCGCCACGCCGCTCGCCATCGCAAGCTGCGGGCGCACGACGACGACGCCACCGCGACCGCCGCGACCGCCGCGGCGATGGTAATTGTGGCGCTGGCGGAGATGGCGAACGCCGAGTCCGAATCCGAATCCGTTTCCGTGTCCGTGTCCGTTACCATTCGAGTTGCGGCCGCCGTTGCGGTTGCCGATGATGTTGCCGACACGATGGCCGTTGCCGGTTCCTCGGGCTCTTTCGGACGACGACGGCGGCGGCGGCATGTTGCTGCTGCTGCTGCCACAGCTTGCGGCGCCGGAAGGACGAGTACGGTTGGTGCTGGTGGTGCTCGGGGTGACGGTGGTGCTGCGCTTTCTTCTGGTGTTTGGGAAGGCGGGGGAGTGCTGCTGCTGTTGCTGTTGCTGCTGCTTCTGCTGCTGCTGTGAGTGGGAAGCGGTAGTAGTAGTGGCAGTGGCAGTGTTGTTGGTAGCTGCCTTTGTCGTGGTGGTGATGGTCGTCAGCATCGGGGCCACGGGGATGGTTGACGGGGGAGTGATGGCGACGGCGGGGATGGGGGCGGCGGCTGCGGCCGTCGCGGCCGCGATGTTGAAAGAATAAGAGGAGGCGGGAGGTGGTGGTCCGAAAGCGGCAGTGTCGGTTCGAGAGGCGGCGGAGGAGGAAGAGAAACAGAGGTCCGGGGTGTTGGGCTGAGGGGTCGTTGCCGTTGCGACTGGGGGAGGAGAAGAAGCGGTGTTGTTGTTGTCTGCCATGATCGTCACTGTGCTTGAAGCAGCTTGAGGGTGGTGCTGCCATCCGTTGTGCTGTTGCCCCTGCCAGTGCTGTCCGTGCTCTTGCTGGTCTTTCCTTTCCGTCGTCAACACGTCTTGCAGCGATGTGACCTGCGTGAGTGCCTGCGCCGCCTGTTGCTCCTGGATGTGCCGGTGGTAGTTCCTCTCGAACAGATGCAGCATGGCGGATGACGACGAGGCGGCGAGGACCGGGCGTTGTCGGGATAGCTGTTGCCGCTGCAGCCGCTGCAGTGAAGGAGAGCTGGGCTCCGTACCCATCGCCATAGGTGTTGACGGTGGCGTTTGGGTCATCAGTAGCCGCTGGTGTGGGTAACGAACGAAGGTGATGCAGTCTTCATCCTTGTTGTCAGGCGTCAAACCAATAGTGGGCGTCGAGCCAGTGGCAGACGGGCTCAAGTCGTCCCCTCTCAGCGAGCTGGAGGAGCAGGATATGTGCGGGACCGCTGCGGAAGCCGTGGCGCCAAGCATACTCAATACCTCTGCTTCTGAGTTCTCGAAGGATAACGAGGGTCCGTAGATGGCGGAAGGAAGATCTGACGGCGATGGTGAGGATGGAGCAGTAGACGGTGACATCTGACGTAGCAAAGCCCAGGCCGTCGAATATGCCGGTGTGTCAGGCGAGGTGGGGGCTGATGGACCTTGACTGAGTGCAGGTGTTGCCACAGGGCCGATGTTGGACTGTGACAGCAGAAGAAAGTGTACGAGCTGGGGATCGAAGTGCTGCTGAGATGTACTGGGCGACGACGCCGCTTGCTCCTCCCTGACAAGTGACTGCCCCTGCCGCTCGCCGGACCTCAGATGCTGAAGATCTTGCTGGGCGGTGCCTACTGGAAATGACCATTCTCCAAATTTAAGGCGAGAGCGTTGGGCGCACTCCTTCAAGCCAAGAGAGAAGGGATCTGTAGCCATCCATGGAGTGCCGCTTCCAAAGCCCTGCAATGATTCACTCTCCGCCTGTCCGGGTACAACGTCCCGTGGAATAAGAAATGGGTTCCTCAGTTCTCGGGAAAAGACTGCTTTCTGTTTACCAAAGAAGACACAATGTTCAGCAGTCATATTACGTACTCCTTTCGGTATGTGCGGGTCCTCCACCCTCCTACCAGGGTTCGGCGTACACTTCTTCAAGTCGACAGGCTTGAGGAAGCGCCGCGGCCATTTCTGCTGCATGAGGAAGCGATGTGCTTGCAAAAGGTTTCCAAGCATGGTCGGTGATGACAGACAAGCTGGATAGTCGCCATCGAGGTAAGAATCCTCAATCACATCCAGCGCCTTTATAGCATCCTCTGCCGACATGTCGAGGATGTGTTGAATGGGGAAGCAAGGATCCTGAAACCCTTCATCGAGAGCAGCGATGTACATGTTGCCAATGACAGTGGACCGCATGATCGGATGAAGCTCAGATAACTTCGCCTGCCCAATCGTCAAAGTCGATTCAAAGAGCGACCTACCAGAAGACAGAAAGGACAATCATACCTTTCTCGACCCTGCTGAATCGTCCGTCTCCATGCCGCGGCGCCTCGCCCGCAACCAAACTTCAGCCATACGGTCGTCTTCCCTCTCCACCAGATCCCTCAACGAAACTGGCCGCTCATCCTTGTCAAGCCTGAGCCTCACGACGAGCGAATCCTCCAGTGACGCATCTACCACAAACACTCCAAGTCAGCCAGCCAAAGCTTCCCTCACCGCCACCCAACCAAATCTCACCTTCTCCCTCGCCCGCCCCGCCACCGCCACCGCCACCGCCTGACCTCACCCTACTACCACCGCCGAGCGGCAATGACGGAAATGCTGCCGGTCGCACATTCGGGTTAAACGCTGTCGACGCTATATGCAACGTCGGTCGTCCTGACCTGCTGGTTGGGTGGATGACGCGAGGCTCCGGGCCCTCTTCGGGGGCGTATATTTGGTCGAGCTCGTCTTCGAAGCGGCGAGGTGCGCGGCGCTCGCGCGCGTTCCGGAGGTTCATTGCTGCTGTCAGGATGTGGAGGAGGAGGGCGAGGAGGAAGAAAGCTGTGGCAGTGTTATATGTCAATGGACGCGTCGGCGACGCGTGACATGTGGGGAAAAGAGTCTTGCGGGCTTGGTTGTTTGTTTGTTTGTTGTCGTCGTTGTTGTTGTCACGGTGGTGGTGTGGCGACAGGGTATTAGTGGGTGAGAAGCGGTTTCCCTTTGGTGGCGGCTCCGGGTTGGGGCTGTGTACGGCGGAGGTTTGTTTTGGCAAGGGGACAAGAGAGGCCGGTAGGATAGAGTTGAGGTGAAGTACGTGCCAGTCGACTTCGTCCGGAACACGCGGGTTTCTGGTGCGTACCAGAGAGTGAATGTGGAAACGGTCAGTCGCCATATCCGGCAGGCGGGACCCGGGACACGTTCAAAAGCCTACTAACCTGTCGCACGCCATATCAGTACCGTAAAGGCCATTCACGGGAAGACACTCAAGATATGATGGCTCCTCTCGAACGTTTGACATGTCAAAAAAGAAACTGTTGAGGCTCAACGCAGAGACAAAAAGCGAAGCAGCATTGTAAAAGACCTCGATTCAATTAAAAATGTCCGTAAATGAAGTTTCGTCATGAATACGAGAGTAAGAACGCCGTCGCCGGGTATCATGCCACCATCGATCCTTCGTTTCTTCCCTATTGTTGTATGTCTGTTTGAGAGCTCAAAGTCAGCGCGTACAGATGGTGCAAGGAGCAAGTGCGGACATACAAAAGAGGGGTACAACTGTTGATATAGTATAACCAGCTCTATGAAGCCGTGTGAAGCGAGGTCGATGTGCAAAACTTGCAAACGAAAGCAGAGAAGACAGAGTGCGGCTGGACGAGGGAGATGTATTTCCGAGGTGATGCGCCGATGCAAACCACACGGCTTCAGTCGATACTCTCGAACGGTATATGCGTCCGGCCCTCGAATCGCAGGATATCAGCATCAGCTACGGTATCTACATCCATATCCTCGTCGTATGTTGTATCAAGCGAACGCTTAGAGCTGCTCTGTGTCGAGTGGGATTGCTGCGGATGCCGACCCGCGCTGTCGAGGGCAACGAGGCGCTTTGCCGCCAGGATATCTCCATAAGATTGCAGAACAGTCTTTAGGTGGTCATCGAAGTTGACGCAGAAGCGTTGGCCTTGAACAAACTGCATTGCACGGAGGAAATCCAGGCCCAGCATTTCCATGATCCACGCCACCACAACGGCCGCTGATTTCTCATTCCCTGATTCACAGAAGACGAGGACCTTTCCGTGTTGCAAACCACATCTGCCACCAAGTATGCGAGCGTTGACATCGGCAAGGTGAGTGTTGATCAGGTCGGTGGCCAAGGGGAACGAGGCGATCAAGTCTTGCGGGGTACGGATATCGACGGTGTGGAATGCGATGCCCATCTCGTTGGCGATGCGGGCGGCGGCGTTGACGGGCATGCCGGCCTGCTTGACAGCGAGCAGCATGGTGATATTCGTCTTGCTAAGGAAGTCTCGATTTTTCGCAGCGCTGTGGGGGCCTGCAAGCGGGGATCAGCTGGGGGACAAGACGCAAGAGCAACAGGCGGCGACTGACCCAGATAGAGGTATGGCGTTACCATCTGAGCATCGCGGCGCTTCTCGTAGGTCCACTCCAGACCGGCGTTTTGAGCGGTGAGCTCGCCGCCATTGACGGCGGCCAGAAAGCTCAGGTCCGGGCCGCGGGCATCGATGGTGGAGACAGAGTCAACGCGGATGGCATTGGAGGATTCCTGGCTGTTCACGGCGGGCGGCGGGATGATGATGCGCGGCGGGGTGGGCACGCGGAAGGCGTACTCGTTGTTGCTGGCACGGCGGAAGGAGCGGCTGGTGTCGGAGAGGGCAACCTCCTCGGTGGTGGTCATGGTGACGGGGATCTCGCAGCGGCTGGGCTGGCTGTGGTCAGGACGACAGCAGGCCGGAGTGGGATCGGGTGGAAGACAGGGCAGAGGCGTAGTGCGCAGTCGAGGCGGGAGGGAAGTCGCCAGGCAGCCACGGCTCGCAGGCGCTACAGGCTCACTCGACGCGCGGGCCGACGTTCATGCTGGACCAAGGAGCAGGCAAGAAGTGGGTAGTCGGAGAGCACTGTGGGCTCGAGGTTCAACGGCACGCTGAGGATGGGCGCGACAGATGTAAGAGGGACCGGGTGAGGTCACCGTTCTGGGCCCGACGGTCGGCCCGCCCCTGCCTGGTCGAGATGGCCACGCTAGCGAACACTAGTGCACGCCGAACTCCATTTGATCTGCCCGCGTCTGCCACAGTTCCCGGTCCAACAAATGCACGCTGCAGCCCTGCTGCCCTGCCAGCCGCAGCTTCAGATCCGTAATCTCGCCTGCCTGCTGCAGCGGGGCGGATATACCCCCACAGCAGTTCCATGTTGTGTTGCTGTTCTGGACACGCATCCCAATATCCTTCTGTGTAGATTGTGGTTTCTGTTGCTTTTGCAAACATTGAGGCTGCCATCGCTATCAGTGTGAAAGTGGATGAAGGTGAGGGGAGGTGTGTGCTGTTTGGGTCGCCGTCGGAGAGGTGAAGAAGAAGGATGAGGGTTAAAGTTGAGCTGAGGATGGATTTTATGTGCGTTACCTGGACCCTGATCATCTGCTCATAGAAATCCACTTACAGCTTCATCCATGCATGATTTACAAAACTACAATACCGGTTGAGCAAGAGCGATTGGGTTGAGGCCTCGACACTCCGTTGCTGAAACTCTCCAAGTACTTGAACCACACCAATTTCGACAACATCGCAACTGCCTTGGGCTGAAACTGTGTTGCTTAAGTCATACGTTGGTCCGTACGTCTGAACAACAGCGATTCGACAAAAGTGATAGGTGTGAGCAATGTGCGAACTGATCGCGTTGATGTCCGCAGTGGCAAGTGAGTCAAGGAATCTGAGCACACTAGGTTCGTAGACAATGACGCTCCTATGGATATAGCGGTGGTAAGCGTGCGCGCCATCTGGGAACAGTGTCTTGGTTGTGAAGAAGGTGACAGACTGCCGCTCGGGAGTCACGTCGTCAAGACCCAAATCTACAAAGTGAGACTCACTGCACCTGTTTTTAGTATCTGGCTTCGGCCGTCCTCTCTTTCAAGCTCGGACCGACACCCACCACGCCATTAACTACCTTCGAGATCCTCTACGTCCCGACTCTCGCGTACACGTAGCGACGACGTATGGCCACACCCATCTCGATCTCGCTGAACAAACCAGTCGGCATCTCTCACTACTCGCCAGCGTACCAGAAAGCATGTGGTTTTACTCAGCCCGCTCACCATACACATTGGAATTACCGTTTTGTATAGGTACGATGTCCTGGCATGTTAATTGTGGCTCGGTATTCCGGCAGACAAGAGCCGTGTTACGAATCGACCGCCAAAATGCATTCAGCTACATTCTACATACGAAGTGAGGCTCCTGAAGAGCGAAGGGAATAAAGAATGGCGCGCGATTGAATGGTAGTGGGTAGTAGCGGCAGAACGATATGTCAGACGGTGATCGCAGACGGTCACATGTAGAAGCTGGTCGACTGGATGTCTCATTATGCGCTGCTACTACCTGGGGTTTATATAGATAACGAAAGAAGTGGCAGCGCTCGCAAGGCTCGACAAGGAACACATTGCTGAAGAGGACCCTGTTGGGTTGATGACGATCATCCTCCTGATGAGGAGCCTCAACGTTATTATTTCTTCAAACGAGTCCCGTGCGCGAATGTCTTCCCAGACTCTATAAGAAGAAGACTTTAGCTATAGGTTGTTTGCAAAACCAAGGGAAGTTTTCTTCTTTCAAATGGCTTTGTAAAGAAACCAAATGCAAACAGTACTCTCTGGATTTGGAGAAAGGGGAAGGCTGATGAACGAAAAAGCTAGTAAGAAGACGAGCCAGAGAGTTCTAATTTGTGACTCCCGTTCAATGAAGATAGTACAGATGTGCTGCTCCTTTGGACTGTCATGTATCATAGAATGCCCAATTGCTTATCGAAATATGGACAAGGAATTGGCGCTTCGAGACGACCGTGGAAGACGGACCGGAGAAAGTCGGGGATGCTTCAAATTGATTGTATGTCACACCAAAAAAAAAAGGAGAAAAACTTGAGAGGTAACGTGAGACGCTTGCATGGAGGCAGACCAAGGCAGCCTTCTAAGCCCGAAAGTTGGGGCTCGAGGGAAAAATGTAGCGGACAAGAAGAAAGACAGGAAATGGGGAACAAATCGACTGCATCGTCAGCGCAGAGTCAGACTAGCCCGGCCTGCCCAGCTTCGTTCAAATAGAAACCTAGACATTGAGGACAGTTCGGCGTTACTTACGTAGTGTTCCGCGTTCGTAGCAACCATGTTGCATGATCGAGCATAACTGCAGTTTCGCCGCAGGCATTCCTGATGAGAACAACGTAAGATATTGCAGCCGCCTGTCAGTGCTGAAGTGAAGCTGAGATTACTCACTGCTAGAGGCAAGTCGGCTTTTCAAGAGCGATTTGGAGCCGTCCGGACAAGACTTTCAACGGCCCCGAAATTGGTAGCTTGACTGGCGACGTCTGCGCACCAGTGAGGGCCCCGACACGCCAGCTTCCGAAACCAGCAACTCCGCATCACACCAATTTCAGGACCCCTTCACGTCAGATCATGCCTCCAAGTAGCTTAGTCCATTGGAGCGGAGGCACGGTATTGGGTGCGAGGACCCTTCTTCATTTCCATCCCTCCCCGGAAAGCGGGATGCAAGTGCCTCCCATTGCTGCGTCAACGGGCGCGCGCGCGCGCGCCAAACGGCTGGCTCCATTTGGTAAGTACGGTCTGCAGCCCACACACACAGAAGTTGCCCAGAGAGCCGGCGGAAGCTCGCCGAGACCGCTCTGTCACACAACAGTCATCATTGAACGTAGCACGAAATAACGAGGCTTATCTAGCCTGACCGCTGCCCTGCGTTGTGTCCGTCATCCCACCGTTATCAGGGTTTTCCTGTTTTTCTTCAGGCTCGCGTTACTTTCCCTTGCATTTCGCACACGCCGGCGTTGCGAAATCTTCATGCTCCCCACAACCCCTGCCATTCCGACGACAAACCCTGGCCGAGGCTGTGGAATGCTGCGAGCGAGCCCACTCATCACATCCTATAATCCAATATAGGTGGCGCAAGTCCAGCGAAATTGGTGTGACACCGGGAGGGAATGCAGGGAAAGCGCGGCATACCGAGTCTGGGCTGGGCAAAATGCCAGAATAGGAAACGCATCTCGATGGCGGCTCTGGATAGAAACCCCTTGAGACTTGCCAGAGAGAAAGTTTAGATATATTTGCGGCCGCGCTGGTGAAATGGTCCATGGTTCGGCCAACGACCAAAGAGAACCGCTGCTGCCGCCAAGATGCTCACCTCGCTGCTGATACAACTCTACTCGTACCTCGCGCCGGCCCTCTGGGACCCCAAGGCAACGGCGGCGAGCAGCCTCGGCGAAGATCCAAAGACGCTGCTGGGTCTGCTGGAGCGGGCTGCGAGGCTGTGGCCAAACCACGGCATTGCCTTCAAGGACCAGGGATGGAGCCAACGGTCCGACTTCGTGACATACGCTGAGCTCCTAAGGGAAGCGACGGTAAGCGCATCGCGCACTGGGAGGCGAACAGGACGTTGCTGACGGAGGCAGACAAACGCAGCCAAACTGCGGGAAAACGGCGCTGTCACGCCCCGGAAACACGTCGTGCTGTACTTCAACACGCACCACGACAACGTCGTATGGTTCTGGTCGGTTGTCGCCGCAGGAGGCGTGCCTGCTCTCCTTTCTCCGCTTTCCAGCAACGACACCACGCTCGCTGGGGAACTCGAAAACCTCACCAACCTCTTCAACGGCCCGACCGTTCTCACCACCAAACAGCTCAGCCGACTCTTTAGGCCGATTGCCTCCATCACTACGCTCACCGTGCAGTCGATGGCAACAACCAAGGTGGAAGAGTTTTACGGCATGAAAGCGGTGGATGAGGGAGTCGGTCACGAAGATGAGTTGGCAGCCATCTTATTCACCAGCGGCAGCACAGGATTCGCAAAGGGTGTTGAGTACACGCATACGCAGTTCGTGAGTTCCAGCAAGCTGAAAAGCAATTTCCATGGCACGAACTCGGCCATGACGTTCATGTCTTGGGTCAGTAAGTATTGCCCAGCCCGACGAGAGATTCCAGCATAGGTTTCCGCTGACAAGTGGCACGTAGGTTTCGACCACAGTGCCGCGCTCTGCGAAAACCATTTACATGCGGTTTACGCGGGCGCGAACCAGGTCATGATTCCGGCGATTGACTTCGTGAGGAAGCCTGTTCGGTTCTGGAAGGTGCTCAGCGAGCATCGGGTTGCTTACACATTTGCTCCGAACTTCTTCATCGCCACGGCCACACGTGCCATCAACGAAGTCGATGAGTTCGAGAGGAAGCGCATGAGGTTGGACTTCAGCGAGCTCCGCGTGATCATGTGCGGCGGCGAAGCGAACAAGACAGCTACTCTGGCTGCGGCGGAGAGGGTTTTGACGGAACATGGCGCACCGAAGTGTAGCATCAAGGCGAGCTACGGCTTGAGCGAGGTAATAAATACGCTTGGATGACACCGCAAGTGGCAAAGGAGCTAATGACATTGCAGACTTGTTCAGCGTTCTTCTACAATCTAGAGTCGCCAACGTACGATGTGAAGCGAAAATACGACTTCGCATCTGCTGGGAAGCACCTTCCACAGCACGAGCTCCGCCTTGTTGATGAGCACGGCAGGCATGTCAAGCGGGGAGGGTCGGGTGCCATTCAAGTCCGAGGAGCGCTCATCTTCAAGCGCTACTACAACAATGAGGCGGCCACGAGCGCTTGCATGACCAAGGATGGTTGGTTCGACACGGGCGATCTCGGAATGCTTGACGATCAAGGAAACTTGTGCATCGTTGGTCGCTCAAAGGAGATCCTCGTCATCAATGGCCAGAAGTACTCGTCATTCGAGCTGGAACACGCCATTGAAACGACGAACATCCCCGGTCTCAGCAAGAGCTACACCGCATCCTTCTCTGTCTGGACCCAGGACACCAAAGCCGACAGCGAAGACGTCGTCGTTCTGTTCAACCCAACCAATGATGCCATGGACGATTCACCCGCGCTTCGGGAGACGGTCACCCAGATCAACGAGGCTTGCATTCGCTTCTGCCGTAAGCGTCCCGTACAGGTGATTCCTCTGCCGAAGCAGAAGCTGCCGAAATCCACGATTGGAAAGCTGTCTCGGGCGAAGCTGAAGAAGTCTTTCCAAGCTGGCCACTTTGACGAGTTCAAGCTAGCGGAGCGCGCGCCTCAGTTTGCCTCTCATCGAGGCGCAGACCTGGAGACGCCTCTGCAAAAGGTCTTGGCCAGAGTTCTGTGCGAGGAGACTGGATTGAAGCATTCGGACTTGCATCTCGACATAGCAGTTGCGGATTTGAACATCGACAGCCTGGGATATCTCCGCATCAAGTCATCGCTCGAGAAGATCCTCGACTGTGAGGACCCCATCTCGATGTCTCTGCTCCTGTCGTGTCGGACGATTGGTGACTTGGACATGATGCTTCTCTCGCTGGGTACCACGACGACCGAATACGACCCAATCGTGCCGCTCGTCGCGTCGGGATCGAAGAGTCCGCTCATCCTGTGCCATCCCGGAGGAGGCGAATTCTTGACGTGGCTTGGATTGTTAAAGTACGTCCCGGACAGGCCTATTTTTGCGCTGCGGGTCCGCGGATTCCACAAGAACGAGACGCCGTTCGAGACGTTGGATGAGATGCTTGACGTCTACATTGATGGCATCAAGCGGCACCAACCAAAAGGGCCATACTCGCTCCTCGGCCTCTGCTTCGGCGGGATGCTCGCGTTTGAGCTGGGCAAGAGACTCGAAGCAGCGGGCGAGCAAGTGCAATTCTGCGGCGGGATCGACAACCCGGCCGACTTGACGCGGATCCAGGTGCGCGAGAAGCAGCGCAACTTCATCATCGACTTGCTGCACTTTTTCCAGCTCTTGGACATGGAGACTGCGATGAGATGGGAGAAGGAGATGGACGACATCCCAGACGAACAGTTCACGCAGGCCATCTTCGCGCGCTTCCCCGACGGGACGCTGGAGAACCTTGATCTGACGATCCCAAAGGTCGAGACATGGCAGCGGATCAACACCAACATGCAGCGGATCACGCGGTCGTACGTTCCACGCGGACAAGTGTCAAAGTATGACCTCTTCTGGGTGCCGCCGCTACCGCAGTACAAGTGCAGCGACGAGGAATGGCGACACGACTGGCTGTCGAAGTGGAAGACGCACGTGACGGGAGCGGAGCAAAGAGACGTTGACGTTGAGGACTCGGAAGGGCCGCTGCGGTACCACCGCGTTCAGGGCACGCACTTCACCATTCTGAGGCCGGAGAACATCGACATTTTCCAGGTGGCGTTGAACAAAGCCATGGGGTTGCGAGGCGTGTGATGTTGGGTCCCGGGTTCAAGGGTTGGCGTGGCAGGTTCGGAACCGGCGTTATGGATGGGTGTTTGTAGTAATGTAATAGCGTCTGGCATGTTGTTGCAAAGCAGTGAGTGGAAACTATGATGGGTGGGTGCGTCGGGTACTACCTAGAACCGAGACCCCTCCCATGACGTAAGCGCAACCGACGGGAAAGCGCGTTGCGACGCGTCGCGTCATCCATCCATTTCTCCCTTTCTCCCTTTTCTCCCGCACCACCTCACAACACTCGCCGGGTTTTGAGTACCATCGACATGCAGCTGGATCAAGGTCTATCACTACGCATTCACCCCACTCATGCACTATCTCGTCAACCTGGAAATAATAATAATAATGGCATATAGCAAGCAAGCCACAGGCCGTGCTCAAGTCCGAAACAAAAGCTCCATGGGCGAAAAAGGAAGCCAACCAGCCATCAAGGCCCGTCAACGCGCGAGCCTAGCATGCCACCGCCACTGCCTCGACTTCTCTTTCAACACTCAGCTCCTGCGGCACGCTGTGCCTGCGCCTGACACTCTGCAACGTCCGTGCTGCCAGGGGCTGCGTCGGCGCAAGCATCTGGCTGTTCATGCCCAGCAGCGTGTGGTAAACCAGCTTGATGGTCGGCACCGGCACCCCGATCTGGTCTGCCTGTCGACAGATGTTTCCTGCAACTTTGTCAGACTTGCGCCATACGAAGGAGAGATGGAACTTACCGCATAGCGACTCGACCTCCATTGGCCTCTTCATCCTCGCGTCCTGGAGCATAGATGGCGCCAAGGAAGGGTTGTTCTTTGCAAACTCTATCGTCTTGGCCGGTAGGTCATCTGAGAGTGAGATGCCTAGTTTTAACGCCACCTCATACATCTCATGTGCAAGCTGCCGCACCGTCTGCAAGTAAGGCGAGGTCAGCAGCGGGTGCGTCTCGAGCCCGGAAATTGCCGCCATCGGATTCCACGCTCCGTTGAATATCTGCTTGGTCCAGCGCTCCGCCTGCGCGTCACTGATTCTCTTGAATCTATCGTCAAGCGCAACAAACTTTCCCAACCGGCTCTCGTCGGTACCCTTGCCCTCTCGCGCATCATAGGTGCCGATATGGAACGCATGAGGGCGGATACTGGAAACCTGCTGAACCGTACCTGGCGCAGGCTGCAGGCAGCTGATGTAGCATATGGCAGACAGGATTGTGTTGTTGCGAAACGCTTTGCGGAGCGGCGCCTCGACGCCCACTCCGTTCTGCGCCGAGACCAGCGTCGTCTTTTCCGTCACCGCTGGCGCCAGTTCCCCGACGAACGAGAGACCGTCCGACGGAGTGACTTTGTTGGCACAGACCACGTAGTCGAAGGTCATATCAGACGCCTCACGTGGAGAGCGAATGACACGGTAAGGCAAGAATGTGCCGTTGCCCCACATCTTGGTCGACAATTGAATTCCGTTCTGCTTGACCGCGTTGTAGTTGGACCGACAGACGACAGAGAGCCTGGCATGTGGGTTCTGGGCCAGCCTCCAGCCTATCGTGGAACCCACAGCTGTTGCCCTTGGTCAGCATGACTTCAGTCTCTCGGCGGGCTGTTGCTTACCTCCGGTGCCAAAGATCAGAATGTCCAGAGGTTTTCCGGGGCTCATTGTGACGACTTCCGCTATGATCACCGCGAGCAATGATGACGACTGGCACTACCAGAGCCTGCTGGACGAGCACAACTTGTCTGCATCAAGGAGTGGAGATGGAAACGACAGGACGAGCTCAGCCGGCACGCAGAGAGGCGGACTGCGACATCTAATCAGAGTCACAGGGACAGGGCCCCATCTTTTGAGGGTTTCAACTCGCAGCATATTCGCCAAACATTGCGCTGCCGAACCCGGTATACCGCCGAGAATGGTCAGCCAAGCTGCTGTGCCATGTCGCCGAGCAACGGGCCGCAGCCGGTAACAGCTTCATGGGACTGCACGAATCCCTCGCTCCCATTTCTCCAACCAATGGCCTTTGTCTGCGCTGCCAACCCCACCCTATCGTCACCCCATACTCGCGTCGTCCCAGGCCGGTGCACTGTCTCCTTGCTTTGGGAAGAGCCTATTCGGACAGGCTTCCCCCGGTAGTCATTGGCGGGGAAGTGTTCCGAGCGTTGGTCGGCCACGGAAGATGATAGCGAGGAATGAGACGTGCCCATTTTTGGAGCAACACCTAGCTAGGCACGGAACGCTTCCTATTCGTCGTTCCGGATAAGGTGTGGCAAAGGCTGCTTTACTGCAACTGTACCGGCTTTCTGGCCCGGCTTGCCGAAGACGCCAATTCTACGTGCTCGGGACGGCCCACAATTAAACATTCCAACGGCTCTCGTCAGAAATTTCTTCAGCATTTCTGCATTCCACACGCATCGGCGATGAGCTGCAGACACACTTTCAAGGAGTTCGCCCTTATGGTTGATTACTTACCCTTATCTCCCCCTCTCCTTCGTGGATGAGCAGATTAGCCGCTTTTGATTTTTGAACAAAGCGAGGTGTGCGCCCAAAGATGGCATATCAGTAACTATGACCCCACCAGCCTTATCTTCTTGAGAGCCAAGCTGTACAGAGCATGCTCAAGAAAGCTTCCAAGAGAAGTTCGGTTCAGACTACGCAATTCCAGGCAAATATCCAGGAGACGAACGACAGCACATGTTGTCCCATGCGCGCGTAACCTGGAAGGGCACCTTCGAATATGGAGACTGACATTCCAGAGCGGTCCTCGGTCATGCTTTGGAACTAATCGTGGTCCAGGGTCTTTTCTTGGTGACATGTATGTACGACCGACATCAATTGATGTTAGATGCACGGGCGCTCGCCTCGATCTCTCGAACATCAAGTTTGATTTGGCCACCATGGTTCGCGGTCAATGCCCATTCCAACTGATGCGGCAAAGGCTGGCGCCTGATTCTGTGATGTAGGAGTAGGGATTTTGGCAGGAGATTCGCTCAACTACAACCTCGGGTCCGTTCCTCGGATGAAAAGATTTGCTTACATGCTACGCGCATGAATGTGCACTCAGACGACCAAACGCCTTGAGACTTGAGGATGTATGGCTAGCTTTAACCAGCAAGCGAGAGGCACGAGAAGTGGTTCATTCTGTACTAACCATGACACATGATCCTGAACATACCGGAGGTACATGTCTGATTCTCTATCCATATATGAATTAGTCATGTTGCCTTTTCGGCAAGCTCCTTTGTCTGAAATGCCCCTTATCAGATTACTCTATTCCAAGCAAATGGCCTATAATATTGACTAGTTCGTACATATATCTGCAACCCACCCAATCAACGCACGAATAATGTACACATACAAAGTAATCGCTAACACCAAAGCAACGATTCCAACTACACAGCAAAAGCGACACCTCTCTTCCTCTCCTCAAACCCACCAGAAACCCCCAGCCCCATTCCCCTCTGTTGCCCCTCCACCCTGGAGAACGGCGTCGTCCACACCACCACCTCGCTCTCATGCTTACTACTCCTGCCATCGCACACCCTTCCCCCTCCGCGCACCCGCTGATCAACCATCACCACCGTCCTCACCCCCTCCCCCCTTCCAAGTTCCCATGCCACTGCTCCTCCTCCTCACCGGCACGACTGAGCCACGCTACCCGTCAGCGTCACTACGCTCTATAACACACAAACGAACCCACATCTCCCTCCACAAAAGAAAAAGCATCGCAGCGATGAACAACGGTGGTGGTACGTGGTCAGCTAGCCACCCGCCGTGCGCGTATCATACAAGGAACGAACCATTGGCGCGGCGGGGCGGGGCGGGGCGGGCGGACCTGAGCTTTCTTTCTTGCCCCTGTGAGAACCAGAATGGAAATCGAGAAAAAAGAATTTTTTTTTTTCAAGAACAAGTTTGTATGTATGTACAAAGGAAATGGTTGGTCCGCTGGTCGCTGGTCGGGCTTTAGTAGTAGCTGTGTGCGCGAAACGGTAGGGAGGATAGGTGCGTCAGGGCGGGCCAGTACTTGTCGGCGTGGACGCTGCCGGCGGGCGATTGCGTCGAGGATGAGGCGGTGGTGGTGGTGGTGGCGGTGAAGGGGGAGGAGGTGGTGGTGGAGGTGGTGGAGGGGAAGGTTGAGAGGGGGTGTTTGTGTTTGTTGCGGCTGTGGTGGTAGTGGTTTGTTTTGGCGGTGGTGGTGGTGGTGTTGTTGTTGTTGTGCCTTGAGGCCGGAGTGGGGGTGTTGAGGTCGCCGGTGGTGGTGGTGGTGTTGTTGTTGTTGCTGTTGCTGTTGGATGAGGAGCGGTGGTGGTGAGGATGACTGCTGTGGCGGCGGCGGTGGTGGTGGTGGCGGCGTTCGCGCTTGAGCTGGTGCTGCTGTTGGTCTCGAGCGGCGCAGGCGGCGGTGGCGGCGGCGATGAGGGGACTCATCCTGCCCCACTCCCAAGGCATCCCGTAGTACGACGTCAGTGCGTCTGATGGCATTTGCGTCTTGTGCGGAGGAGGCGGCCATGTGCCTCCTCGTGCGCCGGGCGGGACGCTGAGCTGGAAAGAGAATGGCGGATGGCGAGGCGGGGTCGGCGTTGATTGGAACGAGGACGGTTGATGGCGGAAGACTGTGCTGTCCGACACGGTGCGTTGTCGCGGAGCTGCCGCTTGATGGTCAGCTGGGCGATATGGATGGCGGGTCGAGGAGGTTCGGACGGCGGTGGGCTGGATGGTTGCTGGAAGCTCTGGAACATGGTCGGGCGCCTCTCCGTAGGAGCTGTTTCTTTGCTCTGGTTGCGGGTGCTTGATTGAGGAGGCGCGTCGGCGGCGAGATAGGAAGCTTCCTTTGGACAGACGCCGGTTGGCCGTGACTTCGCTCCGTTCAGGGGAAGCCTTTGCGCTTTTGGAGACATTGACAACGTTGACATCATTGCGGCCTACGGGTTTCAGTCGCAGCGCCCGTGCCAGTCGGCGGAATCTGCTGGCGGTGGTAGATGATCGCTTCAAGTTGGGCTTCAGTGTTTCCGGCTCGTGGTGGGCCACCTCCCTACCCTCCCATGGCGCAACCGCCGAGATTGGCCTGTATTCTGCCGACATCTGCCGCTGTGGCCGTTCTGCCGGGTGTATGTTTGAGAGGTCCGTCGCAAAAAATGTCCCCTGGGGGGCTTCTGGCGCAGCGTGTGATGCGTCCGAAGCTCGTCTCGCCATCCCTGAAGCCCCACTCAGCCGATATGATGGCACTTGGAGGTTGGGTTCCTTCTCTGATATGGCTACCGGTTCGTCCGGCCGATCAGTGCCTGTCCGTTCCCGAGGTTCGAATGACACGCGTCGACTTTTTCCTTTATCCGCTTTCTCTTCTACCACCGAGCCGGTGGGTAAGCTCCACACTTTCGCCTGGATCCGCTCTTGTATCCTTCTCTCGACAGTCAGGAGCTCTGTGGTCAACTGCTGCTGGATGTGGAACACCTCGTCCTGATGGCGCTGCGCAGCCCGGTGGATCTGCAAGCCGCTCTGCTGGTAGATGTCGGCCATCTCCCGCTGGGCACGCTCCTCGATCAGCCGTGCTTCATGCATCATCATCTTGCGGCGCTTCCGCTCCTTGCGGTGCTCGTCACGCAAGCGTTGCCTGTACTCCTCGACGGCCTCCTCTCTGATCAGCTTCTCCCGCGCCGCCTCCCCATCCCCGTTTCCCCCCGCGAACGGCTCAGACACGTCCCTCTCACCACCCTCTTTCGTCGCCATGCCGCTCTCGAGCTCCTCGATCTTCCGTGTCAAGCTTCTGTTGAGTTTCTCCAACAGCCGCATGCGCGAGCTGACGTGCTTGCGGAACAGTTCGTAGTCGCGTTCGTAGTCGCTTCTCTCCTTTGACGGCGCTGCGGCGGGCGACGATTTGTCGGTGCTGGACTTGCTCACCAGCCGCGTCTGCGCCCTTGGCCACTCGTCCGGATCGTCTCCTTTGAAGGCGGACGAGGTGTCCTCGATCCACGTCGTGTTGGCCGGGTGATAGATGTGCGTCGAGTCGTTGGCGGCGGGGGAGTCTTTAGCCTTGGAGAAGTCTATCTCGTGGGTTGTCGAGTCGACGTTGCCTTCGTTCTTTGCGTCTATGCCCTTGTTCGCGTCGGCGTCCTCGTTCTCGTCGTAGCTGGCGGCGGTGAAGCTGGCGTGGGATTCTGTGGCGGACAGCGCGGCCACCACCAAGTCGGCGTCCCACTCTGACTCCCATTCGGCGTCGTGCGTTTTGCTTGAGGACGCGGTGCCAGCGCTGGTGGGAGCTGACCGCATGTTCTTGTCTGACATGATCTGGGTCCGGGGGGTTTTGGGGATTCTGCTTGCTCTGGGTGCTTTGGGTGTTATGGGGGCAGACAGGGGCTCCTGGCCGGTCGAGTCGGTCGTGGTAGTCCACGAGACGGTGCCGGTGTTTGCCGTGCTGTTGGAAACATGGCGTATCTGCGAGTCGTCGCTGTCGTAGGCGTGGTCTTGCTCTTGCAGGTCGGTGGCTGAGCCGTGTCCGGACAGGCGTTCGAGGAAAGATTGGATGTCGGCAACTTGCTCCTCGAGCGAATCCATGTCCTTGGCGATGTGCTGGACAGTGGCCCGGGCCTCGTCTTCTCTGGGCTTGGTGTGAGAAAGCACTCGGCCCACAGCAGCGAAGTACGTACCTTTCTGTGCCTGCCGTGTCGCCCTCTTTCATAAGATTGCCGACCACCCTTAGTCTGATGTACACGCTGTCGAAGCACTTGATGATTGTATGCTTGCATCCGTTGCCGGACTCCTCCAGCACGTCTAGCGCGCCGTTGGCGACGCCGATCTGCTCGCTCCAGGCTCTGAAGCGGGATAGGCAGTCATCGAGCGCCTCCAGCTGGTCGCTGCTAAGCGTGTTCTCGGCACCTCTCTGGGTGACGCTGTCAAAGCGCACGAGCAACTGCCGATGCAGATTGGCGAGTGATCCGCGACCCATCGTTTGCGGAAATGCAGGACGAAATGAAGGATTTGAGCTGCAAAATCGATGGAGATCCCCGTCCGATCAATACCACAGCCCAGACACATGTGATTGAGTCATCCATGTGTGGGACCCATGCCAGCAGAAAGCGCACACCCATCGGCAATCATGGTACACGGCTACGGGCGAAGGACTGCTGTGGTCGTGGTCGGCGCGGCGCGTAGTCGAGGGCTGGACTAAGGCGTTTAGCACCGCCACGATACCACCTGCGGCTATCCCTCTCGGACCCTCTCAAAGCCACACATCATCCGGAGGCGCAACATGATACCGTTTGTGCAGCCGAAAATATAAGCATCTAGCACCCCGCCGCATCCTGAATGACCTCAGTGACTGCACCGAATCCTTCAGTTGCGCCTTGCCACACCTATATGGTACCACAAGCGTACCGCCGAAGCCTGGATTTGGAACAGGGTTCAGTCTATGTCTGAACGAGCAAATGCCCTAGTCTGGCTCATGGCGTTTCAACGCCGGTGACACCCTTGGCTGGCACCAGTCCCAAGATACGTAAATAGTACGGATCCTATTCACAGTGACCATGTCTCTGCCTATAAGCCTCCAACGTCATTCGATTTAGGATTGGGCAGTGCAAAGAAAGTGGGAGAGAAGTGGCTTCATTCTATCTAATTATTAAGCAGAGTGGGGTTTGTATTCCACACAAAACCAGACGGAGCCACCATTGCCAACGAAACAGCACCATCCTCCCTGACTCCTTCATTAGTAGAACACCAAGGAATTAAACCATCCACCAAGACATAGAACCGGAATGCCGCCGCCCACCCACCACGCTGCACGCCAAACTCCCCACCAACACCTACCTCCGACATCTCACCACCACAATCTCCTCTCCTCCCTCTCCACACCAGCCTTCCTCACGACCCCGTCCTCCCCTTTCTCCCCCACCGCTTCGGCACCCTACACAGCCAATACAGCCCCAACGCCGCGACAACATTAAACCCGACATACACCCAGAGGATCCCAAAATCCCGCCACGCCTCCGCATACTCGGCGCCCACGCCCGCCAGAAACTGATCCGCACTCGCCATCCTACAATACCCACACCTCACCGCCCCGCCCCCCTCCCCGGGCCCCAACCGCAACCGCGACACATCATCCCCCCCACCAACGACGACATACCCCCCCACCGCCTCGACCCACGGCCCCAAAAACGCCTCGCACCCACCACCCTCCACCCCGCCAGGCAACTCCACCACCGCCACCTCCTCGTCGCTGCACCGCACCTCCTTCCCGCCGAGGGCGCCGCTCAGCGCCGCGGCGACGAGGTACGTGAAGGGCGAGGCGCGGTTGAGCCAGCGCCAGGCGGGGGGGAGGAGCGGGGCTGGGGGCAGGACGCCGCAGAAGACGAGGGAGAGGCTGAAGAGGAGCTGGGCGGCGTTGCTGGCGGCCTCGGCGGAGGCGGCGGGGGCGGCGACGGCGAGGGCGAGGGTGGAGGCGAAGAGGAGGGCGGTGAGGGTGAGGAGGGCGAAGAGGAGGGCGTGTTGGTGCTGCTGCTGGAGGCCGAGGCCGAGGACGAGGTAGTAGAAGGGGGGGAAGACGAGGGCGGTGGCGGCGAGGTTGTAGGGGAGCTCGGCGAGGAGGGTGGCGAGGAGGAAGGCGGGCCAGGAGTAGGTTTTGGAGGGGCGCTCGCGGGCTTCGTAGAGGGTGCGCTGGGTGATGAGGAGGGGGATGAATTGCTGCATGAGTTGGCCGAAGATGGTGATGAGCATGAAGAGGGCGAACATTTGGTTTTGGAGGCCTTGGATCGTGTTGGGCGAGTTGAGGAAGACGAGGCCGATGAAGAGGGACTTGGTTTGGGTCAGTGGGAAGAAAAAAAAAAAACGCGGACTGCCGTGGGCGCAGTGGTGCTTACCGAGAAGAAGCATACGGAGAATTTGGAGTAGATGTAGGTCGGCGTCCGCCAGTACTGCTGGAACACCCGCTTCGTCACTTCTCGCATCTGGGTCCCGAAAGGCACCGCGAATTCCCTGCAGTCGACCAGGCCGCCGCTGACGGTACCGGCATCTCCGCTCTTCGATTCGAGCGGCTTCTCTTTCAGACGTAGTAGCTCTTGGCTCACGGCGTCGTACTCGCAGCTGTCTCGCCATGCTCGCGGCCAGTCTACGTCTGAGCTGCACCCCGGCGCTGCCCCGATCACCTCCAGCAACCACTCGGCGGGGTTTGCCTGATCCGGGCATCGCTTGCTCTCCTCACATCTTCCTTCAAAGTAGTCGATGACGGTACGCGAGTTCTTGCCGATGTCGCCAAAGTAGATGGTCTTTCCGCCGTTGTGCAGGAGGAGCAAGCGATCGAAACGCTCGAAAATCCGACTGCTTGGCTGATGGATAGTTACTATCACAGACTGGCCGGCCTTTGTCAGCTTCTCGATCAGATCACAGATGACCCACGACGTCTGTGAGTCCAGGCCAGAGGTGGGCTCGTCCAGGAAGAGGAGGGTGGGCCTGGCAGCGAGCTCCACCCCGATTGTAAGCCGGCGGCGCTGCTCCACGTTCAGACCTGGATAGGTTAGCACCAACATGCCTCAGACTTCCCCAAAGGATGTTCCAATGGACGCCACCCACCTTCTCCCGGGACACCGACGACGGCATCCGCGTATTCCTCCATTTCTAGCAACTTGATCACCTCCCACGCGTAATCCAACTTCTCCTGCCTTGGAACATGGGCTGGCTGCCGTAACAGAGCGCTGAAATTGAGCGCCTCCCGCACGGTCGACGTCTCCAGATGCAGGTCCTGCTGCTGAACGTAACCGGTTGAACGTTGAAAATCCATGTTCCGCGGCAGACCATCGAGCAACACATCGCCGGTGACGACCCCCATGGTCGTCCTTGCTGCAAGCGTGTCCAACAGCGTGGTCTTGCCGGCACCCGAGACACCCTAGACGTCATCATTAGCCCCATCCTGTACACGTCCGCCTTGGGCACCCGCGAGGAACCTACCATCAGCGCAGTCAGCGTCCCGGGTTTGATCCAGCCGTCAACACGGTCGAGCAGCCTCTTGGGACCGCCGGCGGTTTTGATGTCGTAGCACAGGTTCTGCCAGTGGAAAACAGACGTCTGTTTCGCGATCGAACCCGTCCCACCGGCCCCGCTCCCAACGATGCCAGCCCGCTGCCCTTCGGCTGCAGTCTCGATATCCTCCCGCGTAGCGGCAGGAGAAGAACAAGGTTTCGGTCCGTGCCCACGGCGAAACACCAGCACTTCCCCCCTCGAACGCTTCTCGCTGATGTACTCGGTCGCGAGCAGGTACGTGAGCATGAACAGGAAGATGAAGCCGACGACGGCGCCGAAGTCCCTGCGGTCTCTCGTTAGCCCAAACCCACCCCTAGTTGGATTGCTATAATCTCATGAACTGACCTCCACCGATGCGCGTACTCGTACCGGAACGCCGTCCTCAAGTACGCATCCCCGCTCACGTACCCGGCCCCCGGCTGCGCGCCCACAGCATCGCAAACCCTGTTCCTCGGCGCCAGTCCCGGGTAGCCGGGAACAAAGCTCTTGCAATCCCACCGCCTGCCGTGGAACTCATTCGCCATCAGCGCCTCGAAGCCGTACGCGACGGGATCGACCCAGTTGATCCACCTGCACCAGCCGCGCATGTACTGGATCGGGATCGCGAAGCCGGTGAAGATGACGATGGCGAGGATGAGCAGGGTCGCGGGGACCATGGCCTGCGAGATGGTGCGCGAGACGGAGGCGATGGTGCGGAAGATCATGGACATGGCGAGGGTGAGGGCGAAGGAGACGAGCAGGAAGAAGAAGAAGGCCGAGGCCTCGCGGCGGAGGTTGGTCATGAAGTAGAGCGCGAGGTTGAAGATGATGCAGTTGCAGATCTTGTATGGGATGTCGGTGAGCATGCTGGCGAAGGCCTCGGCGCTGGGGTGGTAGAGCGCGTAGCGCGTGTGCTTCTCGACGATGGGGCGTTGGGCGTAGAGGGTCAGGATCTGGGCAGCGGCGGGTGCGTTAGCGGATTGCGCAGCAGCACGCAGGAGCTGAATACCTCAAGTGCACTCCCGAAGGCGTTCAGGAGAATGGCGAAGAATATGACGGCGCCGCGTTGGAAGAGGTGGTCGGAATCGTCTTCCAGATTGAGGAACACGCTTCCGATGATCACTGCCATGACCGCATTCGCAATGAACTGACTGATGGTAAGACTGGGGTCGGCCTTCAAACGTTTGACGCCTCTCCACAGGCAGAGCCGCACTTGCTGACTGTACGACAGGGTGTACGGAGATTTTGTTCGTCTGGAACTGTCAGGTGCTGTTTTACTGTCAAACACCCACTCGGATCACTTACGCAAATCTGGCCTGTTGCGTCCTCTTCGACTCCACAAAGCGCTCCAGATACTCGCCTCCAAACGCATATTTCTTGTTGTACTCTTTCAGGTCATCCAGAAGCCGGTGGTACTCATCGCTCGCCCTCCATACGGCCGCAAACTCTTCAGCTGTGCGCGGGACACGGTTCTCGTACCCCTGTCTCACGACTCTCTCGTGCGGACTAGTCATGGAGGTGAGGAAGTCGGCCGTGGTCTGGCGCTGCGGACACTCGAACCCCAGATCCAAGAAGTAGTCCTTGGCGTCCTCGCACCGGCCAAAGTAGATCTGGCGGCCGTCGTATAGCACCGTCACCTTGTCGAACATCTTGCACGCATCGCCGTCAGCACATCCTCGCCACAGTAGATATCAACCACTCACATCGTACACGTTCTGACTGGCCTGGTAGATGGCCACGCACGCGCTGACGCCCAGATACTCGGTCTGCACCCTCAGCGTCTTGCAAAACTCGAGAGCGTTGGCGCTGTCCAACCCCCTGGTGCTGTTGTCCCAGCACTGCAGCGGGGCCCTGCTCAGGGTGGCCTCGGCGATGGTGACGCGCTTCCGCTCGCCGCCGCTGACGCCGCGGACGAAGTCGCTCCCGACCTTGGTGTCGAGCGTGTGGCCGATGCCGAACAGGGCCATGACGACGTCGCGCATGTGCGCCGCCCACGCCGCCGAGCTGTCGACGCCGCCGACGAACAGTCGCGGTGCCCGCGCCCGCGCCGCGAACAACAGCGTGTCGCCGACCGTCAGCGACGGGAAGTGGACGTCCTGCTCGGCCGTGTAGATGGCGTCGCCGCGGAAGTCGTGGTGCATCTGGTCTGCGCAGATGCCTGTGTTTGTGGACATGTAAGCCCAAAAAGTCAGCCAGAACTCTTCTCTCCCCTCTCTTCATTCGAAACAGCCGTCACCATAGGTCAGACGAGCAAGACCCGCCGTGGATCAGTCGGCCTCCCCCCTCCTCCTCCACTCACTCACCCACCCGTCCACCCACACTCACTCACCTTGATAATTCAAATAACTCCCCCCATCCACCCTCAGCCCCGCCGTCTCCCCCGCCACCGTCTTCAACAACGTCGAGCACCCACTCCCCGGCGGCCCCAACACCACCATCATCTCCCCCGCCTCCACCACGCCATCCAGCCCCTTCAAAATCTCCTTCCGCGACCCCCTCCCCTTCCCCCTCCCCCACCAACCAAACACCCCCCCTCCTCCTCCTCCCACCAACGCCCTAACAACCGCATTCCCCACCGTCGCCTGATACTCCGCCCCGCCACCATCGCTCCCAATCCCACTCCCGCTCACCCGCAAGTTCGCAAACGCCACGCCCGCCGTCCGAGGCGGCTGCTTGCCCGGCTCCGCGGCCTGCAGCGCCAGCACGGCGCGGGCCCAGGCGCGCGCCGAGAAGTTGGCGCCGAGCGGGTCGAGCGGGGAGTTGGCGGGGGCGCGGAAGGGGTTGTTGTTGTTGGTGGTGGTGTTGGTGTTGGCGTCGGCGTCGGCGTCGGCGGTGGAGATGTTGTCGTCGTCGTCGTTTTCGCTGTCCTTGTGGATCACGTATGGTGGGAGCGACGAGTAGCGGGTTGCGACGCTGTGGATGCGGCGGGCGCGGGCGGTGGCGTCGTCGTCGGCGGCGTCGTCGTCGAGGTGGGGATGATGACGGCGGCGGCGGCGGTGGCCGCGGCGGGCGCGGAGGGAGAAGGAGGAGGGGACGGCGTCGGTGGCGGTGGTGGACTGGGGGGTGGTGGGGGATTTGGCCGCGAGGCTGCTGCTGGCGGTGGTTGCTTGGGTCCATTTGGAGTGGGCGCTGTGGAGGCTGTGGGCGTCGTTGGTGTTGATGTTGTTGTTGTCGTCGTCGCCGGCTCCTCCCTCCTCGATCAGCTCGACGCGCGAGCCGTCGGGCTGGCGCTGCTGATGGATCGAGTCGGTGTAGGCGACGCTGGCGCCGTCGAAGACGGTCCAGGAGCCGTGGCCGTCGGTCGCGTTCGACTGCGAGCGCGTTCGCCCGCCGCCGCCGCTGCCGCCAATGCGGTGCAGGACTGTCATTCCGACTTGTTCTCCCCCTCCTTCTCCTCGGCCACCTCCACCTCCACCTCCTCCATCATCGCCTTCGCGGCCGTGTTCTGCATGTGCGGCCGCAGAGGGGCGGCGGCCGAAGGTCAGCTTCCGGAAAGATACCATCTGAGGCTAGTGATTTGTCGGTGGATAAACCTTTTGGGTTGAGAGAGTTGAGAGCAGCTTCATGCGACGCTGTCCAGCGGACGGCTGTAGGGAGGGGCGAGTGACATGGGACACTGTCGGCAGGGCGCATTTCTGGAACGATGGACTTTGCCGTTGCCGGGTGGGCTGTCACCTGTAGAGCCCGGCAGGGCGGTACCGTTGCGCTCCACGTCTATCCCTTGCCTGGCACCCGTGAGCCTTTATCTGGCGCGAGCAAGGGCGAGGAATGCAACGCTTGGGAGATAAGATTCCGTGCTTCCACGGATTGCCAGAAATGGAGAAAGAAGGCCGAGGCGCTGGTCCGACCGCAAAGGGTCGAAAGCGGATGGATGATGGCCTTTAGCTCCTGTGAAAGATTCAGCCGCAAACCAATCTCATTGTAAAAATTTCCTGGTGGTCATGGAAGTTCTACGTCTGTCGCTTGAGGTTTTTGCTGATAGCACAAGATTTTATTTGAATGCCTATTTCCTTCGTTGTCTGGATGACTTCGTGAATTAATGCTTGATCAATTCTGTAGACACAGCAGACAATAGTCAGTGCAGAGGCCATAAATGGTGGTAAAGAGAGGAGAAAGTGCTACGACACCATGATGGGTGATGTTCCTTTGCAGCCATGCACGAGGGCGGCTGTTGAAGTGCAAGGTTGGTCATGGACCGTCGAGTCATTTCAACGTTCGCTCGGTTCAAGATATTCCCTGAGCCCTGATGAGAGTGAATGAAGAAGGGAAGAAAGATCTAGCAGGTGAACCCCTACCGGCGACCGTCATGTGGACATGGATGTGGCGCATGGTCGATATAAGACTCCGTTTCCCTTATGGGAATCGCTCCTCTTCGTCAACTCCAACAACTGCAACCCCGCCTTCAAGATCTAGGTTTAAAGAGCTCCGAAAAGACCTCAGATATTCCAGTCCCGCTTGAAGATCTTTAACCACAAAGTCCGACCCCGCCTTCTCCGCGCCCTTTTCTTCGCGTCACAACCTTCCAGGTCCAGATCTTTCGCGCAAAACCACCGCAACAACAACCCGAACCCTCCACACCAGCTAACAGGCAAGATGGTGTTCACGATGCTGGTTCCGAAATATACGTTCCAGCTGCCCGGCAACCGCCGTCCCACCGAATGGGTTGAAACCACCGTCTACGAGAACGACGAGTCCACCGACGACGAGACGATCCCGCCGCACTGGAAGGCCCGCAAGAAGGCGGCGCGCGAGTGGAAGCCGTACATCGAGAGGATGGACAAGTTCAACTCGTACGAGATCCACCGCTTCATGGACGCCGGCGCCGCCAACACCTTCGCCGACAACATGTCCGTGGTCAAGGAAGCCCAATGGGCCGGCCACCTCAACTACAAGAACGACCTGGGCCGCCTCGCCGCCGTGTCCGGCATGCACACCCCGAACACGCGCATCATCATCGGCTACGCGCTCGACGCCGAAGCCTCGACGCTGGGGGCGTGGCTCGCGGCCAACACGCGGGGCGACGTGCTGACGCCGCTGCGCCGCTTCCTCGAGTACATCCACATGCACCACGTCGGCTCCAACAAGGAGTACAGCGGCTACGAGCTGCGCATCTTCACCGACATCCACGTCGCCGAGGGCTACCCGCCCGACTGGCACGCCGACGAGTGCGACGGCGCGATGCTCGAACACGCCGGCGTGCTGGACTTCGAGCCGCTGCACGTCGCAACCTGCTTCAAGGGCCCGGGCACCCTGTTCATGCGCGATAGGGTGCTGAGCTGGATCAACCACGCCAAGGAGGAGTACGAAGCCGCGGCGCCCAAGGACCAGCTCAAGACGGGCGAGCTGGCGCTGTATCGTCCCTCCCCTGAGCTCGTGGATTCTCCGGATGAGATGTTTGGGGCCATCCATGCGAGGCCGGACGACGAGGATGGCGAGCGCATTGTCGTGCAGTTGATGATGGGTACTAAGCGCCAGATGAGGGGAATTGAAATCAGCCATGCCGAGGTGATAGAGAGGGGCCGTCTCAATACGGAGGCCGCGGCCCAGGCCAAGGCCAAGTCCGCTTCGAGGCCGTCCACTTTCTCTGGTGGGGGAATGTGAACTCCTGGCCTTCAGTTTCGTCCACCCCATGATGGATGTCACTGGATTGAAAGCAAAGCGTAAAAAACATAAGAAAAGAAAAGAAAAACACCGCGGACCCAAAACATTCGCTGATCTGAGGATTCAAGTTGCTCGAGGAGGCTGTTTTGGATACCACACTTCCGGGCTGCGAGAGCCCGATTGCCAACCCTCGGATCGCGTCTAACGAACTAGAAAAATACGACCGCCCGACCCCGGGGCTATTAAAGGGCTTGGCACCACAAGCCACTAGCTGAGGAGAAGTGCGGCGGAGAGCCGTGGAGATAGAACAGAAACAAATTTTGGCAAGTAGCCTGGCGGTCTCACTTTCTAACCTACTAACACATCAGCAGAGTATGCGACATATCACCACGATGCTCCTACACCGCTGAAACCTTAGCGGGCACCCACGATCCGGTACCTTACCGACAGAGGTCTAGCACTTTAAGCCCCGGGTTTCTTTACCCCGGGAAAACCTCACAAAGATTGGTCTCCATTGATAATTGGCGGAGAATCAACGAGAAGCTCTCTTGGCGCTTCTCTTTCCTCTCGTCAACCACTTGATTTGCTCGTTTTCTCTTCTGCCCGGCTTTCTCCTTGGCGATTTCGAATACGGGCTTGGCTTTTCTCTTTTTTTTTTTTTCCACACTTCGGACATATCCGTTGGACTGTCCAGTCCAGCCGAGTGCTGGTTTCCTGTCGTACGCAGGTAGCTAGGTCCGTAGCCGAAAATCCTAAGCCCCATCATCAAGTGGCATGACGCTGGTTGCATCCGGCCCCTGCGCCACCCATATACGTGGACGAGCCTGGTACCACAATGGCCCACGCGTGGCATTGCAGCACAGCATGACCGCATAGTGCGGGTCGGGCGATCCACAATGTCTCGAACGCACGACGTTGTCCACGTTCTCCTTTGTATGTCGATACAGCAGCCCAATTGATCGACGTCGTCCCATCTGCTCATGTGGTGTTCACTCAAACAAGCGATTGTCATAGCACGATCTCGTATCCAGGCGAAGGGCGCAAGCAGGCGCTTTGGAGTGATCTGCGATTAATCACCCGAACACCCCGCTTTGATCAACACACACACCCTCTATCGATTCGCCATCGCGCGTCTCGACCGCAAAGAGGCGCAGGCGGATCTCTCTCGATCGACGAAAATCTGCGAGTAAGCAAAAAATCAGCCCGTACGAGGCGCCGGCGTGGCGCGAAGGCGTGTGGTCGAAACGCTGACGATGCCATGCCGCCTTCGGCCGGATACCGCCGGCGCCGACGACGACTGGCGGCGCTGGTGCAGAGCGACAGGATGCCGGATCGAGTCGATGAGGAAAGCCGCCGCTTCAGCCACTGCGAGAAGGCACTCACATGATGCGGCCCCGGCGGGGAGAATGGCGGCGGCGGACACGGCGGTGGACGGGTACGCGCAAGTACGTCGTGCGTTGCTATCCTTAGAACTTTCCTTTGTCACAGCCTCGCAGGTAGCGCCGAAGAAGGTTCCAGCGCTTCTGCGGCCGCGGCATATTCTGGCGTGGGGCGGTCCGGGGCCTACGAGGGGAACCTAATAAACGAAGGGTCGAGAAGCCGAGGATGGCAAGGAAGCTTGGTGCCAGCGCACGGCGGCGGCGAAGAATGCCGCATCCAGCGGCGTGCGACAATTGTTGAGAGCTGGCAGGCTCGCAGCGGTTTGCGGTTCGTCAGGTCGCGGGTGCATGATGCTGTAAGAGGCAGCCGGGTGGATGCGCTGCTCAGGGGGCGCTTCGACTGACTGGCGCGAGGCCTGCGGTGGCTTGCATGGAACAGGGGGTGGTGAGACGGGTAAGGTTGGGGTGCTGGGTGGTGAGTGGAGGAATTGGACCTGATGGCGCAGGGCGGGCGGGAGCGACGCAGATGGCGGCCGTTGGCGGTGAGGCAGGCGGTACCTGAGCCGGGGTCGCGCGCGCAATGGCAACGCGTGGCGATCATGAAGCTCGCCGCGCACAGCTCGCGCGGCGGCAGGGGCGTGCTTCGGCGGCCGTGTCCAGAGCTTCCAGATCGTCGCCGGCGATGGAGCCATCGACTGCCCCGGCGCGCGGCGTCGACACGCGCGCGCAAGAGTGCACGATGCAGTGGCCGGCGCAGCGTCCGAGGCGGCGGGCGTCCAGGGCGGGCAGGGCGTCCAGGCGCGGATGGCGCTGAGCTGCCCCGGAGCTCTGGCGCACAGGCTCCGTTTCAGGCGTCCCGAAGCGTAAGCTGGGCAGCAGCTCTTCCCTGCACCGGCCATTGCTGCACTCTGCTGCATCTGCTCGTACGCAGCATGGGCAGCGTGCGCTGCAGGGGTCTCGAACAATAAAAGGCCGCTGTGGCGCGCAACACCCGTCTTTTTGTTCTCCAGTCAGCGACCGCTACCTTGTCCTGCACTCCCTTTTAAAGGTCCCGCGTTCATTATCAAACCTTTCCTACACGCGTAGTCAAGTCACCTTCTTCTTCTCCCTTCCCATCACACCATGGCCGACAGCGTGGAGTACCAATCGCGCCGCGCGCGCTCGTCGACCCTCCGGTCGAGCCAGCGCAGCGTGCGCATCGACCCGCCCATGGAGCACATCGAGCCCACGCCCTCGGTGCCCTCGATCCACCTCCCGCCGTCGAGCAGCGGCACCGCCGTCACTGACCAGGAGAAAATCGACATGGAGTCAAAGCCGCTCGAGGCGACTTTCTCCCCCGATCCCCAGGTGGCTCCCGCCATGCGCAAGTTCCGCCAGAAGCGCACCAAGTCCATTGATCTGGACGACTACTTCGTACGCGCCATTCCCGGCTCCGTCACCGCCCCTGCTAACCCTCCTGCCAGGAAGGACCGCGCTCCATCGACAAGCACTCGAAATGGCCCATGTTCCTACGCATGCACGGAAGCATCTTCCCGGAGCTTGTGTTTCCTGTCATCAGTTGCGGTTTGTGGGCGACGTTAATGTGTGTTTCAATTGCAGTGCTGATTTTTTGCAACCTCAAGGCTTCGTGCTAATGACATACAGTACTTGCGTTTCCCAATTCGTCTTCCCGCTCGGTGTCTCCAACATCCTCCTGACTGTCCTCGGTTTCGTCGTCTCGCTCGCCATCTCGCTCCGCAGCACCACCGCTTACGAACGCTACTCTGAGGGCCGCAAGTACTGGGCCCAGCTCATGCTCATCTCTCAGGGTCTCGCTCGTGAGATCTGGGTCTCTGCCCACGAGCGTGAAGGCGAGGAGGGCAAGGAGGATGTGCTTGGCAAGCTGTCGGTCTCTCCAACATCCAACCACACTCGGCATTAGCTGACCGAACAACAGGACCGGCCTGAACCTTATCGTGGCCTTCGCCAACGCTCTCAAGCACAAGCTGCGTTTCGAGCCCTATGTCCACTACGAGGACCTCCACGGCTTGGTCCAGCACCTCGATACGTACGCCAAGGAAGCCGAAGATCCCAACCTTCTGTCTCCGCCCAGGAAATCGGCCTGGAAGACGGCTGGTGAATACCTGGGTATGCCCATGGCCGAGTCGAACCCTCGCAAGCAGCTCAAGCGCGCCACGAAGCCGCTTGGCAACTTGCCCCTCGAGATTCTCAACCACCTCAGTCGGTACATCGATACTCTGACTGAGGCCCCCGAGGGCCAGGAGCCGAAGCTCAAGGGCTACCACCAGGTCCAAGCCAGTATGTTGACCCCCCAGCTGGACATCAGCATCCGAAATGAACAGAAGCTGACCCCATCCCAAGCCCAAGCCATCTACCAGCTCAACGATGTCCTTGCCGGTACCGAACGTGTTCTCAACACTCCCCTGCCCATCGCATACACGATTGCCATCTCGCAAATCGCATGGCTCTACGTCCTGCTGCTGCCCTTCCAGTTGTGGCCCCAGCTCAAGTGGATCACCATTCCTGGTACCATCGCCGCCGCATACATCATCCTGGGCTTCGAGGCCATCGGCCGCGAGATCGAGAACCCGTTCGGCAACGACGTCAACGACCTGCCGCTTGACGACTACTGCAACCAGCTGGCCGCCGAGATTGACATCATCGCCTCGACGCCCGCGCCCAACCCGGAGCAGTTCATCAAGCGCCAGGACAACCTCGTGCTCTTCCCCTTCAGCCCTAACGGCTACAGCGCCTGGGCCTGCCGTTCCGTCGGATCGATCCGTGAGCGTCTCCGCTCGCGTCCGTTCCAGACGGTGCAGGAAGCCCAGGATGCGCGGAAGAGCATGCACGAGTCGCGGCAAAAGAAGAAGCAGGAGGTGTAGCGAGCGCGTCTAAACGCTCATCCCATCTCCTTGTGTCTCTTCTTTTTGTTTTTCCTACATCGTTCGAGTTTGCCAATACCCCACTTCTCAATTTACAGCGGTCTCCAGAAGATAGAGCATCTTCACTTCTTCGTCAAGATTGGAAAGGAAGACCTTCGTAAAAGAGGGTCTTTCATTTGTCGTCCCCCACCAAAAGGACTTTTTAGCGAGCACGGTCACCGGAGTTTTAGTATCCCCAAGCGAGACGGCTTGGTTTTGTGCTTTGGTCTTTTTTCAACCGGCCTGCGACAGCAAACGGTTTGCGTTTCGATTTCATTGCTTCTGATCGTCACTTATTCACATTTTCAGCGGAGGGAAGGCATGCAAGAGACCGGAAAGAGGTCTGTTGCCGGAGAGCCTTGCCAAAAGCAAAAAGGGTGCATTTATGGGTGCATTTTTTTACTGTATTAACCCTGGCTTTATTGATGGGAAGCCAAACCTTTTTCTTTGTTGAGATTTACGAGCCACGACCATTACATCTGTGGCTCTCATTTGTTACAGCTCTCTTTTGTCTAGAGAGAGCATCAATCGCGGGGGAGGAACGGATCATCCATTTTCAGTCTGTCAAAACACTTCATCCTCTTCTTTATCGCTCGTTGGTCGGAAAAACAAAAGAGAAGAAAACCTTCTCTTTCCCTATACAATTTAAATCAACGATCTGACTCCCCAACTAAACTCTGCTCTCCTCTGCTTGACATGACTTTATCTCTCGTTGCGCTTTGCTTTTCCCCCTTGGTAGTGTCGTGAGAGATTTTCTCTCACTTGAGCTACATGCATGCATGCATTTCACATTGCATCTGAACGCAACGCACGCCGGGATTCCCCTCCCGTCGGCAGTCTGACCTGCAGTTTAGGTGCAGTCCAGCCCTCTGCCAAGCCTCCTGACGGCTGCAGGAGCGCGAAAGAGAAGGGACAGAAAGGCAACCAATGGGATGCGTAGCCACGCTAGCGTCATCGGGCGACGCTATAACCTTGCAGCTATTACTATGCAAGCGCCGCGCTTCGCCGGCAGCAGTTGCTCTTGCTCTTGACTGCTGCTGCCGCCCAGGCCGCTCTCTCTAATAACCGAATAACGGGACGCGCTCGCGACTGTGCCGACGGACGACGCGAGACGGACGGACCAGTGCCAGTGCGTACTTGGCGAACGGCCAGAGCGCTGAGCCATGTATGACTCTTAACTTTCCCGTGAGCGAGAACGCGCAACGCCGACTTTCATTGCAGGGTTGGCGGCTACAGCTCCGTAGGGAGAGAGAAAGCAAGAAGAAATGAAGATATGGCGGGGATGAAAGCCGGTCCCAGAAGACGGGGACTCAGCTGAGAGAGAGAGAGAGAGAGAGAGAGAGAGAGAGAGAGAGCATGAGGCAGGCAGTCAGCAGAACACACATCACACACAAATCATTTCCGGCGCGTGGGAGAGGGAGAGGACGGAATATGCTTTGCTCGTTTCACACGCCGCACGAACCGCCATGGAGTCATCAACACCCCCCAACGGTTTGCCCGCGTGTGCGTCTATTGGCCCGCGCGGAAGTGAGCTGATCGACGCCGAACCAGGCTGCAGCGCGCGCAGGCCGAGACCACGAACATACACACCGGCCGGCATCTGTCCTCCATCCCTCCTCCCCGATCAGCACCAACGAAACTACTACCCACTTCGATCGTGCTGATAAGAAGGAGCAAAGGCCAGTTCCGGATAATGCGAGAGGTATCTGACGACGGATGCGAGATTGCGGCAGAAAAAAAAAAACCAAACAATTCTGCCAGCAGAAAGAACGCACGTACGATGGATGGATGGATGGATGTCGATGCCACTCACTCACCCCGTTTTTTTTTTTTTCCCCACTTCATCCTCACAGAAGTCGATGTCGATGCCGATGTCACGGCTACGAAGTAAACCAACCAACCAGCCAGTTAGTCAGTCAGCCAGCCAGCCGGCCACTCAGTCACCCCGTCTATCAATCAGGTCCCTCCCAGTCAGTCACATCACACATACACAGACCGCCGTCAGAACCACGTACCTACCTACCCAGGCGCACCGGCCCTCCCGCCTTACATTTGAAATGCAAGCAGCCGGGTTGGGTCATGCGTCCGCCATGAAGTTCCTCATGAAACTGACCGGCTCCAGCTCCGAGACAAATCGAGACGAAAAAAAATCGAAGGGGGGGACTGGGCTGAACCCGAACCGCAACTTCCTTTTTTTTTTTTTTTTTCGTTTGATGATTTTCAGCCAAGCAAATCATTCGGCCGGCAAAACGAGAGGAGGATATAATGCGAGGTAAGACAAGACGATCATCCTTTCATCGGGCGTTGCCATCAGTCGCCACGTGCTCTGCCTCAAGTCTGTGCATGGGGGGGATCGATCTACAACGGACATCACCGGGATGTGCATGCCTAGGAAGCAGAAGTTTGTCATTTCCTTAAGACCATACTACTAAAATACAGCACCTGAAAGAAGAGCCGCAACCTCATCAAAGCCGCCGCCGCCAGGCACGACGGCTGGAGATGGAGAGAACGAAAAGGGGGGGGGAGACGGCTAGTAGAGAGAAAAAAAAGGCATGCCTCTCTGAATCCCTTCATGCGATCAATCCAGAAATTTGAAAATAGTTCGAACTTGCAAAGTTCGGATCCCACCAGCGCCTCGAATTTTCCCCTTTGACCGGATTAGGAAGTCAAATGGACCTTCGTCACAATGTTAAAAACTAATAAAAAACGCCTTCTAAGCTTTCCAAAGCCTGTGTTTGTCATCCTTCATGCATTCGCCATGCCATTGATACTCTTATCCTCGGCGTAACTTTGCTTAGATCTCGTGGCTCTTGAACCCTTCGTCACCTTCCTTCAGCGGCGTGATTTCTCTCTCCTCGTCAGAATCCACTTTCTGCACGCCAAGCTTTTCGCCAAAGGCGTCAGCGCCGTGCACTGCCTCCTGTACAATCTTCAGCCCTTCTTGGGGACCAGAAATGGTGGCGCGCTTGAACGCATCTTCCACCGACCGCATACGCTTCTGGAAACCAAGACGGTCGAGGAAGAGCTGCTGTCGGCGGCGCTCAAGGTCGCGGCGTTCCGCCGAAAGGACCTGCTCGAGCTCTGAAAATTGTTGCAGCTTGAGTTGCATCTTCTGCAACTCGACGTTGACGGCGCTGGATACCAGCCGGGAAATGTTACGCTCCTCATGCGAAGCCAGCGCCGCCGAACGAGCAGCAGACAAAGCGAGCGGGACCGTGGCGTAGGGGTTGGCCGCTTTGCTGACATCAGCCTGGGCAGCAACGGTATCGATCGCCTGCGGCGAGCTCGCATCGACATCCATACTGTCTTCGTTCTTCACCTGGGCATCGGCAGCGGGACCAGCAGACGCTTCTTTCTCCTTGCCTTTGTCGGATTCAGCTGAGGGAGCACCCCCCTTCTCAAGCTTCTCCCGGAGTGCACGCTTCATCTCGTCCACGCTCTTACCGGCGGCTGCGGCTGTGACGGCAGGATCCGCCAACCCAGCTAGGAAGCCCATGACGGACAAAACAGCGTTGTCAGCCTGAGTGAAGGGAAGGCGACCATTGCTCAGATACGAGAGGTTGCCTCCAGTAAGCTCAGTCTTGCTCGCATTCTCCTGTTCCTCAAGATACTGGTCTTCGATTTCCAGTTGAAGGAACTTGAGAACGCACTCTTCTCTTGTCCGGTTGCCGACATACTCTGCAACCTGATTCCAGTCCTCATCAAACATCTCCAAAGCTTCCAGAAGGCGCAGCGTCTCGCCATCCGTCCAGGGCGCGTTCCGGTCGGGAATACCTGAATACTTATCGTTCTCGATCTTCGTGTAGTCCGATGCAGCGCTCGAAGAGGGGAAGCGGCCTTCCAAGAAGCAGTTCGGGCAGAGATCATACTTGAGCATTGCAGCAGTCTTACCCGATGCAGAATGCGGGGCAGACTTGGTGTTGTGGTAATGCACGCGAGTGCAGTCAATGCCGCACGAGAAACAGTTGACTTGGCGGCCAGGCTCCTTGAGGGCATCCACGAGAGACTTGCTGTCGGCCAAGGGCGTTCCGTTCGCAGTCGACCCTTCACCATTGGCGGGCTTCTCCTTGGTGTCAGCGGGCGTGACTTCCTTTCCATTTGACTCGTAGGCATTGCGGCGGATTTCAAGGTTGAGATCCTCCTTCGACGCAGGCGTTTGACTTGCGAGACGATCAGTAGCAGTCAGAGGCTTGCCAACCGTCACCGCAGGCTTAGGAGCGGGCTGATGAGGTTGCAGGCCACGAGGGGTGTCGGCCGTGATTTTGAAGTGGCCGGTAAAGGGAGGTCCGATGTTTGATGGCCTGGTGTCCGGATCGACCTGGTAGTTGATCAGGCCCCACTGCTCAAGGAAGGCGTGCACGCGCATGATTGCGCAGACATCGCCAGCAAGGTTGCGGCGACAGGCGGTCACGGTGAGGTATTCGGCAGGGTTCAGGCGGTAGGTGTTGACCATGAAATCGCGGTAATCCTTGTAGACGGCCGGAGTCTTGCTACGATTCCTGCTGTTGAAAAACTCGGGAAGAGCCTTGCGCTCAATGTTGTGAATGGTGTTCATGTCGAACCAGGTGCTGTAACTCGGAAGGATAATGGCATGAGTCTGCGCAATGAGATGCGAGCGGGCCTGGTTTTCCAAAGCGGATTTGGTTTGAGTAGGCTGGTCATCTGCAGCGGCATCCGCGTTGTCTCCTGCGTCCTTCTCTGGGCTGCCACCTTCCTTCTTCGTGTCGTCCATACCACCCATCTCTTCGTCATCCGCCGCATCGGCATCCTCAGTGTCAGGCCTAGGTCCTTCGGGCGCGTCAAGAGGGTTGTCCGATGCCGGGGCGGGGGTGTTGTCTTTTTGCGCTGAATCCTGAGCGTCGTCTGCCATGGCTGTGTCGGCGTCTGTTTATTTCTCCGTCAGTCATGGGTTCAGGAGCAGAATGCTAGCCAAGTGAGATCGGCGCGTTTCCTGAGAAGCGACGTGGGCCCTCTGGAGTATGTCCAGTGTAACGGCTCAAGAGAAATGCCTCGCAGAGCCCCGTCGCGCGCCAGCCCGACGTGCCAAAGCACATGAGGTTTACAACAACAATGTCGTCCTGTCAGTGGAGAGCCCGCCAAGTTGATGCGCACATAAGCATCAATGGAAAATGGCACGGCTCACCCCAGTTGACGAATTCCGACATGTTCAAAACCAGCGAAGTCGAAGGACTCCACCCAGCGTCGGGATCAGGTGGGGGTGAGCGGAGCTCTGGAGGCCCGGTATGGGCGGCTTCTTCGGACGTGGCATGCCAGGAAAGGCGGCTCTCGGAACGAGGCAACGGCGGGAGATCGTCATCGTCATGGGGAAAAGCCATGATGGCTGCAGGCAACAGTGTGCAGACAAGATTGGTGTGACATACCTGCGATTTGCTCGTTCTGAGAGTCGGTGGTCGGGCCGTCGGCGTCAGCAGCGGAAGGCGCGTCAACGTCCTGTGCAGGTGCGAGGGAGTTGTTGGCGCTAGTGAGCTCGTCGGCCATTGCGATGCGGGCGAGAATTGGGCAGGCGCGATGGACCTGGGGATGAAGCTACGTTGGAACGGAGAAAGCGCGAGGCGGCGCAAGCGACGGAGCGAACGTAGAGGCGTCAGGCAGAGGCGGGTGACGCGACGGGGACAGTGGCGCGTCGAGCGGAAGAATATAGGCGCGGTGAGGGGCGCGAGGTCGATGGCGTGTGGTGTGCGTCGTGGAGGACCTGGGACGTGAACTTCTTCAGCGCGCCGCTGGTCTCTCCGCGATGGCGCCAAGCGGCGCTAGAGCAAAAGAGGGAAGGCGGCCACCGGAAGCTCTTGTCCAGGATAACCTCGGATTGATGCCGACTCTCGGAGCTTAAGCTCGACGCTCGCAAGTTGGAAGCCGCTGCGTCTCGTCCCTCCCCCAATCCCTCATCCTTCCTCCGGCCCGTCGCATCTTCTCCACACACGCCTCTTGCCATCATGTTCTCGACCGTGCGCAACACCGCGCTCCGCCAAGCGCGCACCCAGCTCAGAGCAGTCCGCCCGGTTTCGCTACCCCACCAGTCCTTCGTCGCGCGGTTACTCTCCACCCTCGCCGTCCTCGAGCAACGCGAGGGCAAGCTCAACCCCGGTTCATTGGCCGCCGTTACAGCTGCGCAGAAGCTGGGCGGTTCCATCACCGGCCTTGTTGCCGGCAGCAGCATCAAGGCCGTTGCCGAGGAGGCGGCCAAGGTGAAGGGTCTGGACAAGGTCATCTTTGTGGACAACGGTGCATACGACAAGGGCCTGCCCGAGAACTACGCCCCACTGCTGGTGGAAAACATCAAGAAGGGTGGCTTCACCCATGTCCTGGCAGGCCACTCCGCCTTTGGCAAGAACCTTCTGCCGCGTGTAGCCGCTTTGCTCGATGTGGCGCAAATCTCTGACATTACGGCCATCGAAAGCGAGGATAGTGGGTTTCCTGATTGAGTGACTTTTCCAGCCAGTTCAAGTCTGACACACGCAGCCTTCGTCCGCCCCATTTATGCCGGCAACGCCATCCTCACCGTCCAGTCCTCGGACTCGATCAAAATCATAACTGTTCGCGGCACTGCCTTCCCAGCGGGCGAGACCGAGGGTGGAAGCGCGACACTCGAGGAAGGTGTCGATCCTAAGGCTGACACGCCGACTGAATGGGTCTCGGAGGATCTGGCGAAGTCTGACAGGCCCGACCTTGCCACGGCCAGCAAGGTCGTCTCCGGTGGTCGTGGTCTCAAGTCGAAGGAGGAGTTCGACCGTCTGATGCCTCCGCTTGCCGATGCGCTTGGTGCTGCCATTGGTGCGTCTCGTGCCGCAGTTGACAGCGGGTTTGCAGACAACAGCCTGCAGGTTGGCCAGACAGGCAAGAACGTGGCGCCGCAGCTCTACCTTTGCGCTGGTATTTCCGGCGCAATCCAGCATCTGGCTGGTATGAAGGACAGCAAGGTCATTGCGGCCATCAACAAGGACGCAGACGCGCCCATTTTCCAGGTCGCGGATGTCGGTCTTGTTGGTGATCTGTTTGAGAAGGTGCCCGAGCTTACGGAGAAGTTGAAGGCTCAATCGTAAGGGGCCTGAGCCTGAGGGATTGTTGATCTTGTTTCACTAGTTGAGCGCCGAACCAAGGAGGTCTGAAGCAGCCACCATGTACACCACGGGCCAGGATGACTGGATAAAATGAGGTGCGGTTTATGTAGATACCTCGACCATGATTATTGTTTATTTTCCATGCCCATGCAAGAAAAAGACGCAAAGAAAGATAAGAAAGCTCATGTATCTCTTTGGAAGGAAGTGAGGTCACATGTTTGATGGCGCAGCTAGATCTGATGCAGATTGTGGAGATCTCCCCGCCTTATCTACCTAGCGTGTGGCTTGCTGGAAGCGTCACACGCGCCCAAGCGGCGGGCTGGGACGCCTTGTTGTTGGCTTGCTAGCCGCAACCTCCTCATCAACGGTCGCACCAACACCCCTATTGCACCTTCCATAATGCTCACATGAACATGGACTAGCGCTGCTGCGATGGATGGGCTTTCCTATTCTCCTTCATGATGCCACGTCCACTCATTCCTCAAAGCCCAACGCCGTGATCGTCTCTTTGCACTTCTGCCGGCGTCCCGCGGTGATGCTTCGAGCTACCAAAAGCCACAATTGAACCGCGCGTCTGCAGCCGCAAGAGAACGACTGACGACTACGTACCACGACCCGCGCTATTCCGCCTTTCGTCATCCCACGACAACATCCAGGTGATGACACGTAGCCATCGCTGAGCATCGCCAATGCGTTCGGCACTGGAATAGTCTGCATCTCAACATCGTTGCGGCATCAAACAGCCTTGGATTTTTTTGTGTTCCTAAACCGAGGTTTTCATTGAAGGAGACTCTGCCACAGCCATAGCACAATGGCATCAACGTCAGACCGATCTCCGACCATTGCACCTTCGCCCGAGAAACCGGACAGCCCGGGCAGGACATCGCCGCCGCAACACGTCATAATGACAGCACCAGCGATGCCGCCGTCCGAGCAGAGGATGCTGCAGAGAGAGCAGACGGGGGGGAAGAGTACCAAGAGAAGGCAAAGCTGGTCATGGCGCAGTCTTGGCAGGTTTTGGGAGAGAAAAAGAGAGGACGGCAGTAAGAAGTACGCGGCCCTAGCGGATTATCAGGGGTTTGCAAAACAAGCGGGCGCTAACTGATTGATGGCAGTGACTGGTGGTTTGCAAGTACGGGAATCCCGTGGGTTCCCAAGATCCCTGAACGGCAGTGCACTCGGAGCTGACAACAGAAACGCAGGCTGCTCGCCGCTACCCTCGGCCCATTAGCCAACGTGCTGTCAATTGCGGCGCTGGTCACCTACTGGAGGATGAATGTGGTGGTGGATGGGCAGGTGGTGTCGGAGTTGGCTGGTGTGCCGTTCGAGGATCCGAGATGGACGTACTGGCTAAACGCCGCATCTCTGATATGCGGGTTCGTGGGCAACTTGTTCCTGCTGATGAATTTCACGCAGAAGATCAGATATATCATCGCCTTGCCAGTGACCATTGTCCTCTGGTACACTGCGACCGGGCTGGTAAGTCACGTCCAGTTGTCTCCTTCACGCGACTGGTTCACTGACCCCTTTCAGCTCACGGCAGTTCTTATATGCATGGAGCTGTTTGTCCCACCCGACCGTCCTAGTCAGACTTACACGCAAGGCTACTGGTACGGCGTCATGGCAGCAGTGTTGTACTGTACCTGCTCCATGATCCTGATGATCAACATGGTCGGGTATTGGCGGGGCCACTACCCGCAAACCTTCACTTTGACCGAGTCACAACGTACCCTGATTCTGCAAACGATGATGTTCTTTATTTGGCTAGCAGGCGGCGCTGGCATGTTCGCAAGGATCGAAACCCTCCACGGACAAGACAACTGGACTTTTGCCAACGCTTTATACTTCTGCGATGTGACGATCCTCACGGTGGGATTCGGTATGTGTGGTGGTTGTTTCCCGGCACCTAACATGGGCTTACCGTTGTTCGACCAGGCGACATTGTACCGTCGAACGACGTCTCGCGCGGCCTCGTGTTCCCCTACTCTGTCGGCGGCATAATCATGCTCGGTCTCGTCGTGTCCAGCATCTACCGGTTCAGCACCGACCTCGGCCAGGAGAAAGTCGTTCGCAAGCACATCGACAAGGTGCGCAGCCGCACCCTCGACCGCACCGTCAACTCGTCGTTCGAGCTGCGCGAACGCTCCCGGACAAGGCGGCGCCAGCGCTCATTGCCGGCAGCGGGATCGCTGGCGCCCATCATCTCGGCGCCCTTCAACCCGGTCGACCGCTCCCTCGCCACGCGCATCCCCGCCCGACCAGAGGAAGACGGGGCAAAGACGAAGAAGAAGAAGAGGAAAGGGGCGGCGGCCATGGTCCCGTCGGCGGTCCGGCACTACCCGCATCACCACCCGCGGCGGAAGAAAACGCGGCTGCTGCTCCTGCGCGAGGAGAAGGACCGGTTCGAGACGATGCGGGCGATCCAGCACTCGGCGGCGCGGTTCAAGCGGTGGTACGCGCTGACGCTGTCGGTGCTGGCGTTTGGCATCTTGTGGTGCATCGGCGCCGTCGTCTTCTGGCGGGCCGAGCAGAAGGCGCAGGGCTTGACGTACTTCCAGGCGCTGTATTTCTGCTACGTCTCGCTGCTGACCATCGGCTATGGCGACCTGGCGCCGAAGTCGAATGCCGGGCGCAGCTTCTTCGTTGTTTGGAGTCTGATTGCGGTGCCGACCATGACGATTTTGATCTCGGACATGGTGAGTGGCCGGCCAACCAGCAGAACACTAGGAAAGAGAAAAAAAGAAACTGACGTTTGCACCACACCAGGGCGACACGGTCATCTCGGGCTTCAAAAACGCCACGTCCAAGCTCGCCGACGTCACGGTGCTGCCCAAAGACGGCATCTGGCACGATTTCCTGCAGTCGCAACCGCGCCTCCTCAACCTCCTGCAACAGGAGGCCGCGCGCCGCCGCATCAAACGTGGCATGGCTCTGGGCCCCGGCGACGAAGAGGAGGACCGGAACCGCGACCCAGAGTCGCCGCCGCCGGATCCCCCCAGCCTCAGGACTGACGATGACGACGCAGCCGACCGCACGCCGCCACCGACAGCCACCACCGCCGCCACGGCCATCACCACCGATAACGACGACGACGACAACGACCCCGAAACCGAATCGGACGCTCGCCTCGCACAACGTCTCGCGCGGGCCATCCGCGCCGTAGCGAACGATATCAAGGAGGACGTGGACTCGGCGCGACGGCCCAAGCGGTACCGGTACGAGGAATGGGTCGAGTTCACGAAGCTGATCCGGTTCACGGCCGAGGGGCGAGAGGAAGAAGAGCGGGACGAGGAAGAAGACGGGCTGGTGGAGTGGGACTGGATCGGGGAGAACAGCCCGATGATGGCGGGCATGAACGAGGCCGAGTTTGTGTTGGATCGGCTGTGTGAGAGTCTGGGGAGGTATTTGAGGAGGGGGGATGGGGTTGGGGCGAAGAGGGAGAGGGAGAGGGAGAGGATGAGGTAGTGAACATGGTTATGAAGAAATAAGGCAGGAAAATAAAATCAAGGCGGCGGCAGATGGGCATTATAGAATTGGATTGGGCAGATGGGAGGTTCACATAAGATTTACCAAGCCTTGGGTTTGGGGTGGCGTGAGTGCGAGAGTGCCTATCGGCTCGCTGTGACTTGCAGCAATGCATCCGTGCGCCGGCCGATTACTCACGGCTGGCGATAAGCTCAAGACAAATGGATGGCTGAGGCGCAGGCTTAGTAGTGTGGTAGCGCACAACCGAGCACAACTGTAGAGGAACCGCAACGCTAACCCCCATTTGGAAAGTCCAGCCGGCGAGGTTTCGCAACTGCCGCTGATGGCGCGTGCTTCTCCGCAATACCCAACAGCGTCCGATTGCGCTTGCAGCCGGAACTGCGGTGCCCCCGCTGCTATCATCGGCGCCCGCTGCGGCCACGCGGAACTCGACAGCGACATGAGGCGCCCGGCAGGCCATGGCGAGCTGCTGGCTGGACTTGCCTCTTTGGGCCCTGGGGCTGCTCTGCCCTCTGCCTCTATAAATCCGTCCCCTCCCGCCCACAGCCTTCGAAACGTACGCCTTTTCCCTCTCGTGTTTTTCCGTGATACCCGTTGCGCACCCCTCTTCCACTTCGTTTCGTCCCGTTTTGAGCCGGCGCCATGGTCCCCCACCCCCTCCAGATCCTCTCCATCGACGAGACAAACCGGGCCCACGATGCTGTCGTCAAAGCCCACCCCGGTGTTGTCATCAGTTTCAGGGAGATCTTCCTGCAAGAGCCCGCCAAGGCCGACCTGACCAAGTTCTTGGACCTCGAGCACTCCGGCCGTCTATCACCCACGACACCCCGCCCCCCGCGCCTGGCCAAGGTCCAGTACGATGTCATCGGCGCTGACAGGGTCCCCGATTACCACGAGTCCATCATCGATGTGAACCGTGGGACGCGCGTCAAGCACGAGGTCATTGGCAAGCAGCACCATGCTGCCCTGACGCTGTACGTATCAACATGCACAAGACGTCTTCGACGCCAGCGGCTGACCCCCGTCTAGGAAGGAATTCGACACCCTCGTCGCCGTCTGCAAGGCCTCTCCCTTGTTCCAGGAGGCCATCGCCGAGTTCAACCTGCCCGAGGGCTTCGAGGTCGTTGTGGAGCCGTGGCCGTACGGCGGCCTGGATGCCGAGGACGAGAACCGGCGCTACTTCCAGGGCCTGATTTTTGCAAACGACACCCGCACCGGCAACCCGGACTCCAACTTCTATGCCTACCCCCTGCCGCTCATTCCCGTCATGGATGCCCACAAGCAGGAGATCGTCCGCATCGACCGCCTGGCCACGGGCGGCAAGGGCGACGGCCTCACGGAGAAGACGAACAGCCCCAACATCATCGAGCACTGCGCCACGTCCGAGTACGTGCCAGAGCTCCTGCCCGGCGGAACGCGCAAGGACCTGAAGCCCCTGAACGTGCAGCAGCCCGACGGCCCGTCGTTCAAGGTCACGGACGAGAGCCTGGTCGAGTGGCAGAAGTGGCGGTTCAGGGTCGGCTTCAACCCGCGCGAGGGCGCCGTCATCCACGACGTGCACTACGAGGGCCGGAGCGTGCTGTACAGGCTGAGCATCAGCGAGATGACGGTCCCCTACGCCGACGCCCGCCCTCCCTTCCAGCGCAAGCAGGCCTTCGACTTCGGCGACGGCGGCGCCGGCAACTGCGCCAACAACCTCGCCCTCGGCTGCGACTGCCTGGGCGTCATCAAGTACTTCGACGCCGTCGTCATCGGCCGCGACGGCAAGGCCACCCCGCACCCCAACGTCGTCTGCCTGCACGAGCAGGACAACGGCATCGGCTGGAAACACACAAACTGGCGCACCGGCCGCGCCGTCGTGACGCGCAACCGCGAACTGGTCGTCCAATTCATCATCACCCTCGCCAACTACGAGTACGTCTTCGCCTTCAAATTCGACCAAGCCGGCGGCATCGTCATCGAAACGCGCGCCACGGGCATCGTATCCGTCGTCAACATCGACGCCGGCAAGACGAGCGCCTACGGCAACGTCGTCAACCCGGGCGCCCTCGCCCAAAACCACCAACACATCTTCTGCGCGCGCATCGACCCGGCCATCGACGGCCACCGCAACACCGTCATCCAGGAGGAATCGCACGCCGTGCCCATGAACCCGGCGACCAACCCGCGCGGCAACTTCTACGAGGTCCGCCAGTCGCCCATCACGACGTCGACCCACGCCGACGCCGCGCCCCAGCACAACCGCGTCTTCAAGATGGTCAACCCCGGCCGCGCCAACCGCGTCAGCGGCCGCCCCGTCGGCTACAAGTTCGCGCCGCCGCCGACGCAGCTCCTGCTCGCGGACCCGCAATCGGTGCAGAGCCGCCGCGCGGCGTTCGCGCGGCACCACGTGTGGGTGACCAAGTACCGCGACGACGAGCTGTACGCGGGGGGCCGCTTCACGCTGCAGAGCACCAGCGAGGTGGATGGCGTGGCGGACGCCGCGGCCCGACGCGACCCCGTCGAGAATGAGGATGTGGTCGTGTGGAGCGTGTTTGGGCTCACGCATAACCCCCGCGTCGAGGATTGGCCCGTCATGCCGGCCGACATCTTTCAGATCAACCTCCGGCCGGCGGATTTCTTTGAGGCGAACCCCGCCATCGATGTGCCGAGCAACAAGAACTTGGCGAGCGTGGAGGTGTATAAGGAGAATAAGAGCTGTTGCGTGAAGGGGAATTTGTAGGAGCGCGGGTGGAATGGCCGGCGCTAATTGGGAAAAGCTGGCGCTTGTGGTTGTGCTGCGATTATATGGTGTTGGTGGTACTGTGGTGCTTTCTAGAGTGGAATATGAGAATCAGTTTCTGTTGCCATTACGGTGTTTCTGCTTTTCGATCGGAACTGTGTGTCTACACAAGGCTTGCTAGCTGTATCTTTCTCGCAGAAAATGGTGCATGTTCTGATGCTTCTCGGTCTGCGGGTTAGCATTTAGCTAAGTCGGGATACCTTTTTCCTGTTCACTTCAAACAACTAAAATCACAGCAATGTCGGTCCAGAAGTGTCAATTACTTCTCAACATTGGATAGGAACCGTTTCAAATCTGCTGCCAACCACCAGGCACACTCCTGCCGCCAAAGATTAATATCGCGCGTCAAATCCGCACCAGCCAATCAGGCTGCCGAGGTGCCTGGGCGCAGCGGGCGTGGAACGATTCCGCCCGTTCCTTGAATCCCCCGCAATTCCGCAATGACGATCACATCAAAAAGCGCGGGCAGGGCAGTCCACACCGAGAACTTTACAGCAACGACTCGCCAATTCACAGCCGCCCCCCGCCCCCCGGCCGGCCAGACCCTCGACAGAGTCATCACTACCTTGCTATCTCTGCCGGCCTCCCGATCCTGCCATGCCCTTATCTCGACATCAAAAAATTCCTACCCACTTTCGGCTCAACTCGCCGTACTGTCTCTCTTCCTGGGAGGGTTGACGACCGTGTTTAGATGTGCGCCACATGCGGCTCGCGGCGGAATCAATTCCACGACCCTGGCCACCATGAGCTGCTGCGTAGGGTCACCTCGATACTCCCGTGGCCAAATCCCCGTTGCACATTTCTGAACTATATGCCGTCATGCACCGCGTTGCGACGCGCCTCATGGCAGCAGATAGTCGGTCGGTAGAGCCGAGCCACTTACTTCCATATCTAGTATCCATGGCCTCAAAAGCCACACTCCCAGGCGTCTCTCCCCCACAATATACCGACATTACAGGCCACACACGACTGTCACGAGGGGATTTTCCCCCGACTCTTTTCGATAGCAGCCTCCCACCGTCTCCGACGATTCAGTCTATTGTGCTGGTCACACTCGGCCCGTATCTGAGACGCACGCAATCCTCCCACGTCTTACCTCCCGCAATCGAGACAGCAATACCATGTCTCTCACCAAGACTGGCACCGCTGGTTCAACAGTCAAGTCTGGCAGCAATGGCATGGCCACTGACCTGGAACTGCAGGCCGGTGCTGACTGCTGTCTCGCCAGTGACTGGCCATGTGGATGAGCTGCGCTGCGAGTTCAACGTATGGTCGCTATGCGCATTGCTGGTGTGCTTGATGGGCACCTGGGAGGCTCTCACAAGTGCCGTTGCACAAGCGTTGACGAACGGCGGAGCACCGTGTCTATTATACAACTAGTAAGTCTCATCCAACTCACGCTTATTCGTGGGCGTTCATGGCTGTGGGCTTTGATGATGTTTGTTCTGCCAATCGGTGAGAGGTTGGGGCTTGGTTGGATGGAGCACCGACACAGTCGGGCCTGCATGCAGGTCGGATGATTCAGTATCATCGCCTTTATCGGGACGTTATTGACAGCAGCCTCACTGACTGAGATCGCGTCGATATATCCAACTGCTGGAGGTGAGTCGCTCTTTATTTCCTCTTCGTCCAACCCCTTATCAGTTCCTCACGTTTCGTTTCCGGCTATCCAGTCGGATCTAACTGGGACTCTAGGCCAATATCGCTGGGTCGCTTCTCTCGCACCCTCTCACACGCGCCTTGTGGCGTCATGGTTCACAGGCTGGATCAATATTGATGGGCAGGTGGTGCTGACCGCCTCTGCCGCCTTCGCCGCCGGCCTGCAGTTCCAAGCCCTGATCGTGCTCAATGATGCGTCCGGTACCTATGTTCCGCAGCGATGTCAGGACATGCTGTTCTACTGGGACGTCATCGCTTACAGCACCGCCATCAACATCTTTGGCTCTCGTGTGCTGCCCCACCACAACACGTTGAGCGGCATCGGGCACGTCGTCGGATTCATCGCCGCCGTGTTCATGCTCGGTATCATGGATATCGGCATGGAGGGGGGACACGGCGCAAACTATATATTCAAAGACGTTGACAACACACACCAGTGGATGGTCGAATGATGGAGTAAGCTGGATGGTAGGTATGCTGAGCGCCGTATATCCACTCCTTGGGTGAGTCTTGTCACCTCCCCATCTTTTTGCATATTCTCGATGGAGCACGACGCAGGAGGTGTCAAAAGCTGTAGATGGACCTCTACTTATAAGCACAATTCTGTCCCCTGTCTCTTGCTTCTCCCTCGGCAACGTCTCCCACACATTCCTACCACTCTCCCCTATTGATTTTCCCGCCAACTCTCAAGCGCCTCCACTGACTCCAACCCCCCAGCTACGACGCTGCCGCCCACCTCGTCGAAGAGCTCCCCAACCCCTCCCGCTCCGTCCCCCCTCGCCACGATCGGCTCCATCGTCATCAACGGCCTCACAGGCCTCATCTACCGCCTCGTACTCCTCTTCGCCCTCGGCGACCTGTCGTCCCTCCTCTCCTCCCCCACCGCGGCTTCCCCTTCATGCAGCTTTCCCTCAACCTCACGCACCCCCGCGTGGGGCGCCAACCCTCCTCGCCGTCGCCCTCTCCATCCCGCTCGTCGCCGTCGCCGTCGCCGCCAATAACGCCGCCGGGCGGGCACCACGTCGACCTCGCGCGCACGCACCGCGTGGGCCTTCGCCCGCGACCGCGACCGCGCCGCCCCGCCCCGTGCAGCGCGTAGGGTATATGCTTTGGCGCACGTCGACGAGCGGTCCCAAGTCCCGCTGCGCGCGGTGGCGGTGCTGGCGACGCCGACGGCCGCCCTGCAAGGCGCTGGCATGCTGGGCTTCGTCTACCTCGGCAGCGTCAGTGTCACCGCCTCCAACGCCGTCTTGTCAACGGATGGCCGGCCATCCTCGGCTTCAGCTTGTACGCGAGCTGGGCTAGCTACCCTGCTTCCCCGTCGCGTACACGCGTACATGCTCGCATACGGCCGGCGCGCGCACTCGTCGTCCTCCTCCTTTTCCTCTTCCTCTTCCTCTTCCTCTTCCTCGTCCTCTTCTTCGTCCTCTTCCTCTTCTTCCTCCTCCTCCTCCTTTTCCTCCCCCGCCGCCGCCGCCCCTTCCTCCCTGCGCAGATTGCGGCCCTTGGATCAAATCAACGCCGCCACAAGCGTCGCGTGCAGGCTCGTCGTCGTCGCTATGGTCTATTCAGCACTTTTTTTCTTTCCCCCGGTGTGCAGTTCCAGCGCCCGTCTCCTCCCCGCAGGATATGGACTGCAACGTCGTGGGTACTGTGCTGGGGG